TCGATATATAAATTGTTTGTGGTACAAAGCCGTCCCAGCATTCGGCATAACTGTGGTGGAACCAGGGCGATATGAAAGTGATCTAGAATTATTGGAGAGTTGGTGAGTGGAATGTTTCGAATGTCCAGGGCAATACCTAGGAAACCGTCTCATAGTTGGACTGGTTTGAGTTCTGTTTCCTAGACTTGAAATGGATTCTACCTTGAAATAACATGACCTAGACTCCCTGTAAATGCGACCGCAATGACTATGATACAGACCAAAAGAAAAAAAGTAAAAAGCGCCAGTCAAATGATGTACATGATAGTACAATTAGGCGATGTTGCCAGCCATGCCCATGAAAATAGCCTGGGCCGCCAGCTGAAGGGACCAAAATCCGACTTTCTTGAACCGCCTTTTTCGGGCTTGATCATCCACGACATCTCGGGCAAACGCATCGTAGGTCTGGAAAGGGTATTAGCAATGATCATATATTGTAGGGAAAGAGGGTACTCACTGCAGCTGACAGGTCATCCATCAGGCCACTGTCAAAGACGGTCCAGCTTCCGTCGAAATCTCCAACGTGTTTGACTAAGCGGCAGTTGACGGGAATGAAAGTGCGCTTGGAGTTGATATAGGCAACAATAGGACGGATTAATGCGTTGTTGATATAAGAAAGGTCCCGGGTGAAGATGGGCACCACAGCCCGAACGTTGTTGAGATGTACACGCAAATCCATGACGAGGAAACGTCGATCTTCAGTCTCTGATTCTGGGTTAGAGTCTGAAGATAGAGGCTCCGGGTAACGGTTAGAGGTGACAGTGGCTTCCAACCGATCATAGAAATCGACCATCACCTTGGCCAAGCTCTCATCGTTTTCTGCAGGTAGCATGATGTCGGCCACAATATCCACAGTACCCTCGTGAATCCAAGAGAAAGGGCCCTGAACACCACGGTTAAGATGGTCGACATTGAGTCCGTCAACTCGGATCCTGTTATGTTTCTTCCACGGGTTTGGCTTGTCATCATCTTCTATTCCGTTATCCTGCCGGATACCGGTGAATCCATGGGTTTGACGAGCGTGGATTGTGAACAAAGAGTTGTCGTAAGACCCAGACATCATATTGGCAGAGAGGAAATCATAGAAGAGCCATTGTTTCCGCAACTGAGGAAGATCGCACGAGAAGATGCTCACGGAGAAGGGACGGAAGTTGTCCGGTTGGTAAACGGTGACAAGTAGATCATGCATCTTGAAAGAGTCGATCTCAAAGTCACCGGGTCTATGCTCATGCCGGTAGGATTTAGGATCCAAGTCTTCCTCCGGCCAATAAACATGGCGGCGATCGACGACACCCCGTATGCCTTTCACCTCAACATCATGAAGGGGGCCCTTTCCATTGAGCCATTTGGTGAATGATAGTGTCACATTCACCGTCTCGATCGATAAATCGAATTGTGTATAGTTAGTATCTTCCTCTTCATCAGATACTATCTGGGAGTCTTCGAATCCACTGTCACCTCGAGCTGCGGCCTCGGCTGCCGCAGACTTCGATGAGCCTTTACTGACATGACCTGCGCCTTGGCCTGGTCGTTTTGACACAAAGACATTCTTAAAGGTGATGACGCCGTTTTTCCATTTGGGCACGATTGCAGATTCAAAAACAACTTTAACACCAGAAGACTTGGTGAGATAGTTGCCTACCCACCCTGCCAATGTTTCTGTTTAGGCACATATTAGTATATAGACCTTACTGCAACAAAAAATGGACGTACCTTGAGCAAAGACTGTGTTGATCGCAAGGATCAGAAGCGAGAAGAAAGTTGTAGTTCCCACGACGACCCAGACGACGTGGCCCAGCAAAACCCACGAGAAGAAGGCAGTCATCTCATCCAAATTGTAAGGACGAACACTTCTTATAGAAAACCATTTGAATCGTACTTTGAGGCGTGACCAGAACCCGGTTGCTGCGGCCAAAAGCTCCTCCTTGGTTGGCCGATGTAGTTGAGGCATATGTGGTAAGCGATCCATTAAGTGGCGATTGTTCGCTGTTGGCTGTTGAGTATCTTGAGATGATTTGGATTGTGAATGTGCGGTGGATGTATCTTTGCTGGATTGTCCGGGTTTATGGGAATGGTCATTTTCATTGCGTTCATGGGTCTCTTGAGAAGCTTCTTTCCCGCGTCGATGGTCGTTCGAGGTATGTAAAGTTCGTTTCCAAACATATTGGGCGGCAATTTTGGGAGAGGAGAGGATGCATGCTGCAGTAGTATCTGCAACAGCTGACGTAGGTGAGACGCCGAGGACGACAAAGCCCCCAGAAGCGAATCTTCTGGTGAGATGAGTTGGTTTCTTTGGAAGTGTGGAGATTTGTCGCGATTGATTTGAAAGGGATGAATCGAGGAATAATCTTGAGCTATAAGCATCGGCCGATACGCGATTTATTCGTATGCGACCAAGAAATGGATTTGCTGTATCCCAAATATGGGCGTACAGCCGACGTCCCAGATTAGCAGACATCTTTGTCTTTACATCCTGGACATGAATGAGAAACTTGATCAGAAAGTAGGACAAACTGTATCATATACAGCAGTTGACTTGTTGACAAGGAAGCTTCCAAGCTTTGCGGGTTGGAAGAGCCCAAATGAAATCATCGGAGTTTGTCTTGTTTGCATCCAAAAATTCCCTTCCGCCCACACTTCATTTTTCCGTGAGGGGGGAACTGATTAAATTTTGCGATAACAGATTTTAAGAAAAAACTTCATTCTTAAAACAACACAATGTCGGCACCTACAGCTATTCGCCAGCCAGAGCAGGCCCTCGGATTTCAGCCCGAGCCTGTCTCTCATGGTTAGTACTCTCTCTGATCTACAAAAAAAAAAAACCTCTGGCTGACAATCAATAGATCAGGATGATGAGGTTTTGATCGATGTACAAGCCATCAACGAGGGCGCCCCGATTAACCCCGTTGCCGAGTCTACGGAGGACAGCGAAATGCGCATCGACGAGGAAGGTCGCCCCGTCTTTACTCCGGCCAAAGACGTCGCCGCAGCATATCGGATCGAAACACGAAAGGTGCCTGTCCCACCGCACCGTATGACCCCGCTCAAAGCGAGCTGGGCCAAGATCTGCCCTCCTATCGTCGAGCACCTCAAGTTGCAAGTGCGCATGAACATCAAAACCCGATCAGTGGAATTGCGAACCTCCAAGTTTACCACCGATGTGGGGGCTCTGCAAAAAGGTGCCGATTTCATCAAGGCCTTCACTCTTGGCTTCGATCTCGACGATGCGATTGCCCTTCTCCGACTTGATGATCTGTACATCCAAACTTTCGAGATTAAGGATGTGAAGACCCTGAACGGAGAACATCTTGGTCGTGCCATTGGACGTATTGCAGGCAAGGACGGAAAGACCAAGTATGCGATTGAAAATGCCAGTCGGACACGAGTGGTGCTTGCAGACCAGAAGATTCACATTCTGGGTGGATTTAAGAACATTCACATTGCTCGGGAGGCAATTGTCAGCTTGATTTTGGGTAGCCCTCCGGTAAGTCTTCATCGTAAAAATCCCCTGGAGGAAATCTTCTAACACAAAACAGGGCAAGGTTTATGGCAATCTTCGGACCGTCGCCTCGCGAATGAAGGAACGCTTCTGATTGCACAAGTCATTTATCTCATCCGGCATGGTGTGGGCGTTAAGGTGCATCGGGTTTTACGCTGTCTTCTTTTTCTTGATCTTAGAGGCCTGACGACGTATAACGTAAAGATATCAATTCATGGAAATTCCAGTCATCTCGATTATGTTTGTGATCAACCGATCAAATCAGAGCCCCGCGCTCCGATAAGAAGGCCATGTCCTATACTCTAATCCTGCTTCAGGGCGTGGAACACCTCCTCAATTCCTTCCCGGGTAATAATCACCATTTGCAAACCATCACCAACCTCGATGTGTCTCTCCACGGCACTTGTAAAGGCATCCTGTACAAGCTTCTTGGCCGTTTCCTTGTCCAGAGGCTCAGCCTTCTTGGCCACAAGGGCATGTCCTTCTCCGCTTCCCGGGATGTATTGGTTCTTGGAGTTGACTTGGTTGTCCAGGAAAGGCATAATCAAGCTGGATGCCGCACCGGCAGCCCGGCACTGTTCCCGCTCGTAAGAGCCCACGGGGTCGTAGCTGTACAAAGCTCCCACGCCTTCCTCATCCAGACCAGCCAGAATAGCATGTACGTAGTACGGGAAGAATCGCTTCTCGTAGAGGATGGTCGACAATCGCTGTGCACATGCTCCCACTGACATGGATTTCCCATGTTGGTACTTGTACATCTTCACCACAGTGTCCAGCTTTTCCTTGAGAGCGTTTCCATCCGCTGCGAAACCAACAACGGAAAGAATGATAGTGGCTCCCTCACCGGTCTCATCCTCGCCGCCAATCTTGAAGACTTTCGGGACCATGCGAGAGTTGATATTGTAGCCTGATGTGGAACGAGTGTCACCAGCGAGGATAGCGAAATCAGCACCCGTGATGCCGAGGGTGGAACCGCCATTATCGGTGTAACTAGTGTAACCGTTAGCCATTGTTCCTGTTCAGTTTGATCAAGTTATTCCTTACGGATAGAACGAATGTTGTTTGAAATTAGCGGATGTTGGCTCAGAGAAGGAGTATCCAATCGTCCCAGACTGGTTACCCATGAGCGACGTCATTTTCGGCGAGATGGAGCTTGATCAGGATAAAATATCACAACGACAGCTTGGTAAAAAAAGATTAAAGTGTTGGAAGTAGAGGATTCTCGGGATTGGGGAGTTCTGGAAGATGGAGAGCAAAGAAGCTGGGTGTCTGACGCGATGCGGTAGCTGCCTTCTGATTAGGTAAGAAATACCCAAGCTCCCCGAGAGCCCTGGATTGCTGGGCGTTAAGTTTGAGATACACTGGTTTAAGAGATAAAATTGTCCATATCTCTGGATCTTATTCGAGTGCCCTCTTGATCTCCTTCAATTTCGACGCTTATACCCAGACAAACTGCGACGTGATGCTTGGTCTGGGTGATTATGAGAGCAGCAGTGAGGATGAGGTAGAGCAGAAGGGTCCTTCACCCAATTCTCAGGTATTTTGAGCCCTGCAAGAGCAGCACTGAAGGGTCGCTGATTCCACAGCAACAGCGTAACAAAGATATTCCATCTACTACCTCACAAGCTGGCCAGGATGAAGGTAACATGCTTCTATATTCTCCGCCAGTACGCTCCAAGGGTAGGCGTTGACAATTTATCTAGATCATAAGCCGTCCTACCAACAACCAAAAGAGACGCCTGTTCACACTTCCACCGATTCAGTCCCAGAAGGACCTGTCCTTGGCCCCACGTCTATGGACATGGCGCCCCTCGCGGAGGATAAGCATTCAACAAGCGGACGCTCATCTCCCTTCTCGGCTACACGCGGACTCGTTCAAGATCTCACTCTCCCTCCAGTTCCCAATCTAGACATCCCACCTTCACCTCCTGGGTCTCCCAACCCAACCGCGAACGCAAAATTTGAGCATTTCCTCTCACTCAAAAAGCAAGGCATACACTTCAACTCAAAACTCGCCACCTCGTCATCGCTTAAGAATCCAAGCTTGTTGAGGAAGATGATGGAACATGCTGGGATTGATGGGCAATCGCAATATGACACATCGCTGCCAGCCGACTTGTGGAATACTTCCATCCTACCTAAATGGGGCTTCAAGGAAGAGCTCTTGAGAACTCAGCAAGATTTCCGTAAACAATCGGAGGAGAACAAGGCATCGGGCCAGCGAACCTCGGTTGATTTTGTCTCTGGGTCTGCCTGAGGATTCACAGCCGCAACCGGACCAAGAAGACCAAACCTAATGCCAGATCTCGAATGGCAAGGCCGACTAGCCTAGGGTGCATCAGTTCTCTCGGAAAATGCGGACATTCGAAATTGTGCGCTGAAAGGGTAACTAACCTGGATACTTCGAAGATTCAGTGACACAATATTTGTCTGCTCGGCAAGGGAACCTCCGTTCTGGCTATCACTCTAGAAGAAGGACTCTTCTACCTTCAATCAAACTCCAAGACTATGTACCCGTCTCGGAAATGCATACTGGTGGTATATCCAATGACTCTAGAAAGCGTCTGAGAAGAGGATCAACGATACCTCTCAATTGACATAGCTCACATTTGAACTCGTGTACATTATCATACTTGTGGATCATACATTGGAACAATGATGCTCGATTCAGCCTCCTCCACCAGATGAATTCTGTCGGCGCCGCCTCTCCTTCTCATACAGACTTAAACAAGAAATCAACACCATTCGATCAAAGTCCTCTCCGTATTCCACTCTGATTTGAAGTTTCCCACCTTTGCCTAGTCTTTTCGCACCCGAAAAGACGGCAACAATCTGCTCGGTGTGCTCATCAACGAGCTTATAGTTTCGGCCGGTCCATTTAGACGGTGCTGAATTTTCAACCCCAACGGTTCGTGTTCGTTTCCATAGGAATGACCGCCTCCCGCTCTGAGTTTGGTCAGATCCACATTGAATTGTCATTTCGAAGCGGTATTTTGGTTTGTGAATGAGCTCCTTGGTCATATCCTCCCACTGCACGGCGTTCACATTGTCCGGGTTCCCCATGCCTATTTTGTAGTCACCGGACGACTTCAAAAATTTGGAGACGGCCACAATTGGGGCCCGGGTGCTGGTACCAGCATGGAGAATAAGGTCGGGCTTGTTGGGGGTGAACATAGATATTTCGGCGTAAAACAGAGGCTGGTCATCCGCCGAGTTGATATCATAGTGCCGGTGGAAGAGCCGATTGATGATATTATATACGCGTGAAGGGCCATTGTCGTCAACGGGATGAGCAGATGCCGTTGACCCAGCACGACTTGAGTCCGGAGAAGACATTAAAATTTCCTGAAAAGGGTCTGGATATCCAGAGATCGTCAAATGGAGGGAGAAACTGCCGGGGGTACAGCCATCTATGTAGTATATAAGTTTTGAGGCGGAGCATTCTCCAGAAAAGTGGGATTGTCCTTTTGGAATGAATACGAGAGTATCAATTAGGTTAGATAAAAGCATAGGCCTCGAGAATACGAGAGTAACTATCTAAATAGAGCATAACCAAATTTATTTCCTAAATATTTACATTTAAAGGATAGTAACATAGTTGTATGGTCTACATCCAGCTGGGGGGCTCCGTGACCGCGAGTCTTAGTCAGCCGAGCTCTCCGTCAGCTCGACTGCCTAAGATAGCTCCCCATCTATCGTCATCACTTTACTGTGCTATCCATCTGTTGTCTTCCCTCATTGTCTGCAATTTACCTCCCTTCTTCGAACCAAGGTGAAACTATCATTTATCTTCATTCATCATGAACCACTCCCCTGAAGCTTGGGGTCGCGTAGGTGGCACAACCTTCCCAGTCCTTGCTCTGTTGCTAACTATCCATCTAGCCCAGGAACGATGTCTACGGTGCCTACGACCACTCATACTTGCAGACCACAGGCCCAAAGGCCCATACCTCATCCCCTGCCGTGACCGGAACGTCAGTGGTGGGTGTCAAGTTTAATGGCGGCGTCGTTATAGCTACCGACAACCTGGGTACGCCGTTCCATTGTCACGTCCCGTTTCCTTCGCTACATTGCCATCTAACGTGATAATATTTATGAATATACAGCCTCCTACGGATCCCTGGCTCGTTTCTCCGACACGAAGCGTCTGCGTAATTTCGGCGATAAGGCAATGGTTGGCTTTGGCGGTGACGTTTCCGACATGCAATATCTCGACCGTCTCCTCGACTCCATGGATATCAAGGAGAACTACTCGCCTCACGGCAACATGCTCAACGCCAAGAACCTGCACACCTACCTTGCAAAGGTTTTCTACAAGCGACGCTCCGAGTTCAACCCGCTGTGGAACCACGTCCTGGTCGCAGGCTTCGATGCGGAAGGGGAGCCCTTCCTTAGCTCGGCAGATTTGCTCGGAACAACATTCTCTGCTCCTCATCTGGCTACAGGCTTTGGTGCTCATCTTGCGGTTCCGATTCTGCGCCGCCAGTTCCCCGAGGGTACACCCCTTGAACAAGTCAGCCAAGAAGATGCCGTCAATGCCGTAAAGGCTTGCTTGAAGGTTCTGTTCTATCGCGATGCACGAAGTAGCGACAAGTACTCGATAGCCGTGATCACGAAGGATGGTATTGATCTGAAGGAGGATGAGCAGATTCAGGGCCAGAGCTGGGCCTTTGCCGAGAGAATCAGGGGATACGGCGCGCAGATTGCTTAGATCCTTATTTATGTTTTTCTTTTACATGTAATGCACACGGGATTACGGATACAAAGATAATTTTCTGGGTCCAAATAACCTCAACGATTAATTGCAAAGGCTGAGACGTGTAGGGAGTTATATACAACTTGAACCAGTGCCAACCCTTCCATTGGCCCCAAAGCATTCAAGAGCGATAAATTTAGAGCTTGGCGCTAGGCTTGTCAAAGACCACCCGGTTGACACAAGAGCCAACGCCCTCCAGCGAAACCTCAACTTCATCGCCATCCTTCAGCCACACGGGAGGCTTGCGACCCATGCCCACACCTTGGGGTCTGTTCAATAATCAGTTTATCAACTTCAAACACCAATTGCCTTGCTCATCGGGGTGTACTCACGTTCCAGTGAAGATAAGATCTCCAGGCATGAGTGTAGTTCCCTGAGACAGGAAAGCTATCGTCTTAGCCACGCCGAAGATCATATCCTTGGTCGAAGAAGACTGGACAGTCTGTCCATTCAACTTGGTCGCGATAGCCAAGTTATTCGGATCCGCAATCACACTGGAAGAAACAATACCAGGACCAAACGGTGCCCATCCATTAAATCCCTTACCCAGCGACCACTGACCTCCACCACGCTTGATCTGCCAATCGCGGTGGGAAACATCGTTGCCGACAGCATAGCCCAGGACATAATCCAGAGCCTTGCTCTCAGGAACATCAGTGGCTTCTTTTCCGATAATGATGACAAGTTCACACTCGTAATCCAGACCCTCGCCCTCCTGGGCAAGTTGAGCCACGGGGATATCATCTGTGGGACCGGAAATTGAAGTGATGGGCTTGTAGAACAAAATTGGATATGTTGGGATGGGCATGTTTGACTCCTTGGCGTGTTGCTCATAGTTGAGACCCAGGCATCGGACTGTGCCGATATCCTTACGGGCCAGGGGTGCGAGGAGCATTCTCACGTCGACAATCTGGTCGGTAACCCGGTGCTGGCCGAAGATGTCACCCTGGATGACTCTGGCCTTGGTGGCTTTGGCGATATCGCTCACTCCGGATGGGAGAATAGCATCGCCATAATAGATTTGGCCATCTTTGGCCAGGAAGCGAACGAGGTGCTATTTAGAATATTAGTATATGATCCAATGAGTACTTTGTATTGGATCAATTTTTTTCTTCTAATTTTTGTTTCTATCTTTCTCTTCAAATGATAGCGAGCAAATTTCACACTTACAGTAAAAGTAGCCATTGGGGAATATGGGGAAGTTGAAAGTTCGATTGGAGAAATGGGGGATATCTGGGCCACTCGGCCGGGAACCTCTTTTTCCCCAGAGCGGGAAACACCAGCTCCACCCAATGATTTGCAAGCTTTTCCCTCTTCATATTCACAATGGCTAGGCTCTCCGGTCTCCAGAGGGACGTTCTATCTCTATACCGAAAGTGCCTACGGGAGATCCGAAATAAGCCGGAGGTGGGTTATATCACTTCATCCGACGTCAACCTCAACTGATACCTTCTATTGTAGGACTCCAGGATCAATTTCAAGAACTATGCCCGGTAAGACTCTATCAATTGCCTATCTTTCTATCTGCCTATCTTCTTGTCCTTGCCTTTCCGTTCTTTTTTCCCTTTCCCGACAGCATTCCCCCTAGATACCGGTGCAATCCGGCTAAGACGGTATACAGAGCAGAGTTCCAAAAACATCTCTCGGTGAATAAGAAAGACTTTAGCACAATTGAGTATCTCTTGCGCAAAGGCAATCGACAGCTCGAGCTGTATGCCACCCCGGGAATCCGCAATATCCGATGAGCGGGCCCAGATCCCAGAATCTTAGTTCTCCGGGGTGCATACGCAGTACAGAGCTAGTTTTGTATGTCTTGCCTTTCAGCCTTATATCGCCACCAGTTCACTTATTGGAATGGAATCAGAGATCTCTAGCGTCGCCGGTTCCACCCAGGACGGACCGGATTCCTCTGAACATGTTGGACATGTTGACCATGTTACGCAAAAGGCATGGCCATGCATGATGTGATTACGGCCTCGTTTTGGAGGCATCTTGTATAATAGTATATCATAGACCGTTGAGTCATTAGGGCTTTGTCATGGAGTGTTCTACCTATATCGCCACCATCGACTCATTGTAAAGTGCTGGAAGTTTCGAGTTTCAAGAGTAAATTACCAATCAGTAATTATTCAGCCTGCCCAGAGAGTCATTTGTCAGAGTTAATAGAATTATTGAGGCATGGAATGGTGTGGTTATTTCTTGAAGTTGCTGGCGGCTTGTGGACTGCGCCACTAGTTTCTGGATGCTTCCGCCCGAGTATAAGCAATCAGCCTCAGGTACTATGAACAATAGATATAAAATGGTAGACATTCCACGGCAATGAAACAGAACAATTCAATCAGAAAACAATCGTCACAGTCTCTCAGACAATCTACCTCTCTTCCAACTTTCCTCAAAAACCAAAAATCCCAAACAATGGCCTTCTACACCCAAACCAGCCTCGCGCCACTCTTCCAACTCCTCAATGACTACGAGACTCCCCAATACAAGTCTCGCCAATGTCCCAAGTCCCGCTGCATCAAGGAAGAACGTAGCTCCTCCTTCGCACCAGCCTTCGACGTGCGCGAGCTAACAAACGCCTACCACCTTGACGGCGAACTCCCAGGCGTGGACCAAAGCAACATCGAGATCGAATTCACCGATCCCCACACCCTCGTGATCAAGGGCCACACAGAGCGCGATTACATCAACGACAACGATTCCAGCTCAAGCCGCAGCTCGTCTCCTGCAGGCTGGCACAAGCCCACAGTCGAAGACGAGGATGCCGCGTCTACTAGCTCAGCCGATACTGCCAACACCGCTGCTTCGCACGCCGAAGAAGACCTGCCTCACTTCTGGGCCAAGGAGAGGTCTATCGGTGACTTCCAGCGGACTTTTAGCTTCACTGCCCGTGTTGATCAGGACTCTGTTCGGGCGAGTCTGAAGAACGGTGTTTTGTCTGTTATCGTGCCGAAAGAGGCGACTCCTGCGCCCAAGAAGATTCGCATTATGTGATTTGAATCAATTGGTGTTGGTGGCTCTAAATCCATTGACTCGGTATTGATTGCATTTGCATTGGGATCTCCGGGTGGCGTTTTCTTTCCTTGCTTGCATTTGATGAATTTGTACTATGATCTGAACTTATAATCTAAATTGATGTTTATTATATTGGCTATCCCGTGTCTAGACAGGTAATATGCACTAGATCGTAGAGAACTTAATTTCATTGACCCTGCACCTACTAAACGCCCCTTACTTGGTAGACAGGAATGGCTGGGGAAGCCCTGAGCCACGCGGTGAGGAGTATGTATGTAATCATAAGCAGGCAAGATTGCCGAAAACTGAGATCGTATTCCATCGGGGACCTGCATGCATTTCGGGGACTAGACTGAACGCCCAATAAAAGCCTAAAATTGCAAAACACATGGCATACAGAATGGATTGTGTGCAACGCCAGGTATGATTCATGCCAATTCCACTTCCAATTCCACTTCCAATTCCACTTCCAATTCCAAAAGGGTATACCTAACAAGACTCCATATCCAAAACGTGTCGTAAACTCCCGCCAAAGTCCAAAAAAGGAAAACAAAAACAACGCACCTCCATGAACTTTTGTAGACGCCATAGGCAAACGAGACAAGATCACAATAACATCCGAGGCAAAAAATGGACAAAAAAATTATTACCAGAAAAATAAATAACCACAAAAAAAAAAGGAAGAGGTCATCTTATGCACAAATCCACCTGGGGACGAATCTTCGTCAACCGACGGCGATATTCATTGCTTCGGGATCGAGATCGGCCTCGCACCGGCTCAGAGGAACATAATTTAGCATCAAGGTCAAGGTCATCCTGCAAGTAACCTGGGGACGTGGTAGTGGGCAGTGGGGGAGCGTTAACGCCTGGTTTCATGCTCCAGATGCGACTTCCCCGTCGGCTTCTAGATCGAGAGAGTTGTCGTTGTGTATTATACTCTTCATGAATTTGATACTCAGAGGCTGACCTGCGAAGTCGCTCCTTGGTTTCAGTAGTTGGCTGTTGGTAGTTGAGGTGTGATTCCCCAGTTGTGGCAGACCCTGGAGTAGACGCAAGATCAAACGAGGCCAAGGACAATCGATCTCCATAGAGAGGTCCCCTGGTAAAGCCTTGGCCCTGGTGTGGAACAGAGGTCAGAGCAGTGGACTTGACTTCGGGGGATTCGTGCGCCCAAGGATATTCTGTGTATCGGGGCGCACACAACGTTGACCGACGCGATCGCGATGGAGCGAGAGGAGTTAGGTCGCTCGAGTCGTACCAGCGAGCAGCGACTGGATACAGCCTCGAGTAGTTCTCCGGTTTTGTCTGCAGGCTCAGGGGACGCTGCACTGTATCGCCTAGTCGACCTGAAGCCGAGCCATTCGGGATACAGATGTTCTTTGAGCTATCTGTACCACATGAGCTAGACGTCTGTGAGGTAGCAGAGCTCTGAGTGCGGCTTCGCTGTATGGAGTGGATTGAGGTGGCAGAGCTATAGCCACTGTCGGACTTGTTGAGGGATTGAGATGTGCTCCGGGTAAGACCAGTGTCCAGGGCGCCTTTCTCCAACTGGATTCTCGTATCATCGCAGAGGACAATCCCTTCATCTTCTGGCTCCCCAGGAAACAATGATTTTGCCCGAGGCTGGACTGTGATAGTGGGAGACTTTTCGAAAGAGAATGGACTGCCCGGAACATCGTCCGATTTCTTCAAGTCGGGCAAAGATGGAATATCCAACGTCGAGCCCCTGCTAGGTGTGACTTCGATGTTCTCAAGACCAAGCCCAGGACCTGGATCGCAAGGCCCATTAAAAGGAATGCGTTCGCTCGGACATGGAGAGGCCGAGCCATTTACGACTCGCAAAGACCCTAGTTTGAGTGCCCCGAGCTGGGTATATCGCGTATCCATTGGACTCCTCGGCCGCGGTGGGGAAGGCATACGCAGCGGACGCTGGGCCGAAGGCAACGGCCATTGCAACACGGTGGACTCCGTCGGATCCTCGATCGGACATTCAGGCTCCCCAATGGGCGATGGGACGCGTCGAACTGTACCTGTTCGTCTCGTGGCAACCCCAGGTCGCGTCAGGAGCGATCGTCGACGCGTTAATGAGAACCGTTGGTTGCCAACCAAGAAGTGGGTGTTGGAAGATGTCGCATCCCCGATGTGCTTTTCATAGACGGCGCTGTTGTGCCTCTGTAGGGGAATTCGGGTCGAACTGGCCCGTCTTGGCGGTTGCTCGTGAAGAGGTGAGGGCTGCGAAGCTGATTCCCAAGTTTCCGACTGGTACGATGTTCTTCTCGAAGAGGCCTGCAGGCTTGGGCGGGTTGGATGACGCTGCGTGGTACTCTGCTCATATACAATGGCTCGATCCTCTGTCGAGGTCTCTTCGGACGACTCTGTTTCAAAAAGGGTAGGTGGGATATCTGCTTTCTTGGGGTAACTGCCCCGTTTTTCTATCGGGGTACTGGGGATATTCTTGCCAACCCAAGGGTTTTGCCACCCTATTAACCCTGAACTGAACGTTGCAGGGTCTGTTTCAGGCAGTTGGGAGCTTTGAAGGGTGAACTTCTTGGTCAGGGGCTTTGAAAGGCGGTTGGAGCGGCGTGTCTCGTCTTTGGCTTGGCTCGATTGGGAGTTGCCCATGACTTCAGAAACGGAGGTAGGTTCAGATTTGCTCCAGATTCAACGGGGCATGTGCAGGGAATGATATACAATTGGAACAAGGGCTTGGAGCACTGTTCCCCCGCACGAGTGACCCTCGGGGATTTCCAAGCTTATCCCGATAGAGCTTTTCCGATTAGATCGCACCCCGGACTACTGACGTCAAGCCACGCCCTTGTCCACAGAGGACGTAATCCGAGCCCCAAGCTTGTACGACAGCTAAGTTGGGAATTTGAGACGATTGGCGACTCAGGGTTTCCCAGCAAGCCCGGAGATGATGGTCCGTGTTTCAGATTGAGTGCAATGCAGAAATTGGTTGGACTGGAGTGATGGAAGGCAGATGACGAGGGATTGAGGTAACGTCAAAGCCGATAATCTTGAAAGCTGGGAATCCCCTTCAAGCAAGATTCTGAGGATTTCACGATTTCACCTCGGTTCACGGGGAGGTTGATAGACGGGGTAGATCAAAATCGACAGATACGTAGCTGGATCGACATTAAAGATTATAGACAATCAAATACAAAAAAAAAAAAAGCAAGCAAATTAAGTAGAAATTGGTGGGGGATTAGGGAAAGGGGAACATACGATTAAGAAGTGGAGAGGAATCAGACAAACGAGGTGTATATGCAACTAAACGCTAGGAAAACGACGCAAGCATTTCGCCACAAAGATTCAGATACGCGCATTCTGCATTAGAAGCTGCATGCAGAAGAACAGCTCCACGCGGGAGAGGGAAAAAAAAGGTACCGCCTTTCTACCGCAACCGGAAGAGGTATCCAGTACTTGACTTTAATATGTCAGCACTATGCCCAACTTAGGTATCAAGTACGGAGTACCCTATCGACATGTAGTATTCTTGACAAACTCCATTGTTTTCTTCTATATCCGGACCACCGCAATCATCTCTTTCCTTTCTTTTTTATTCGTTTTGTATTGGATTCATCTTCCCATGTCGCTGATTTGACATAAATCTGACAAGTGACAAGGTCAAGTGCTCTTATCCTTGCGAAACCCCTGCCCTGGCCACACCGCATTCACAGCTGAGCGTCTGCATCCGGTCACTGGTACACTGATACGAATCGACATCTCCCCAGGCCCCAGCCGCATGGCTGAATCTTGCTCTGCATTTCCCTTTCTGGTGCAGTCGGAGTTTGAGAGTGCATGTAAAGATCTCGCTGATCGATGCACTTCGGCCCAAAATATTGCCTGGTCTATTCGACTGCTCACAAAGGTATCCCTTTTTTTCCATGCATGAACCATTAAATCTAATCTCTTTCCTTATTTGACTGGAACGAAGAACTGATGGGAGAATATATTGTTTTTTTGGATGAATATAGCCAAATGGAACAGGCTTCAGAATAACAAAATGTGTCAATGTCCCCAGCCTAGAAACCCCAACGCTGGACGAAGAATCACAGGAAGACGAGGATCCGGTCTGCAGAGTTCTAGCCCCCAAGGGAACGTGTCCACTTGTCCTGACCCTTCACCGCAGGAAGCTCTCGTTCGCGCCAACCCCCCCAGCTTACAGATCGACTATGACATCTTATTGTCCCCCACATATCAGGTCCCCGTCTTGTACTTCGGCCTCAGGTGGGACAACGGCCCACTCGGACTAGACCAAGTCTACCAGTATATCGTGCCGGAACAATACAGGCAAGAATTGAAGAGTGTGGGTGTAATGGGTGGGATTAGTATGGGTGTAGGTGCATTCTCGGAACCTCGTGACAAGAGCTCATGTCTTTTTGTTTTCTTTTTCTTGTAGTACCATCCTGACTCTGGCGCCCCGGCCTTTTTTATTCACCCATGCAACACCGCGGATGCCATGGCGAATATTGCAGACGCACAGAGCGTCACCCCGGGGTCATATCTCCTCATCTGGCTCGGCCTTGTAGGTCATTGCGTGAACCTGCACGTCCCACGCGAGCTTTTTGCTTAGCACAGTACCAGCCAATACTTCTTGCATATGCTGGAAACGCTGGGGAATAAAAAAAAATATCACATGCAAAGCGAGGACTTCAAGTCTCTCTCAGTCCCCAGCGGGGCCTTTCATTAGATTACTCCTCATCCGAGGAAGCTTCCATTGGCACGTCGCTATCTTCGTCCATTGGGGCCTCTTCGTTGTCGCTTTCCTCTTCACGCGGTCGCTTCAAGCCTTGGCCCTCTCCATTGGCACCGGTTGTGGGTCGTGCAGGGAGGGCACCCGGAGGAGCACCGAAGATAGACTTTTGGAGGTCGGTTGTGACTGGGGCTGGCGCAGCCTCAACTGGCGCAATGTATGTACCGCGAAGTTTGGAAATGACATTTGATGATCCTTTGGCGTAAACGATTTTCTACATATCCATTGATTGAGCGGGAGTTTGCGATGATAGAAGGGCAATGAAAACATACCATCTGTTTCCCGAAGAAATCGAATCCTTGTAAAGCCCGCAGCGCCTGTGTGCTGGCTTGGACATCCTTGAACACAACATGAGCTTGGCCTCGCATTTTTTGGGTCTTCATGACCACAATGTCGAGAACGGTGCCGTATGTGGAGAACAGGGCATAGAGTGCCGTTCGGAGATCATGTTTCGGAATTCTCTTGTCGGGCAATTGTGTGCAGTAGAGACTAACAATGGTTAGCGTCAATGCGCGACAGTCTCCGGTGCTGGGATAAGCTCACGTCTGGTTGGGAGGGCCGGTAGCGACGGCCTTAGTATCGGGGCCTCCACGAGCGGGCAATGATTTTGAAGCCATTTTTTGGATTATTAAAAATGTCAGAAAGACTGTCGTCTGATTGAAAGAATAAATGGGATAGCGTATGGGGAAATGAAGCTCAATCGCGTGCTGTGTCAATGGCGACTCAAAACCTCGACACAAAAGTAGCTTGGGGTCATGTGATGCCTGCTCTGACTAAGCACCGCCGTCATCACCCAGCTCCCCTCCTGGTCCGCAACTACATAATCAAGTATACAAGCACGACGGTAGAGAGACCCTCCTGTCGTTATTATCTCCAATATGGCCACTCCTCAGGTTCACCATCTCTTCCACGCACCAATTGCAGACCACTCGTTCTCGTCCGATAAGAAGACACTTGCTGTCGCTCGGGAGAACAATGTGGAGCTGTATCAACAATCAGGCAACAAGTTTGCGCTGAGCGATGAGCTCAAGGGCCACGAGAAGACCGTCACCAGTGTTGATATTGCTCCCAACAGTGGCCGAATCGTCACTTGCTCGCAGGGTATGTTTTAACAAGGCTCTTACTACACCTATAATACCTAACAGGTGTTCGCTCTCTAGACCGCAATGCCTACGTTTGGGAGAAGACCCCCACTGGATGGAAACCTACTCTGGTCCTTCTCCGAATCAACCGTGCCGCAACCTTTGTGCGCTGGTCTCCCTCGGAGCAAAAGTTCGCCGTCGGCTCTGGCGCCCGAGTGATCGCAGTCTGCTACTTCGAGGAGGAGAACGACTGGTGGATCTCGAAGCACATCAAGAAGCCCATTCGTAGCACCATTACAACCCTGGCGTGGCACCCGAACTCCGTCCTGCTGGCAGCCGGATCGACTGATTCTCACGCCCGAGTCTTCTCCAGCTTCATCAAGGGTGTTGATACCCGCCCGGAGCCTAGTGCGTGGGGAGAGCGCCTTCCTTTCAACACCATCTGTGGCGAGTACCTGAATGATACTGCTGGTTGGATCCAGGGTGTTGCTTTCTCTCCTAGTGGTAATGCGCTTGCCTTCACTGGGCACGATAGCAGTGTGACTGTCGTGTACCCCAGCGCTCCGGAGCAACCCCCGCGGGCGATGTTGAATATCGCCACCCGTTTGCTGCCTCTCAACAGCTTGATCTGGAACGGCGAGACTGAGATTATTGCAGCTGGACATGTGAGTTGTTTCTTTTTTAATAATACCACGGCTTGTGCTAACCGCATCTAGGACTGTGAGCCCTTCCGTTTCCGCGGCGATGAGAATGGATGGCAACTTGCCGGCTCTCTGGAGAACAAGGCTGGACAAGCTGGAGGTGCCCGGGAGGAGTCCGCCCTGAACATGTTCCGACAGATGGATCTCAAGGGCCAGGCCCAGGCAGACACCAAGCTCAAGTCTACCCACCAGAACACTGTTCACACCATTCGGGCCCACGATGAAGCCAACGGAGTTGTGAGCTCCTTCAGCAGTAAGATCGCCCTCCTGAAACACGAGACCTACAAGAGACTAACATATTGTTATAGCAAGCGGTGTCGACGGTCGTGTTGTCATTTGGACCGCCTGATTTGAACTACCTTTTAATGCGGCCTTAATCCATGGTCAGCATGCATATAGTATTGGATAGAATTCTTCGAGTACATTCCAGTCTCTCGTGACCATTCAAATTGCATCACGTAGTTGTAGACCCGTGTATTACCTGGGGTATCTTGATCGACATAAACTGACCAATAAGGAAATCGATGACATAATGGCCAGGTTACCCCGGATTCCAGTGACATCTCCGCATCACACGGTCTTGTTCTCTCTTCTCCTTAATGCATACATATCTTCCCTCAGTTACCCAGATCAGTATGTTACGCCATGGCTAGTATTTTAGTCCTCCACCTACTACTCTATACCTGCTTCCTGAGCCCCGCCACAGCCCAGGTCAAACATGTTTCAACAGACCTATTCAACTCCCTGGAGGAACTATCCCGATTAGTGGACATCTCATATTGCGTCTCAACAACAGGAATACATCAACCCTTCCAATGTCTGAGTCGCTGCGCCGAATTCCCAGATCTAGAATTAGTAACCGTCAGCCCACCTACAACCCAGCACCCACCTACCACAAATCCAACACAACCCACTAACCTATCCAACAGACCTGGAACACAGGCCTCCTCCTCTCCGACTCATGCGGATACATAGCTCTCTCCCACACACCCACCTCCAAACAAATTCTCCTCGCCTTCCGCGGGACATACTCAATAACAAACACAATAATAGACCTATCCGCCTACCCACAAGCCTACATCCCCTACCAAGACCCAGAACAAACCACCCCCTGCAAAAACTGCACCGTCCACGCAGGCTTCATGCGCTCATGGCTACACACACGAACAGAAATCCACCCCCAAATCTCCGCTCTGCGACAACAATACCCAGATTATCCCATAGCGCTAGTCGGCCATTCCCTCGGCGGAGCCATCGCCGCACTCGCAGGACTAGAGATGCGTTTGAAGGGATGGGATGCGACTGTGACGACGTTCGGAGAGCCTATGATTGGGAATGCGGCGTTTGCGAGATTTCTCGATCAGCAGTTCGGGCTTGGGGATGGTATAACCATCCCACCCGCAGGATCTGGAGGGGTTCAGCGATTTCGTCGTGTGACGCATGTCGGGGATCCGGTTCCTATGTTACCACTTGTTGAGTGGGGATATAGTCCTCATGCTGGGGAGGTTTTTATTTCGAGGGAGGGATTGCCGCCGCGGGTGGAGGATGTGGTGCATTGTGTTGGTTCGGAGGATCCTGCGTGTATTGCCGGTAGAGGAAGTGAGGGAGTTTTGAGGGAGTTGTATCGGGATTTGAATGTTCCTGTTGGGGTGGCTGGTGATGGTGGGGAGGAGTGTCGGTCGACTGGTGGTGGTGATGGTGATGTGGCTGAGGAGCAGGCTGTCTTGGGACGTCCAGTGAGTTCTGATCTTGGTTGTGAGGATCGATTATCGCCTCTTCGGTGGAATTGGTCTCTTATACCGGCGAGGTATCGACTTTGGGAACTGTTTTATGCTCATCGGGATTATTTTTGGAGGATTGGGCTTTGTGTTCCGGGGGGTGATCCAACTGGATAGAATATATCTGCATATGTATGTATTCGGGTTGGATGCCGGCGTTTATTGGTTTGCTATTGATATACCTGGGATACCCTATTCTGTACATAATTGTATCGGTACCTTTCTTATGAGAAAAGATTCTTTCAACCTGATATCTATTCCATTTCTAAGATTGTTAATTCAAAGCAAATAGCAAGTACAAGAAATCAGACCAGCTGCACAATTGTTGCAACATCATAAAGACAGACAACCAAGGATAGGGAACAGAGGAAGAACAGTAACATATGCAAACACGCCAAAAAGAACAAATCAAAGACCATCAAACAATAGCAATGCTGTGCAAGAAAGACCCGAACATCTCAAATCCAAAGCCCGAAATACAGGTGTAAAAAAAACTTAGTCCTCCCTTCACCTCCCCTGATCCAAACAAGGCACAATAACCGGTCCAAATTTAACCACACTCCCAAGTGCCCCATCCCCCTGAACCATAAAGTCCGCTGCAAGACTCAATTTACTAACCCCAGCCGACATGCCATAAGAAGCATTAACAGCCTCGGGGTCATACGCAACAATAGCGACGTAATTCCTTCTCGCCATGAGCTTACGGTACTCACGAGCCTGGCCGTTGACGTCCGTCTGGAAGATTTCCATCATGTCTTCCTTTGTATCGCTTACTTGGGCGGAGGATCTGTGGCCATTGGCGGGGACGTAGAGGGGTTTGCTGTGGCTGTGGAGGAGTTTGATGATGTATGATGGTGGTGGGGTGTTGACGACTGAGGAGGCGATGAGCTGGTACATTGTCTTGTGGTCTGAGGGGTTTGAGGGGTCGTGGACGAGACCTGCGCCGCAGACGTTGACGGCGCCGGAGAGGAAGGTCATTCGGATTGATTTTTGGTGGGCGATGCCTTGAAGGGTGCGGATGAGATATGTGCGTTCAAGATCCTGGTTCGGGTCAGTATGGATCGATGGAAGGTGGTGGGAGGAGGTACAAACCTTTGACTCGTGTGTCCATTGATCGCGTAGCTCGTCCATCGAGTTAAATTCACCAAATGGACTCAGTATACCCCCCATCAGGCCGGATTTACCTACGGCTCGTTTCACGGAGTCGAAGCCCGAGCCGACAAAGTCTTTAGCGCCGACTACTCCGGCTACTGAGCTGGTAACCTTGCCTAGCACATTGTACGCGCCGGTCACAGCTCGCTTTCCAGTTGCAACGGTCTGGACGATATGTTCTGCCGTCTCTAGACGGGGGTAAATGAGTGGGACAGCGACCATCCAGAGACAGTGTTGCACACTGGGTGGTAGCATTGCGATCTTCGGGAAGAGACCCTGATACGTGGGACCAGCCATGACTTGGTGAGGGTTTCGTTCTGAGCGGCAATCTGGACCGACGACGACGACACCGGGACCTAGGTATTTAACGAAGTGCCAGCCTGTTCCGGTGATGGTAAAGAGGTCCGTATCATTGCTGACGTTTCGGAGGATGTCGAGGGTTGTGTGATGCTGGAAGAGGAGGTACATTTCGATACCGATGCGGCCGATATTCTTGAACATGTTTGAGAACTGCATGTGTTCGGGATATGAGCCGAATCCATCGAAGCTGTGAAGATGTCAGTGTGTTGCTAGTTGATTATTGATGTATGGACGACTCACATGTCATGATCATCTACCTGGCAGACGTAGGGAATCTGCGCAAATGACTCCCTTATGTGGGGTTGGTCGAAATGGCTGGTATAGTAATGGAAGTATGCGTGAGAAACATCTTGCTGGTTAGCCGCTGTCCAAGGAGCGTTCTTTCTAGCCTCTTTTCCACTGATCGTCAACCACTGCTTGAGGGATGGAATCTCCTTCCACATGCGATCCGCATAGATCTGCCCACCTAGACATAACTGGGCGTGGAAACCACCGATCTCATTGTGCTTTTGCATGATATCTTTCCACATGTAACCGACGCCACCCACACGAGCCCGCTCACTAGCATTGACATTGAGCGAGAAGTCATTTCCAGACGTAGAAATGAACCGCCAGTTGGTCTCGTGTCGACCAGCGACGAGGAACTCGTAGCGAGTGCAGCCCAGGTGTGAGGTGATGGCGTAGGTCCATTTCGCAGGACCTGAGTCGTCCATCTGTAGGTCAATCTCATATTTGTAGAATGTCCAGCGTTGATGGGCGGCAATGTTGACTGCCTTCAATTGTCTTGGGTTTGGAGACAGGTCTAGACTCTGGTGCATGTGAATCGTGGGTGGCTGTGCGGCATCTGTCACCAGTAGGATGGATCCCATCCAGACTCCACGCTCGATATCCATGTTGGTGTAACGCAGATAAGGACCAAAGTAGACACCGTTGGTCGGGGTGTTTTTGTACAGATCCATGCCACTACTGGGGGGAGGACCAGAGAATCCAGACACGACGGGAGACTGTAGGCTTTCGAAGCCAGGAGTCAAAGGCACACCTGGCGACGCCATAGGCTTTCCGAAAGCCGACAGACCCGGGGAAACCAGCGGGTGGGCGCTATACACACTTCCCACTGGGGATAAGGGCGTGTCATTGAGGTTAAGCGGCGTAGGCCCCTTGGGGAACTCCCACTGAGTTGACTGAGTGGGCAAGTGGATGTAGTAATACTGTCCCGAGCTTGGATCCATATGGGCAATCCACCCCTCCGGAAGAGGTGGTGGGGATGCTGGACCTGCGCTAGCAGGGCCTGGAGAAGTCACCTGGACTGTCTGATGATGGAAACCAGACAAGTCATTAGCAACGGACGCCTGTGGAGATTGGCCTGCCTGCTGTTGCTGTCTCTGGTCATTCCGGAAAGCGGGATGGTCCTGCGGGGAGGCTGTCGGTGCAGGTGAATGTGCTTTTACAGCAGGATTTGGCTGGTTTACCAAGGCCGGGTGCATCATTGCTGCTCCAGCGCCAGCTCCAGCAGCTGCTGCTGCCGCCGCTGTTGCTGCCGCCGCCGCAGCACCGTTCTGCTTTTCATTGGGATACCCATTTGAAGAAGGACCGGATACACTTGAGTAGGCAGGAGGAGGAGAGGAGCTGAGGCGCATCCGATCCATATCTTGTTCCAGGGCATTAGGGGCAACTCTTCCTGGCTGTTCTTGCTGCTGCTGCTGCTGTTGTGGCCCAGATGCAGGGTGCATTTGGGATGGGGATCCACTGTACTGTCCCGGATGAGCCTGAGGGGGCGGGCTGCTATATTGGCCAGGGTGAGCCTGGGGCGGCGGAGTACTATATTGACCCGGATGAGCCTGGGGTGGCGGGCTGCTGTATTGACCGGGGTGAGCCTGGGGCGGGGGGCTGCTGTATTGACCCGGATGAACTTGGGGCGGCGGGCTTCCATAGGACCCAGGCATCTGAGGCGGCGGACTACCATATTGACTCGGATGGGCAGCGGGCTGATTATTATCCGTGACGACCTCATCACCCTGATAAACCGTCGGAGGCCCATGAGGCTGGGAACCAGGCTGCTCAGTCGGAGTCCACGGGCGCTGCTGCTGTTGCTGCTGGAAAACCGGCTGTTGTCCAGAATACTGCTCTGCACGTCTCTGCGCAGCCACATTATGCGACTGGATACCCTGGAGAGTACCTGTGCCTGCGATGCCAGCGGCCGCATAACGGGCCTCGATATCAGAGGCGGGATGCTGGCCTGGACCAACGATGGGCGTCTCCGGCGGCGGGGGTGAGCCACGCTGGGCGCGGGTTGTCGAAGTGGAACTGATGCGATTGAGCGGGCCTTGTGGGGCCTGTAGACTTGACGGGGGACGGGCAGCAGAGGTTGAGCTTTGGCGTTGAGGGGGCGGGTAGTATTGTTGACCGTAATCATATTGACTTGTGCTTGCTGGTAGACTGGCTGGGGGTCGGGGGTACTGTCTTGCCGCTAAAGCGTCGCGATCTGGCGCATCATGGCTAGGCGATTCGGGAAGCGGTTTAGGGGCTGCACCTCTTCGTTCGGCCAATGTTGCGACTCGGGGTTCGCGACCGTCCCGCGGTCGCAGCGCTGTTGGATATTCATTTGGACTCACGGAGCCAGAGCCAGGACCAGCTGGCGGAGACCCATATCTAATGTTGTCGTGATATCGCTCGTTTGAGCTTGAAGTGCGCATCTGTGGACGTTGACGGTCATCCGGGTAGGGAAGCGGGGCGTTTGGTGGGGGACTGGAGCCCGCGGCCGATGCTGGGGATGATGAGTCCCGTTTGCTGATACGTAGAGGGCCGATGGTGGGTGATTCTTGTCTACCTGGGTCGTTGAGGAAAAGCTCCTCGGGGTGGAGGGCACGACTGCTACCACTCATCTTGGAGTAATTCTGCAGACCGAATTCAGCCACAGTAGAATGCGACTCTCAGAGATAAGCGCGAGGTTGAAACGGAGGGGTAGATGCGGGGCAGAGATGAGAAGAACTCATCTATTCATAGAAATTGTCCGAGAGTAAAAGGAAAAGAAAAAAAGCAAAAGCTGAAGGATCAGGAGGTTTTCTAGGCGCTAAGATGAGCGAGACGCCCAGACCCCGCAAGTGCAGGTGACGAGATAATCACATTGCTGCCTTGGCCTAGACGCCAGGTGCTATACTATATGCCAAGGAGGTGATTCTAAAATGGGTCGGCCCGAGCAATTTCCGATTATATTCATTTCTATACATACCCCATATCCCGTCAATCATGCTAACATAGTCAAAATATAGTCCCCCATGCCCGTATGCGCCAATGCTCAAAAACAAAACTCCAATCAAAACCCGAAATTGACCATCTGAAGACCCTCCTGAGCCATTAGATCCGACCAATCCACATCAAATGTATGGCCCACATGCATAAGTCGCTCTAATTGCCGCTCGTACACGATCTGGAGGATAGCACGAGTCGTTGCCGCATTGCGACCCATGCCATCTTCCTCATCTTCCATGCTAGTCATCAATTCCATGGCCATCATCTTTAATCCACTAGCCGATGCTGTGGCACCTGCTAGGAACAAGGGAAAGACTATAAAGTGCCGATCAGCTCGGCGAGTGTGTGTAGTCCGCTCGGCTAAGCGTAAGATCTCCGTTGCATGGTGGTCGATTTCTCCATCTGGGGAGAAATCAGACTCGAGGCGTTGTCCGGGCCACATGCTACTGTAAGAGAAGAGTTGACAAACATGGTACAATGTAGCGGACTAGAAGGAGTTAGTTAGCCTTTCCTTTTTGATACGAAAAAACGGGAAGAATGACTAACCTGTTGCATGATTTCCCGAGACCGCCGCGGGAGATTATCCTGGTGTTGATGTAGGAAGGCAACATCGGGGGATTCCCACAGTCTCCCAAAAGCCTGGCGCAGATCGCTTACTTCCTGCGATCTCTGATCGAACTCTGCAAAGGGCAGATTCTGTTTATCGTGACGAAGCCGAGTAGCCAGGAAGCCCAGTTGAGCCGCCAGCCGGAAGGTGTCATGGTATAGACGCATAATCACCGGTAGGCTCTCATGTTCGTCGGAGTAAATGACACTGTATCCCTCTGGGGCCGAAGGGTAGAGAAGACATTCTGAGCCAGGAAGCATCTGGTGGTCGATCACGGCTCGTACAAATTCTCCGGTCCCTGCTCCGCTGAACAAAGCGTACAAGTCAATGTGGCACACCCACCAAAGGATGAATGGGTGGGGTTCTTGGCCATACTTGGCTCGTCGAAGGAAGGCGATGTGGAGAAGGCGAGAGATATGGTGAGACCAGAGGTTCGAGCCGTGTGGCTCGGCGGCTGCGATCTAAGGGATTGTAAGTATATAGACTGTGAGAAATGCAACTGCGTCCTTCAACCGCTTACCTCGTAAATCAAAAGCAGGAAGTGCGTAAGGAACAGTCCGTCGGAAACGAGATCATCGTTGTTCCGCAGGCTGACCTGGAGCGAAGGGAAAGCTTGCTGATAATATTGTAGCGCATCGACATTGTGACCTGTGCCGCTGTGCGAGAGACTAAGGGCTGATACAGCCATCATAGCGTGGGAAAGCTGTGATTATTAGCATGAGCATATGAACCAAAGAACGAAATACCCACAGGAGGGAAACGAGTGGCTTCCTGCTCTAGGAAGTCCATGCTGAGAGTCATAAAGTGACTATGACTATCCGAGCCACAAGAATCATCCAGCCTATGGTCGTGAGGGAACAACTGCCTCCATACGACATGACGAAAGTGGGAAAAGATAGTCGAATCCTGACTTTGTTGGTCAAGACGCGGGTCGAGGAAAGTCATCTCCTCTACCTTGACATCGGGCGACGGAAGCGAGGTGAAATTCGGCGAGAGAGACAAATTGCAAAAAGGATCGGATATCTCCGAGGTTGGAGAGATCCTGATCTTCCCGCTCGACGGCGAGCGACGGGTAACATCTTCAAAAGTCTTCAAAATCACCACATTGGGATCTTCTCTCACGTCTGGCTTTGCCGTGATCGTGGGGCTATTGGTGGCGGAGCTCCTACACTCGGAATTTGATTTAGGTTTCTCCTCGTCTGCATATTCTGGCAGGGAGGAGAAACTGTCTGGTGTCATCACGACGTGGTACGTGCCTGGACTAAACGCTTCCGCTTTCTTTTCCCGCTCTTCGTCCGAAGTGAGCAGGGAAAAGGGCGGAAGGGAATCGCCGAGAGAGAAATAATCGGTTCTCTCATCACTGGAACCCGGCGAGGTAACTACTCTAGTTAGTACTATAAAAAAAGAAAGAAAACCCCTAAGAAAAAGACAGTGCTTACGATCCCAAACGACATGGCCGTTTGTCTTGACATCGGCCATGCGGCCCATGATACGAGGGGTATCATCGCGAAAGGCCAACCGTGGACGATAATCGCAAGTATGGCCTAGACGAGTACATTGCTGTAAAGAGATAAGTAAAAGGGTAAGGTGAAAAAAAAAAAGAGGAAATTAGAAGCGTGAAGAATGCATACATTACATTGCGGATGTCCTTCATCACATTTGACTAGAGAATGTGCGTCAGCCACCGAATTAGAGACAATTATTCAAATGACTTACCCTTTCGACTCTGTAAAAGAAAAAGAAAAAAAAGGACCAATTAATCAACTGTTTTTTTTTTGGTTCTTTTCAGGGGTAGACAAAAAGAAACTCACTCGGCATGTCCTAGAGCGAATAAGTTTGGGGGTTCAGTCATATAGAGACGATCATGGACGATCACTTACCAACAACCGGTACGAGATCGCGGAGGCAGGCGGATTCGCGGTGGAGCAATCAAGGCCTTTTCAGACTTGGCAAAGGTGTCAAAAAGATCTTCCTTGGGGGCGATGATGGGTAACCGCAGAGGAGGTTTTCCAGAGGCTTTGCTCCGTCTGTTTTGCATGATCAGACTGGTTACCGTCATAAGGCTGTATGGATCAGTGCTGTACGGACGGGCTGAATTGGAACACTTACCATATATTAGTGCAAAAGAAAAAAAAGCTAAGAAAGTATGGGGGAAGGCGTATTAAAGAAAAGAAGATATTATAAGAGATAGGGTGGGGAAAAAAGGAGGGAAAAGGCTAGATGTGTACATTCAAAAATGCAGTTCATGGTCTTGTCGAACGGGTGGCGGGAATTAAGGAAAAATAAAATTATAGTTATTTCCCAGTTATTTGCAGGTTTTATTTCTATAAATTATTGAAAGGAAAAAAAAATAGAAAAGGGCAGAAAAGGGCAGAAATGGGCAGAAAAAACCCCAAACCCTCAGAAAAACAGGGAAAAAGAGAAAGAAAAAAAAAATGGCATGCAGATGCCAACCATGTGGACAAAGTTACTATTATTACATTAGGAGCCCAAAGGTTAGTCCGGGCTAAGGGGAACTAGGGAATTAGGGCAGAGATAAAAGGAAAAAAGAGACCTCGGGACTTCAGGGGGCTAGCTGACCCTCTTCCGGAGCCGAAGTATCTTAGGTGTCTATTTACGAGACTATCTGGGGAAGAAAAATAGTCTCGATCGGCCGGGACCCCTGGTCTGGATCGTGAAAATCGAAGAGAGATCACACTTTCGATCTCTTTGGGACTCTCCGCATTCCAAACGGACTTGGCCGAGTATTAAGCGAGTGGCGTTGAGGGCATTTTCACTGCAGGAATTTAACTATACTATTTCTCCCCCTTGGAAGGACTTCCCATTGGCACGATTGCTTGGAGGGTATCCCCTATAGTATCCGAGCGACGAGCAATAAGAAATAAACATTGATCGACCTGTAAATATAAAAACAAATAGAAACCACGTGGGATTCTTAATTCGGCAGGGCCAAAGCCTCGTCCAGTAGACGCTGAACCGATCCGGATCTCTCACTGGCTCTCCATTCACGAACACGCATGATAAGGGTGTCAGGCACACCCGCTTGGGCATGCGGACTCAATTTCAGGTACGCTAAAATGGTCTCTGCACGACCCTTGCGGATGGCCTCCACAGACCCTTCCACTTCACCTGTGAGTAACTTGTCCGCAAGAACGGTCAAGGGTGCGGCGATTTGTTCACCGGATGATGAATCGATCCACTGATCCACTCGCGTAAAGAAAGCTCGGAGCTCATCGTAGACCGTGCTGACGACCAGTCGCCCACCAAGTTGGAGAGCCTGAGCTAGCGGACTGGTCACCTGGTCCACGTACTTCCCCAGGGCTATGGTTAGCGTTAGCAAGGAATGACGCTAGGGGTTTCTCACAGGGTTTTGGAAATTTTAGAGGGGATTTCGGGGATTTCGGTGACTGACCTTCTCCCGAAGCGGTGGGGTTGAAACATTGCAGGAAACATTGTACACACGCCGCAAGGGTGTCATCTTGGGTCGAGCCGCGCCCATTCCTGGAGTCTATCTCCATTTGGTCTTGGTCTTGGTCTTTCATTTCTTCAATCACCGGAATAATCTTTAATGCATCCGGCATGAAATTGAGGTCCTTGCGTGCCTGTGCAATCTCGCCCATTGCCCGTAGTCCATGCGGCCGGTAGAGCACATTAGCTCGCTTCGCTTCGCGAACCGTAATAGTCTGACATGCGTTAGCATAGTTCGAACCATGATTTTATAAGAAAATCTGGGAAGTGGCGACATGTCAGCCCATACCTTTAGCTTCCCCAACTCCTCGTTGGATTGCCACAACTTTTGGGCTTGCCCGCTAAATTTCACTAGTGCCTTGAGCACCACTTCTTTACCTTCCCACGTCTTCCCCGCCAGAGCACGCTCCAATACTGGCCAAATCAATTGAGCCGTCGGAAGGTCAATCTCCGCGTCCAGCGATAGCACTGCTTGCGCAATCGCCCGTGCGGCCGTGTGCTTGATAGCCCAGCGGGGAGATTCCAGATTGTCCGAAACGAGGCCCACAATCTCGCGAATGTAAAGTGACACCGCACGCGATCCACCGACGTTATCTTGCCATATCTTCTCAAATTGCTCTTTCACATGTTCGTCGCCATCGTGCTTACACACAAACACGAACGGTAATGCGCTCGCGGCAAATGCCATGAACCGATCGTTGGATAGTTTAGACGCGGAATACAGGATTTCGCCGGAGATCACTCGTGGTGTGGCATCCTCGGCTGTCAGATAGAGGTTTTTGGCATAGTCAAAGGTCTTGACAACCCGATCGTCCGAAGCAAGCCGCAGCAGATAGCCCATGGATGAGCAGTAGGAGGCGCTGACCGTGTCGTTTCGATCCACCACGTACTTGGTGAGCATTTGGATAAATCGGTCTGCGTATGGGCGGAAGAGCAAAGTTTTCATGCTAAGCAGCACCAGAACGCGGCTGCAACCCACCTTCGATGGCAGACCCACGGCCGACCGAAGCACATCTTCGAGTCTCTGGGCCAGTTCGTCGAGATTGCTTTCATCCAGGTTGTCAATCAGATACCGTTCAATCACCTCCATCATAGGGGATGTGCGGATGCTGGATAGACGCATTTTGTCAATTTCTTGACCGGTGAGACCGTATTTGTCGGCATTGAGGTGGACATAGTTGACAGCCTGTGGCTCCAGAGAGCTCAGTGCACTCAGGAACTTCTCCAGCATGTTGGGAACATGTGGGCGTAGTAAGCTGCCAGGGCTCTTCTTGATCATTGAGATGAGAGCGCCAATGGCATATCCTTGCACTTCTTCCACGCTGGAGTCCAGTCCCTTGTCGCTCAGAAGGAAAGGGATAGCACTTTTGAGTAGAGTCTCTGCGCGCTTCTCCGTGCCGCTCGTCTCGAGTGTACGGATGACCGAATTGGTAATAGTTTGACAGAGCTTCAATGCGGCGGTGCGGACAGATTCCTTGATATCGTCCAGTAATTTGAAAGCCTTGCTGTAAATTTCATCGAGATACTGAGCGTACTTCTCTGGACGGCGACCTTGAATCAAGTCTGCCACGGCAGCGCAACTTGCTTGCCGAACACGCCATTCTCGACCAGCTAGAACGCTCTTGAGCAGATCCTGCATGATATCGTCAAAGTGGGTATCGATGACAACCGTAGGGTCCTTAACTAGTGCTTGCCAGATGGTATTCATAGATCTTTGCACGTTCGGGTTGGGATCAAACCGGTAACGGAAAAGCTTGGGGTAAATCTTGGGGTTCTTTGCCAGATAGCCATCGACACTAGAATCAGAAAAGATGCTGCTGATTCCGAAGCGGCCAAATGCTGCACGATTTGTCCAAATAGCATTGTTTGAAGCCAGTGACATAAACCGGTAAACCAGAGTCGGGTCACCCGCCTCGGCGGCCAGATTCATGATATCCTTGTAGGTGTTGACAGACGACCCTTCGCCAGTGGGGAGCGCCCCAGGCTCAAATAGCTGGGTGTCGGCCTCAATCTTGCCACCCCCGAGATTGGGACCAGTTGAGGTAAATGATTCGACCAGGTCTTGGACCAGATCGTCTTTCAGGGATTGGTCGCCGATCTCATACACAAGGCTGAGTCCGTGCGCTCCAGTCTCCTGCACTACCTCGTCTCGGTTTCCAAGGAGGCTGCTGAAAGTAGCTTGGCACTTGCGCAGCCGCTCCTGCATCTCCTTCATGTGACCGCAGTTCTTAACCAGCGATAACAGCCAGATTGCAGAGGCCTTCCGCAGAGATGGCTTGGGCGCAATGCAATCGGCAATAACCTTGTCACAGATGACTGTAAATACCGTGCGTGGGACGTCTGAGCGAGGGAATTCGGCATCGATGTCGAAATCTTGGATGAGAGCGCGAGAATCCCACCCAACAGCGACATTGCTCAAAGCCTCGCCTACAGTGAACTGAACTTCAGGACTGCGGATTTCATGTAGACTGTAGAGTGAACTCAGGAAATCGGTGAACAAGGTGCTGTCTGAGCCAGATCGGGAGAAAGTCATAGTCAACAGCCCCAGAGAGCTGATAGGGATCTGATTCTCGGTTTTGGCGTCGCGCGAGAGTTTTCCCAGTATCTTTTTCCAGCCATCTTCTGTGATGATATCAAGAGATAGCACACCAGATAGACTTAGCTGTCCAATGGCCTCTTGTGCAGTCCTTTGGAGCAGAGTATCCCGGGAAACATCTAAAATATCAAAGAGAGTCTCAATAAACTGCTTGGTTTGTGCTTCTGGGGCTCGGTCCAATAGGCCGCGGTACGCAAGTCGACTCAACAAATACGCGAGCGCTAAAATCGCTCCACGGACTCGCATGACCTCTTGACCAATGGAAGTATTCCACGATTGGATAGTAGCAGCCAGTTGAGTAATGAAACTCTTCAGTTGCTCCTCTGAGAAGGCAGGATGCGAAACCAGAATTCCAAAAGCCCGTGCAGTAATACCCTGGTTATCTTGGTTGTTGCTGCAAATAGGCTCAATCAAGGATGTGGCACGCGGGAGTAACTCTTGAACAACGTCATTGGGTGCTAGCGAGCAGATTTCCACGAAATGAACACCACATTGCCGCAAGCCTTCACGCTCGCCCGTTACAAGGCCTTCAAGCGTGCCTGACAAAAATGCCAAAACAGACTCCTTTGCAGACTCTCGAATGTACTTTCTCACGGCTGAACGGGCTTCCACGCTGGTGGAGAGAAGCACTTCTAGTTTATAGTCCCAATCTTGTTCTAGAGCTGCGGCAACACCCGAGGCTGAGAACGCCTCCCAAAGTAATGTATTTCGGAGGAATGGGATCGCGGGCATAAATGAACCTTTGTAGGGATCAGACAGAAGCTGCGATGCGGACAAAGACTGGACATTCAAATGTTCTGCTTGCCCTCCCGAACCAAGCAGGAAACGAGTAGCTTCTTCGAACTTTGGGAAGTCGAACCAGGATTCGTCATGAACTGGAGCTGCCGAGGAAGCTGACCATTTTCCATCCTTGGCAGGATTGAGAAGTCTGTACCAGTAAGGATGGAGACCTTTCTTTCCTTCCTCAACGATTTCTTGTTGTCTTTCTGGGCCTCTTGCAATGGCCATCAAATCAATCCAACGAGCGACCACGTCGCCAAATGGCAGGAATCGGTTCGCAAACCGCACTGCAGCATACTGAACACCTCGCACAGCACGATAACCAGTATCGGGATCCATATCGCCAGGCTGCATGCTCATCTGACGAACCAGGAATGGCCGTAGCTGGCCCTGGAAGGTCTTGTCGTGGCTGTCTAATGAAGAATTGAGAATACTTCCTAGTGCCTGATCAATGCTGACGAATATCTGAGGACTGGAGTCATCCGCACTCAAGGAAGAAAAGAGCCATCGGACCAGGTCGAACTCGAAGTTCTCTACAGCATCGGCTTGCGACATAAAGTCGACCTTTGGGACCATAATACCGATACTCTCGTAGGCAAGACCTCGCAAGCTGAGGTCCGTTGTGGGTAGCTTCTGCCCACTAGCTGCCGGACTGGGCCATCCTTGAGACTGAATGAAATCCCTCAGTCCTGCAATAAGAATGGGCGCGATTTGCTTAAGATCGGATGGTGCGCCCATACGGACCACCCAAGTGGTGAACGTAAAAATCTGGGTCCTTAGTTTCGCCGCTTGCAACCCCTGAGAGGATCTAGCAGAGTCCGATAAGAGCCCATCTTCAATAAGCCTCAATATTCGCTGGGGGTCTGCAGTAGCTTTGATAGACTTCCCCAGAAAGACAAGAATCTTCACTTGGAGTGGAGAGCGCGCGGGAGGAGCACCATTGGGCGCATTAGGCGAAACAGTGCCGAAATACAGATCATACAGCTCCTGAACAACATCGGGGTTTTCAATATCTGCAGTAAATCGTTTCAGGGTCTCATCTCCCAAATCAGCAAGGCGGGAGTTGGCATCAGCAGAAGCGATCAGTGAAGGCAGGAATCGTTGTGGATCTTTAAAAGCACCGCTTCCGATGAATCGAAGGGCGGTGACTTTTGTTTCAGTCAGATTCAAACCACCATCGGTAGAAGGATTCCATGTCTCGTTTGCGGGGGCACCCTTGTTCAAAAAGCTATACTCATCTGGAGATAGACCGGGGCAAGTTGTAGTTTCCTTGGGACCAGGGGTAAGAAGTAACAATTTCGCCAGCCAAAAGGACAAGAATTGGGAATCTTCGTCTGATAGACCAAGTCGGGCTTTCAAGGCCTTGTCCTCTTCACTTCCCCTTGCTGGAAGCTTGAGAAGTGGCAACAAACGCAAAACCAAATTAAATACGATAGCACCCTGAGTGGGTGACGTGCCGATCTTCGAGATACCCTGGAGCAAGGGCAATAGGATTTCGACTCGGGCTTCGGAGCCAAGGCGATCAATACCTTGCTGAGCATATATGAGATCAAAATGTCTGATCAATTGAGATTTTTGCTCCTTGAACTGCTTCAATAGTGCTGCCACGGGCAGCTGAATAGAGGGGGCTTTGATTCGGGTGTTGACATGCTGGCAGACCGAGATGATTTTGTTCCGCACCTCCACGCTGTCTGACCCAAGCTTCAACAACAAGGGAGGCAGATATGTTCCAAGTAGTGACTGCAGTTTCGCATCTGTGTCTGCCATGGCAATTCTGAATTCCACCTTGCCTATCAGACTCAACTCGCGAGCCTCAGGACTCTGTGAGTCCGCCATGATGAAAGTGGTTTGCAGGTAATTTTAACAGAGCATCAAGTTGACAGGAAAAAAAACCCACCAAGATGACCAGATTTATAAATGAATAGACGATATAAGGCAACTACACTCACGTCATCGCCATTCAGGTGAACAGTATGGGGGGCTACCTAGGTGGTTGATTAGTCAGTATGTGATTAGTCATTTTCTTGGCAGTCACGGCATCTAGTTATATCTGGCAGGTACGACCCGAACGAAGTAAACATGAGTCTACACTCTACGTATACATAAAACGAAAAAATTAGGATAAAAGAGTGAGCATTAAGTCTACGTCACAGCAAGACATATTATGTTCTAAAATATAGTAGGTATTATCTCAACCTTCCATTCTTTGCTCAGCAGCTTCGCCTCTCAAGAACCGACCAACCTCCCTTTCTGCCTCAGCCGAAAGATCAGTGCCATCTTTCTTCTTGTTATTTCCAAAGAGACACTGCCAAAGGTCGTCTTTCCTCACTATCTCCCCACCTAGGCTGCCGCGTTGCATAATGGTGGTGAGAGTGGCATCTTGTAGTTCTATCGAGTTGGCAGATTCAATAGCCGCTTCAGTAACACCATCTTCATCCACAGGAGATGTCAAGAGTGCTGCTTTGTATTGCTTCTCCTTCTCCAGGATGTGAGCCAGGCGTCGGGTTACTGAGATCTCATATATGGATTCTTCCACCGTGCCGGAGACAAGGTACATCCATACTGTTGTCGGTCGATATTGGCCAATACGATGCACTCGAGCAATGATCTGGAGCTCGATTGCCGTGTTGATCAGTGGCTCGCATAGGAAGACATGAGTTGCAACGATCAAATTCAGCCCGGACGATTGTGCTTTGCCATGCAAACAAAAGCACTCGATCTAAATTATAGATTGTCAGCGTGTTCGTTCCAATGAGGTATGAGTCTGGGGCGCTTACAGCCGGGTCTGTTTTGAACTTCTCAATGCCATTGGGAGAGTCAATACTGGTGGTGACTATTCCAAAAGATCCGAATGCGGTCTGTAATACCGACAAAAAGCTTCCGTATTGAGAGAAGATGATTGACTTTGCGCCAGGGTCGTGTTCTCGCAGCCATAGGATGTGCCGGGCCAAAGTGTCAATCTTTGTCCCGTAAGAACCCTCTAAGTCAATGTTCTTGATCTCATTGAGATGACCAGAGCTGATGTCACTGTATATAGCATTCTGTGAATGACCTTCGTGGTCCAATTTGACTGGTGGCTTTTCCTCTTGTGCAACTAGTTCTTGTGGCTTGTATGTGATCTGATGGAAGTCATTACGTTTCAACTTCTTCTTGCACATTGGACAATTTTGGTGTGTAGCCCACCACATTCGCAAACAGTCCTTACAGTACTTGTGACCACACACAGTCAACACACCTACAGAAGATGTCAGTCCGCGCGTAAAATATACATCCAGAGAAAGTAATACTCACCAACTTCGAAGGTCGATTGGCAGATAATGCACTCTCGGGGGTTACGGTCATCATCTCTTAGGTGAATGAGGTATCTTGCCTTGGACTTGAGAGAAGCAATCTTTTCTTCAATGATTTCCTCTTGCTCCAGCCTTAGGGTAAAAGCGGACTCATCTAGCGGCTTGCCTGCACTTCCTTCGTCGTATGGGGCCACCGTGTCCGAAATCTGCTGCAGGTGACGATAATACTCCAGTCGATTGTTCATGGTGTCACGGAACATTTGAACTTCTCTGCTCAGTTTGTTCGCTATTTTCAGTTGCTCGGCGACCATTTGACCGGCGTTTTTCAGGACCATTTCGACGATCTCATGTTCAGCGCGAGCACGCGAATTGCCCGAGCTGGCTTGCCAATCCAGCGATGTCACAAGTTTGCGAAGCTCACTGACAATGTTGCGGAGCGACCCAAGATTAGGATCAGGCATAATCTGGCTGCGAGTTTCCATGATCTTGAGAAATAGTTGCGGAGAGGGCCCCTCGCCTTTTTGGGCCTGGACGATTCCGGCTTTGACTTCGTGGGAAATGAGAGTATTCTTTTGACCGGTGAGAGCATCATAACGGTCGCTGTACATTGACCTCAAAGCCTCCATGTAGACATACATCTCATCTTGATGTTTTGTTGACCGCTCATACTCATCGCCCTCCAACTTTGCTTCTTCTTCCTGGTCAATAAGTGACTGAGAGAGCAATTTGACCATGGCATCCCGCCATTCCTTGTATTGGTCGGCATGCTTGTTAAGAGCGTCACAGAAATCTTCAAATTTGCTGAGCAGATTGTATGACTCCACTCCTTTGCTGTAGAGCTGGGGTTTCAATTTCGGGATGTTCACGAATTTTTTGTCTTCTGCCTTAATCTTGATTTCTTTCATGTAGCGCTCCACCTTTCGGGAAATATCAGTCAACAACTCTTTGCGAATGACTTTTGCAGCCTCGTAGGCATCTTCTTCCCGTTTCTCAAGCGATTTGAACTCATCTGAATCTGGCGGGGTCAGCTTTGGATCGCTCTTGATTTGGTAATATGCGTTCGCAGTAAAGAACACCGCAATATGCTGAACCTCGAGTGCAGCTCGAAGCTTCTGTCGACACTGGCCGAGGCGGCTGTTCTTGTCGGTCTCTTCGTCCTCATCCTCCTGGTCCTCGTCATCCAGATTGATGACTCCTGGAGTAACCACGTTATTGCCACCGGTAGTGCCTTTGGACTTCAGCAGGCGCAGTTGCTCTCTGCTGTCTTCAACCAGCTTAGTGGCATGATCCAATGTTTTCTGCCAAAGAGCGAGGGCTTCTTGGCGGCGTTTTGCATTTTCTAGAAGCTGGCCTCGTCGAAGTTGCGATAAAAGAAGTGATCGTTCTTCTGTACGTATGGCCGACTCGTTGGTCTCAGTCATGACCTCCAGAACCTGATCCACAGTCCGCAAGGGTCCGGACCCAGAACCTAGGACTCGGCGATATCCGACTTGAGGATGGAGGCACGTTTGACGCAGTCTTGATAGCCAATTACGCATCTTTTCGACAATTACGGGATCTTCGGGGTCCCAGTCGCCTCGAAGGGGCGCCCCTAAGGCGCTCAAACCGCATTCTTCACACATTTGCTCGAAAAGCTGACCGTATTGCTGTTCTTCTACAGCTGTGAAGGGGGTAGTGATCACAATGCGCTTTTGAGGTGGTAGGCGAAGCTCATCCAATATTTGACCTTTCCTGTGTCGAAGAGCGATTGTGTTTATGATTTTTGCCAGGGCTGTCCCAAAACACAGGCACAGTCTTCTCCACAACGGGACCGAAAAGCAGAATGGCTCATAACGGAGGAAAAGGAGAAGGCCGAACAGGTCATCTATGTTTCTGCGCAGTGGAGTACCGGTCACAGCCCAAGCAATCTCTCGAGGGATCAAGCGAGCTACTTTCGCTGCATTGCTGACTCCACTCTCAATCATCTGAGCCTCATCTAGACATACACGCCACCATCCAATGCGAACAAGCGGTGTCTTCCTCTGTACAAATCGCTTTTCGTGTCGTAGAGCTCGCTGCGGAGCACTCCCCGCATAGTGAATTTCTTTTGCGATGACATTGTAGGTAGTAAGAACAACATCAAACTCGACAAGCTCGTCCACAATCATGTCGTCGGTTGTTTCTCTCCCGCGTTTGATGCCATTGTAATGATGAACACGCAAAGTGGGCGCATGCTCTTTCAACTCTTGCCTCCATTGTTCAAGAATCGCGGGTGGTGTAATGATCAAAGTGGCACCAGTAGGTGTCAGCCCGTCGGGATCAGCCTTGGGCTTGAGCTGCCTTACTCGCTTATTCAGACTTATCAGCGCAATCACTTCGACTGTCTTGCCCAGCCCCATTTCCTCTGCAAGTATTCCACCTTTCAAATTATCCGCGGCATCATGCCACTCAGAAAGATCCGTTGTCAGAATCATGAAAAGATGGCTGAAGTAGTAGGTCTGTCCATCGGCATCTTTCGTGGAATTGAAAGACGCTGGAATGTTACTTTTAGGAAGCTCTTCCATAGGGATAACTTCGCCATCTGGCCCGACTTCTGTTCCTTCTCTTTTTAAAAGCCAGCGAACAGCTCTTTTCTGGAACGGGTATAACTGGCATTTTAAATCAGGGCATTTGAGATTGGTCGAATTTTCTGCGGGGTTGGGAACGTGAACATTGTTGTAGAAATCCCGAGGAGACCATTCCTTGACAGTTCCGAGCATTTTATTGCGATATTCGCGCGGGTCGGTCAATTCTGATGGGCGAATGCATCCTTCCTGCAGCACATATCTTGTAAAGGCTTCCAGCTCTGCTTCCGTCAAGCGATTTATATCTGGGGTCTCAAGAGAATCTCTCCAAAGCACAACTGTCTCGAGAGTAAAGGTTTCTCTGTCTGAGGAGGCACACAGGTGCGCTTGGTAGCAGGCTGTGGGCACATTATTAAAGAACTGGTCCACGTGGGCAAGTTTGCTGACAGCCTGAAGTTGGCCAAGGAGATCAAACAAGTGCAAATTCTCGCATGGATATATCAGCAATTCTTCTTTATCGAGACTAGATAGTTCCAGCTCCATACGATTAGCGTCGCCATTTGTCGAGTCTGATTGTGGTGTGTTGTTCAGATCTTCGTCAATAAAATGAACGCTTCGAACATTTATGAGTATGGGAACCCGGGTGTTGGAGAGGTTTGGGTCGTAAAGCCTCTTAGATTTGTGCGTTCTCATATTGGAGGGTTTCTGCAGAGGGTGAGAGGTCAGGAACTTTTCTTTAGAGCGGGATACCAGTGGCAACTTACTATGCGCATTGTCAACCGTGCTAATGGAATGTAGCCCAGAGGTATTCCTGTCGCTGATACCCCATTTTCTTCTATCAGGCTCCTTGCGCTCCCTTTGGTAGTCTTGCGCCGCTTGGTGGGACGGTCATCGGGTTGCTGGAAGATGGAGTATAGAGACTCCAGAGTCGCGTCTAGAATAACAATGAATGTCAGTGCTTCAATTCGTCGTAATATCAGAAAGCAAGAATTACCTGATAATACTATATCTTCTACGACCACACCCATTTTGAAAACCAACAGCCTATCCTGTCGCCACAAGGGAGAGTCGACGAGGAGAGATTGTAAAGACGGGGCGATCCATCCATGAATGGATCTACGGATCACCTTATCGATAACGATCACGGGAAGATAAGAACAGGGGCTAATCGCCGGCTAAATACAAGCTCGGCTAAATGGAAGTCCGACTGAACCTGGTGTATCAAGACGCTCAGCGAGCTGAGATCTCTCTATTACCGCGCTTTCCGAAACAAGCCTCTGTTTCTGCATTAGGAAGATCATACAACAGGGTTCCTACAGTAAGTCAACCCTTTGCACCAACAGGTAGAATATTTTACGGAATAATATTAGTACATGGACCGGGAAATGGACCGGGCATAGGTTATGTATAGGTCGAATCCACTTATCTCTCTGCTTCGACGGTTTTTAGTACCATCAGGTGAAATATTTGGAGGGATAATATTGCTAAATAGACCGGGAAATGGGCCGGAAATTAGCTATGTATAGGCTTCGGATGGGCTGAATCCACTTAATATATATGAGTATGCATAATATAGCCAATAATACAGTAGGGCTATAATCTTTGGTTTTCTACTTCGTTTAACATATATTTGCTATTGTTTACTCAATTCCTCTCTCATGAAGAAGGAAGCCTTCTATAATGTATAGATCCTCCCTTTTCCTAACCCCAAGACTGCTCCTAAAACTGCTCCTACACTTTTGAATGCATCTACTGATCATGTCGCAAAGCCAGTAAACCGAGGCTAGATCATCTCAGTTCAGTATATACGAAGCTAATCTCGACAATTTGTCATTTATTACTACCTCTCAGCAGGTATTTAATGGCTACGGCTCATAGTTTCTTCAACCGCCTACTCCTTCCTCGATCGCCCCCGAAGCGGAATTTGAATCCTTTCAACGAGTCAGTCCTGGTAGGAAAGGCCAGTTCTTTCTTCACGACGCACGAATCATAGTAAATAGGTCGATTGATGGTTACAGACTGACTATGAATCTGAGAATAGGATCCCTTGGGATTCACAGCATGGTTCCGCCACGGAGATCTGGAAACAGTATGAACAAGTGGAGCATACGGTTAATGGGAATCCAAAGGTTATGTGTAAGCGTTGCGGTCAAATCCTTGAGCATCTTTATACTACCAAGAAGGATGCTAGTGCCAATGAGAAGGTTAGCCGTCATGTTGCCTGGCTCTTTAGATGGGTCCATGCGTTTTTAGATAAATTTTCAAACGAATATCTTGATCAAGTTTATACAATTGGGTTCAAACGCAAAATTTCATTATAGCCATGTAAAAAATGATATGAATGAGAACCTTGGAAAGATAATGCCAAACAAATGTCCCAGTTTCGGATAAGAACAATCATAGTGTAAGGCTATCAGGAATCAGTCATACGAATAATTACTTCATGGGAATAGAGAAAAACAAGGGCAGAGCTTACACCCTCTTAGGAGTTTTAGTCAAGTCGCAATCCCACCTGAGAACAAGTGAAGACAGATCAGTATTTAAGACCAACGAGCGTATTATCGTCATCGTATTACAGTCTGCTCTTCCCAGGCTGTGGTGCTACGGATTCTATTATCAGCATACAAAACAAACTTCTATTCTTCTTCTTCTAGATCAATGACAACCGTGAAAAGCAGTCTCAAATGCTGCCAAAAGAGGAGCAATATGAGATTCCTCGAAGATCAGCATGGGGCGCAACCGAATGGTTTGCACGCCGCAGCTACCGATGTTGATGCCCAACTCGCGCATCTTCCTCATCAGACCGCTTGAGTCAGTCGTGTCAAAGGCAATATAGGTGCCCTTGCCCTTGCCACGGAGACTCTGCATCCTGTTAGGATACTTGGCTGCCAGAGTAGCCAGGCTATTGTAGAGGACTGCACCGACTTGAGCCTGTCAGGAAAGAGACCTTGTTAGCTATTGACTTTCATCGGATAGGAAGGCGAGGTTTACCGTCTTTTCGACCAGCTTCTTGCTCAGAATCTCGTCAATGACGGCATTGCAGATCATGATTCGGGCGGCATCTCCCATCCATCTGGTCAGTGTGGTCAGTTCATCTTATTCAACAGAAGAATCATAAAATTGCCGAGTTTAGGATCTCTCACGTGTTGAATTGCCGATAGGCCTTGTCAGGGCGAAGGTTCTCATCGCTGAAGAAGTATCCAGCAGTTTGTGCCTTCTTAGAGAATGTGACAATATCCACCGGCGAAGGCAGCTCCCAGTGCTCATGCGCCCAGAATCTGCCTGTTGCTCCGAAGCCGGTCTGGACCTCATCTACAATCAGGGTGATACTGTGTCTCTTAGCGATAGCCTGAAGTTTCTGGAAAAAGTTTGGTGAGGCATGGTTGTCGCCTCCTTCGCTTTGAATGGGCTCAACAATGATACCAGCCACAGGGCAAAGCCAGGAAGAGATGACATTCTCAACTTCTTGCAGGCAGCTCTCCTCTTCCCGTGCGTTCTCGTGAACGTAGGCTTCCAAGGGATATTTGATCTGGGGAAAAGTGGCCTGGGGCCACTTGAAAGCAGGAATATCTATCTTATGGATGGGCTTAGAGCGGGTGGTAGATAAACTGCCAAAGCTGCGACCATGGAAGGAGTTACGGAAGCTGAGAATAGCCAGATCTGGCGAGCCAGGAGCTTGGTTTTTCATTGCTGTCGCCTGCTCATGCTCGGTCCAAGGGCTGCCGCCTCGTTGCTGTCGACGATAGGCCATGAAAGCCGCCTTGAAAGCGAGATCATTGGCCTCAGACCCGGATTGCGCTGGAAACACCTGTGTGCATCCAGGAGGCGCTGCCCGCATCAGACCATCACGCATTAGGGCAAGCCATTGGCGGGAAGGGAAATTTCCAACAGCTGGACGGTTGACCAGAGCAGAGACAATCTCTGGTGATTGTGCAGCTTTTATCAAAGTGGGATTGTTGTATCCGACAGGAATAGAGGCGATTTGCGCATATACATCAAGGTAGGTGTTGCCATCAACGTCGGTGATGCTAAGGAGGACCGTCAGGAAAGGAGTCTGGAGGCCAAAATAGGTTGATGACTTACTAGTTTCCAAAGCTTTTGTCATAATCAATGACCATTTGCACAGTACGAGCATCAATGACAGCATCTAAATCCTCTTTGATTCTGTGCGTCTCAGGCCCAGGGACCGCTGTGCGGATTGAGGGCGTGGATGGTTCAGATACAGAAGACATGATGAAAATGAAAAGGAAAGAAGGGAAATGACCACAAAAAGGTAACAAAGATCCGTTATCGATGTTGTCTGGGAAGGAAAACCCTGAAGGTAGTGACTCGGTGCACTTAGATGAGACTCCAGGCACATAGCCAACCAACTCGGACCGGGTAGGCAACTTGAGACTCGATGAAAACGAAAGAGAGAAATAAAATCAAAGACCGTACAGGAATTCAACAATTCCAGGCAATTAAAATGCTTGTCCACGGGCGAAACCTACCGATCTAAGTTTTTTTTTAAACTGGATAGTGTGCATATAGAAGGCCGGGTGACGGTACCCGGGATTTCTTTTTTTTCCACAATATCATAACCTGAGATGTTGACTTTCCTGCAACACGACTCAGATATTACATGCCCTCTAGTCTTTGTCTTCTTTATCAATGCCATCGAGGGCCCGGGTCCTTTCGGTTGGAAGTGGTGGAATCGGCACCATCGCCGCCCTGAATCTTGAAGCTCGCCGAAGTATCCTGCGTATTACGCTCAAATTATGCCACAGTTGTGAAAAGAGGGTTTCAAATTAATTCATGCGATCACGGTAAAATCCAAAATTAGCGTCCAACGGAAAGTAAATGACGCTATTTACGGGGAGGTCATCTCCTTCGCTGATAAATTTGATCTCTTCTAGTTTTGAATACTGTCCCTCACGTTACTGAAAGCGTTAGTCCATTTGGATATGTTGTATGCTGCACCAATAATATCCCTGACGCTGGACCATCACTATGTGAAATCATAGCCCCCGGGATCACTGCTGGTGATACAGTGATTATTTTGATCCAAAACGGGTTAAACATTGAGAGACAGTTCCCATCGCGTTTCCCTGAAAACATCATCTTATCTGGAGTGAGCCGGAATGATGTCCACAAGGTCACGCCTGGTGTGATCAGAAAAAAACAGAAAGACAACTTGCACATTGGCGCCTATAACAATGCGAGACTACATATCGATGACCAAAGACGAGCCGCAGAGCGATTTGTCAGACTTTACAATGCAGAGGAGCATACTACTTGTTTTTACGAGCCTGGCGTAGCACATGATCGATGGAGCAAGCTGGTCTACAACGCGACCTTCAATCCCACATGTGCGTTGACTGGAGTGAATACAAGGGATCTGCACTTGACAGAGGGCGCTTTTGATGCCCTTGTGATTCCTGTCACGAAGGAAGTGACACAAGTATCTGAAGCCAAAGGATACCCACCCCCCGAAAACATTATACTAGAGACTATTCTCAGCAATCCTATCGATGAAAAAGATCTCTCCCAGCATGCAAATAGATTTGGAGAAGGCTCGTGAAGAAAACCTCCAAGCATGTATTGCATAAATAGTTGCTGATAGAACAATATGCAGGACAACTTGATCGAGCACGAGAACATCCTAGGAGAAGTGATTCGAGAAGCGCAAGTAGTGGGCGTGGCTACCCCGATCTTGTGCACATTGTACGCACTTTGCTCCATAGTGCAAGAAGAAACAAAAAGGTCCAAGGGCCTAAAGTGATTCAAGAGGTTGTCAAGACAATATTAGACAATATAGTAGAGTTTAAATCTGGAAGCGGTGGGGTGTTTAAATAAAAATACCAATCGACTCTGTTACGCCTCCCATCCAATTAGTGTTTCCTTTGAGAATGGAAGAAAACCCAGAGAATAAAAAGAATCGAACTAAATACATCTTCAGGTACTGGCGATGGGTACTTCCAATGTCAATATAGGTTTAACCTGGCCTTTGAACCACTTCAACCGATCCTCCATACATCCCATCCCATGTTAGAAGCCACATCTAGTTAACTTAAAAGATTCCACCCAGGGTGATACTCTTGACATTCACAAATTCCTCGATTCCATACTTGCTTCCCTCGCGGCCAAATCCACTCTCTTTCACTCCACCAAATCTGCAAGATAAATAGTCATGTTCGAAAGCACTTCAAGAATGTGTACTGGGGGGAAGGGGATGCTTACGGGGCAGCAACGTCACTGACAGAGCCGGTGTTGACACCAACCATACCGACCTCGAGAGCTTCTGCTACACGGAAGACTCTTCTGATGTTATCACTGAAGATATACGCCGCCAGGCCAACTTCGCAACGGTTGGCTAACTGGATAACCTCGTCCTCAGTGTCGAAGAGGAACAAGGCTGCCACGGGTCCGAATGTTTCTTCAGAGGCAATGCGCATATCGTGAGTCATACCAGCCAAGACTGTGGACTGAAAGAATGTTGGTCCTAGCTCTTGGATAGGGTTTCCTCCCAGAAGAACACGGGCACCTTTGGATTTGGCGTCCAAAACAAGGTCAGCAACTTTTTGTGCAGCTGCAGGATGGATGAGAGGCCCGTGGGTGACACCTTGGGCGAATCCAGGTCCGACCTTGAAGTCCCTAATGCGCTTGACAAGTCGCTCTGCGAAAGCTTCATAGTGGGATCGGTGAATGTAGATTCGATTGGCGCAGACGCAGGTCTGTCCAGTACCTCGAAACTTTGACGCAAGAGCACCAGTTACCGCGGCATCGATATCCTCCACGTCATCAAAGACGATGAACGGAGCATTACCGCCAAGCTCCCAAGAAACTCTTTTGATGCTAGAAGAGGCTTGTCCCATAAGGAGTTTACCCACACGAGTCGAGCCAGTAAACGAGACCTTCTTGATATCCGAATGAGTGGTAAGAGTTTGACCGACCTCAGCGGTATTTTCCAGGGCAGTCACGATGTTTACCACACCTTTAGGAATACCCGCTCGAAGGGCTAGTTCTGCGAGAGCATTGGCAGTAAATGGAGTCTCCCCAGGGCTTTTTGCGACAACTGTACAGCCAGCCGCCAGTGCCGGGCCGATCTTACGGGTGATCATAGCGGCAGGGAAGTTCCATGGAGTGATCAAGCCGCAGACACCCACGGGCTCTTTTACAGTCAGGACTCGGTTCCCCGGAACGGATACAGGGATCGTATCGGCATACAGCCCGGGGGCTTCCTCGCTGAACCATTCAATGAAGGCTGCAGCATATTTGACCTCACCTTGGGCCTCGGCAAATGGTTTTCCATTCTCCCAGGTTATGAGGGTCGCCAAGTCGTCCACGTTTTGCAGGACGAGGTCATTCCAACGCCTCAGCAGTCGAGACCTTTCACGTACTAGCATCTTGCGAAAGACTGGGAATGCATCCGAAGCCGCCTTGATGGCTCTCTCGGTGTCTTTTGCGCTGAATTCTGGGCATGTTCCGATGACTTTATTGGTAGCCGGATCTATTGATCCATCGTCAGGAGCGCAGCAACAGACCGTTGGAAATCTGCTTACCAGTGACCTCAAATGTTTTGCCTGATTGTGCCCCAACCCATTCACCGTTGATGTGGCATTTTTCAATGAACAAAGACTTGTCTTTTAACTAAAGCCACACGTCAAGTCAGAACATCAGTTCGCACTAATAGAAAAACAAATGCTTAGACTTACTTGTGGCACGGTATGAGTCATGGTGAATGCTCGTATTCTTGTTTGGCGGAGTGAATGTCGTAGAGAGCCAAAGCCGATGAGACACATGGAGTACCAACGAATGTGCGTGTTGCCTTAATTGCGATAGAGGAGGACGTTTGCATTTATTATTTACAATACACTATATTTATTCGGTCTTTTCCTACCCACCGGCTTGTTTGGTGGTACCGGTGGACTCGGCCCGGGTTTAGATATAGAGCAGCGACGACGATATACTCGTCTATCATTAGCGTAAGGTGAGAAACTAGGTTATTATTTCAAGTTGAGTAAAGGCTCCCGAGGGTCTGGTAATACCTGCCAGATTTTGCCCTACAGTCGATAATGCGATGTCCTCGGGTGTGGGCACCGCGAGTGACGATGTCCTATAGCTCGGGTGCATGTACCCGGGACCCTAGTGATGTCACCGGGCAAGACTTCCTTGCTGATATAAATCGTTCTGTTTAATTGTCGAAGAGTAAAATACATTATCAAATTAGAAGAACTATTCGCGTGCATTTGGTCTGGTATAAATTATTAATTTAGAAAGGTACCTAAATTCGTAATCAACAGTTCCCGCGCATGAGTTTACGAGAAGCTTTCGGGCTCACAACCTCTTCAGTAGAACCCTGAAGGATATCTGAAATCAATAATTAGATAAGGCAATACAGTATGTAAAAGTTGGTATGATGAATATTGAGGAAACATATACCGTAAAGGCCAGCGAGGTGCTTTGCGCTAGTCTCTCTCTCTTAAAGGGTGAGAGATTCCATTTAAAAGACTCCTGGTCTGAACTCTTTTTCGTAGGATCAATGCTGATTACTCGATTCATGCCTGAGAGAGATCAGGTATCAATGTATAATGCACCATGAATCTCAACTCGGTACAGTAGTACAAGCAATGTATTGGTTGGGTGAACAAACCTTTAGGTATGGAAAGACTGTCTATGGAGATTTGGAAGTATATGGAATGAGGCACCAAAGCCACCACTCTCTGAGCTATTTAGTAACGCCAAACATAACAGAATGTAGGTAGATGTTCATTCGATCCACAAGATCAAGCTCTCTAGTCGATAAAAAGAATCCTATGAGCAAATTGATGAGGATAGCCTGGAAAAGCAGCACCTATACACGGAGACTCCTCGGGACGAGCTTGAAAGAACAGTCAATGTGAAATTCGACTTTGAGAATTAAATAATTTACATTCAATGAAAACAGGAAGAATTTCCGTGTTGGAACGTCATGTAGCTAGAGATATTAATTCATACATCAACATCTACTGTCCGGCCTCAAATGCTTTGACCATATCGCCCATAGTGTCAAACCTCCAATCATAAATATTATCCAACAGATTTCCCATAGTGGCGCCGGGTCGCTCAATCCAGGCGGACTTGATTCCGATCTTGCTGGCCGGGTGATGGTCGTGGAACTGGCTCTGGGCGGTTTGAAGGACTTGCGAAGGTTCAACATCGAAGGTCGATTTTACCGCTTTGAGCATGTGTTGAAAGTTGCGAAGATCAGGCTTATAGGAGCCCACATCTTGAGCAGTGATGATCAAATCGAAGGGGAAGCCACCTAGGCTGCCTGCGTTGGTTTTGGCGAAAGATGCACGATCAACATTCGATAGAACGACCAGCTTGTAGTGCTTCGAGAGGCGCTTGAGAGCATCAACAGTATCCGGGAAGGCGGGCCAGCTGCCGACTGACTCTCCGAACTGGTTGCATTCTTCCTGAGAAGGGGCCGCCAGGCCCAGGCGATTGGCGAACTGCGGTAGCACAGTGGTCAACAACTGGTGGTAAGGCATCTCGGGTGTCTTAGTCTGCTGCTCTCGTTCCAGCTCGTGATAGATGGTAAGGAGGTGTTCGCGCGAGAATTGTGCATTATTTTTGTCCAGAGTGGGCTGAACAGCAGCAAGGATGCCTCCCTCCCAGTCCACAAGGGTGCCGTAGACATCAAAGGAAAGCACACGGTAGTCGGAAAGTTGAGCCATTGCGAATAGTCTGATTGCGGTTGTGATAAAATCAATAGCACGATAAATAAACAAATTGAAGATCGAAGATGGGCGTTGCCTTTTAATCGCACCCGTCCGGGTACTGAGACCCGAGATGAAAGCCTCCATTGGATGTAAGGCTATCAAACCATGATGACAGTACTATTATTTTCACCAAAAGCTTCAAAGAAATCAGTCCCGAACCCTTTCCTGCTTATCTCTTTTGTGTATACTACCGCGATTCCGCAATCCCGCGATTTAGGCTCTCCTTCATGTGAGTCATTACGTTTCATTCATAGACATAGCACGTCTTGTCAAATGATATTGGTAAAAGTCTACTCAATCGGAGTTCGAGAATAAAGTGATATTCGCAGTAGCCATTCAATAATTTTACCCAGTATATCTACCTCAACTCCGCTAATCTTTCTACCTCGCCTTTGAGAGCCCTTTTGACCCGTTCAATCATGTCAGCTTCGATAACCCCTTCTTGCCAGGTAAATCCCAATGCTAACCTTCCATCCCGCCCTATCACAGCACTGACCTTTATCGCGGCGCTGCAAGCACTAGGGCTCTGGCTGAAGAACATATGCTCAATCTCGAAGTTCGAGCCTCCTGGTAAAGTAGAACTTGCACCGACGTTGGGTAACTCAAAGGTATTCATTCTCTTTCGGCCCAGCTTTTGTAACATCCAGTGATTCTGGTTCTGAATAAATTCCAAGTATCCAACAGGCATGTCACCCCCTTTCTGTGCCATCGTATGTTCAATGGCAACCTTGGTGCGGCGGTCTTCGTCCCAATAAAAAGATGGCATCCTACGGTACGTGGTGGATGACGACCCGACGTAGCAACCCAAAGTAGTAGCAGTGACTGGCTCAGGAAGAAACCTCCGTAATGATACCGCACAGCCACCCTGGAGTGTACGGCATGTCGACGGAAGAACAGAGAAAGGCAGAAAGCAATGAGGGCTTGAAGCGCCGCCGTGACAGAGGCCTGCTCCTTCTTACTCAATGTCATAAGAATTTTTGTGTCAACATCAGACAGCCATAAAGAAGAAAGGCGAGTCTTCACGGGCGTGGACTGGGGAGCAGCTGTCCAGCTATCGGGGGAAGGCTCGCTATAGTTCTCTTGAGATCGTAAGAATTCTCGCGAAACAGGGAGAGTATATAACCCTTCTAGTGGAGGGACAAGGGCACCGGGAGGGCTATAGACCGTGTCACCTGGCTCAACGCCGGCATATTGCGCCATGTGTCCTTCAATTTCATCGTGGAACGAAAGGGCACTTTTGGTGTCCATGAGTGCATGGTGAAATATGAACACAAGCGTAAAGTTTCCGGGAGCATTGTTGCTCTCCAGAACGCATATTCTCCAGAATGGAAGTATCCTGCCGGATTGACTCTCGAAGGGGCGATTGTGTTGCTCCTAAAGGACTTCGTCAAGGATCTCTTGCCAATCAGGGCTTGGCAGATTCGCATCTTCTTCCACGAAAGTCACAACCTCACTTAATACGATTTTAGGAAGACGGAAAAAATACGGATCCGGTGTTTCAATGGCAAGTGGAATAGCCGAAAGTATAGGATGCTTCGAGATGAGCACCGAAATAGAGTGAAAGAGTGCCGGTTTCACGGGTACTCCGCTTGGCTGCTTGTAGCGGGCTGTCAGGCCCACGTTGAGATAGATCCCCAAGTGACTCCGTGTCGTCGAATACTTTTCCGTATGCCCTAATGACTATCAGCAATTGTAAGATTCAAAGGACGTAGACACCATATACCCAACAGCCGCAATGACTTAAACCTTGCTTCACGGGACGCGTCCTCCATGGTGACTGAAAAAGAGCTTTAAGGTCCAACCAGGAATCACTGGTTACGATTTTTCTAAAGCCACTACTGTCACTAGCTTTCAGGTTTTTGTTTCGCAGCACCAGCGAGACATTACCACTTCTTTAGACTTCCAGCTCGGGTACACATACCCACCTGGGCCCAAAGCTCTATCTCACTTGATATTTGAGTTTTTATAGATAAGACGAGATGGAAAGTTGCTTGATAATATTGCGATACTACTGGTTTATCTTTCTACATTTTTAAGATAGAGAGTTGACAAAGAAGAGATATATTGATCTTGCATACTTGCGGGGCAAAGTCTGACCGGTATGAGTTCCAATCCATGCCAGCATATTATCAGATACAAACAAATCCAAACTAAACTATAGCCTCGGGGGGATTCATCTCCAAGGAGATAATTAACTGATGGAAGCTCGTTTTGATTCATCAAGTTGTACATTTTTTTTGTTGCTAGGCGTTATCTGCTTTTTTTATCTACTATAGCCCGTATAAGATGCTCAACACGCTGTGTTTCAACGTCAAGTAATATCTCATGGCAAACCGATAGCGAGAAGCCGGGCCCCCGTTCCTTTTCCTTTATATTGCTTGTCTCGGCACAATGGTGACATCCAGCCTATTCCGGACGATTGCATCCGTGTCGCGTACCACATCGCAGGCGATGGTGCCAGCCGCTTTACATCCTGCACGTAGGTTATATGTAGGAATGGGTGATCAAGTTATCAAACTGCATTGACGCTGCTAATCTCGATTCCGTAGGAGTTCAGGACCCTTGGTATGCAACAATACCTTGGCATTTCGGAACAGGGTTAGAGTTGAAACTATCCCAATATTGTTAATTACTGCGAATTAATGGGATTCTCGACACCGAGGGTCCGCATAGCGAACCTTCCCTTAAACGGAGAGGTTCGAGGGTCCGAGGTAGCACCCATGCGGATGGTCGTAGCCAGGTCTGGTGTAGTGTTATAAGGCGGCCACTTGACCGACTCGCCCAGGAATTACGTTGAACCTTAGTTCACTAAGGTGCTTACGTCATTCATGCCTCAGGCAAACGGTGAACATCTCCCCACGACGTTTATCTTTGATGAACAATTTGCCTTGTGTTGCGATGACCGAGCCAAGTACCAAGATACACAAGGGCAGGCAAAGAAGACCCCGTGTACCGGAGTCGTTGCGAAAGCGGACGGCGCAAGCGTGAGTAACGCCATATACGAAGACATCTAGATTCTAATATTGTTAGATGCTTGCCTTGTCGCCAATACAAGGAAAAATGTACCTTTACACCTATTCCACTACCCGAGAATGGGATAAACATTCCTTTTGAGTATCAGCTAACCAATTCAACGTGAAAGGTGGAGGCGGCAACCCTTGCACCCGTTGCCAACAGCAGCAAAGAGCATGTCGTTTTGAGAATGCTAGTCGACTACCAACAGAAGCCAGGAATGGCCGAACTAGGTGAGCCTTTACCAAAAGTCGTTTTTGGAACGACAAGCTCATTCTTGTAGTAGTGACATGGGGCCTTTGGAGCAGCACGCAATCACACTTCAAATGAGGCGAATCATTACTCACTTTCTGGGTGATATTTCTTTCGATATCAGCACGCTCCGAGGAATTGCAGACAACTTGAACCAGGGTCAGGATCTGACCCAAGAACGGTTGGATACTGATTCGATTGTTTCACACGATGACACCTCGACCAATGACTACTCTATCGACCCTCTTTCCGCCAGTACAATGCGTATGTTCACCATCCCGATGTTGATTCTCACCAAGTTGACATGATTCAAGATTACTCTGGGGAGTTGTCTCATTGGAATTTTTCCAGAATGCTCGAACGGCGACTACGAAGTCTCGGGGACAGGACAGGGCAAAAGGTTCGCCGAGCGGCCTCTCGTATCAGTTGTAGTCTTTTGTACGCTGCTAACATAAATCCAGAGTGTTGACCATACCGAAGGCTTCTTTCGAGCTACGGATCTGCAATCGTCTGGCTCTTGCGTCGCGCTTGCGAAATCATATTTCCCCCCAAGGAATATCGCCGATTTCTTGACCAGTGCGTTTTTGAAATTTAGCCAAACCAATTACTTTTACTTCCACGAGGCAAGGTTTCGCGAGAAACTGGATTATTACTATGCAGCTGAGCATGTGCTGTCTATCAATGATTCCGGTTGGATATGTACTCTTCTCATGACTTTCGCAATTGGCACACAGTTTGCCCATATGGAGACCAAATCGACATCCGCTGGCGCCTCTGCAACAGAAAATACCCCTGATGATCAGGTTGGATTGGAGCTCTATCGGTTTTCATGTCGACTCATTCCGGATCTCATCACAGTTGCAAGTGTGGAGACTGTCCAGGCATTCTTACTCCTGGGTGTGTACACTTTGCCCATTGACGCATCTGGATTGGCGTACATATACTACGGCCTGGCAATCAAAATGGCGGTTCAAAATGGCATGCACCGCAAGCTGCTAGCAGGCAACGTGAGCGCGGAGATTATTGAAGTGCGAAATCGACTCTGGTGGTCTGCATATTCGCTGGAAAGGTACATTACTCTCTTTACCCCTAGACATCTAAATATCAAGTGCTAAAAGCTCTACCTCCTGATATAGTCGCATCGGCATTCTACATGGCCGCCCTATATCAGTTTCTCCCACCGAAATCGATGCTCCCATGCCTGTGGATCTGCCGGCTCTACGTCCGATTGATCAGTTGAGCAATCTACCCAACTTCACCGCCGCAATCCATTTGACGAACCACCTAGCAAAGGCATCAGAAGTGATGAGCTCTTTGAGGCGTTGTCAGAGAGACAGGAAAAATAATCATCTTCGGCAACTTGCCGCCACCCGCGATCGACTAAGCTCGTGGTGGAACGGTCTTCCCACTGATACTCATTGTCGCGATCTCACTCCTAGCGGGCCCTTATTCCGTTGCAATATGCATCTTGAAATTATGTACACAACAACACTGATATACATGGGCCGCCCTTTCATCCTATCTCAGGCGTCGGGGTCGCCCACCCCACAGTCTGCTTCACCAGTTCATGAAATCCCAGATATTGTGAACACTCTTCGCCGTGACTCACTTAATGCAGCACTCAGAGTCATCGAGCTGTGTCAGCTTCTACAAGAGTCTGTCGGCCTCGCGCGTGTCTCATATACCGAATTCAATGGGTGTCGCGTTGCTTTATTGGCCCTTATTGCCCATAGCATCCACGAACCAACAAGCACAATATCCAGTGCATTGTCCCAAGGAATGAGGTTTATCCGCCAAGGTTGCGCCGGGCTGGAATCTGCGCGATCTGAAGTATCTGTCATCGAAGCACTTGAACGGGCAAGACAACGACTGCACAGTCAAAAAGTGACCGAGCAGAGAGGCACGACAGATGATTCAGCCAACTATGATCAGTTTAAAGAATGGGCGAAGCTTTGGCGAGGCGATCTATTGGATGGTAGTCACGTTCCCGTCACGATTAATCTGGACCCGCCGTTCGATGAGCATTCTTCAAACTCTGTTCCTTCTTTTGATGGATTTTTCTCGTCTTTTCCCACTGAACTGGGTGAGTTTGCCGCCATCCCGGGGCTCAATTACGATTTATCACTTGCCCAGGACTGGTTGGGTGGCCCTGAACCTGAAGGTTCTGAATGGATCATGGATCAAGCACTATGAGGGGCGTTTTACTACTCAAAGGGTATATATTCCCAGGAATCCGCCATCATGATTGAAACTCCATAAATAGTATGTATCAAAGGTCCCACCTTTTAGTACAGCTGAGTTTTCTAATTGGTCAGGCCCCCGAGTACTGCGATCTATCCGGTATCCACAAAAGCTCCCGAGCCACCACTATTCGGATGAGCGGAATTAACGGAATTAGCGGTGATAGATCGCCAAAAGCTACAATTGATATTTGGGCATATAGTACATACTAACCGGCCCCTACAATTTTGTTAACAATTTTGGTAACAAAATTGTAGGGGCCCTCGCTAATAAGGGTCTGATACTTATTATCTCCGTAAATTCTAACAACCCTATTTATAAAAGCTTAGTTTGACCTTAAAGCGTCACTGAAGCACCCGAAGTCTCATATCAAGCCGAAGAAATTGAGCCATAGAAATACGGTAAACACACATGTCTCCAACACTTCCACCTCCCTTGCCAGGCGACGGCAACGGCAATCTCGAAGCGATCGGAGAGAAAACACATCACATCGAGGCCGTCGAGTCTAACAAACCGTCCACTATGGCATCCTCGTCTGTCAATGGTACAGACGATTGTCCTGCTACTGAAGAGAAAGCTGTGGATGAGCCACCAAAGGTCGTCATGGAATATCCGGAAGGTATCGAAGCCTTGTTCATCATGGTTGCGCTCGTGCTCAGTATCACCCTCTGTTCTCTGGATCAGGTGAGTTCTACCGCTCCAAGCTTCTCGTCGAGTCATATTTTGCCAATGCAATACATCACATCACACGGCAGTAAGCTGATGCTCTCGATTCAGACCATTGTTGCAACCGCTATTCCAAAAATTACCGACCAATTTCACAGCCTTAACGATATCTCGTGGTATGGTTCGGCTTATTTCATGACCCTCGGAGCCTTCCAGTCAACCTGGGGCAAATTGTACAAATACTTTCCCCTTAAAACTAGTTTCTTGGTGGCAATCTTCATATTTGAACTCGGGAGTTTGATCGCCGCTGTTGCCCCAAGCTCAACGACTCTGATTGTTGGACGTGCCATCTCCGGTCTCGGTGCCTCTGGTATCGCGCCTGGAGTATACACAATTTCTGCTTTTGCTGCTGAGCCCACCAAAAGAGCTACCTACACGGGGGTCATTGGTGTGTCATATGGCGTCGCCGCTGTCTGCGGACCGCTCATTGGTGGAGGGCTTACAAAAGGGGCATCCTGGAGGTGGTGAGTGAAGAAACTTCTACTGCTTTGTCTTTGTTACAAAACATGGGACTATTTCCAATCATTGAATCCTGCAATGACCGGACCTGGCCTGATGTGACAACTTTAGGTGCTTCTATATCAATCTTCCAATCGGTGGTCTGGCCGCTTTTGTCATCCTGCTCACCTTCAAGACCCCTAAAGCCACTAAAATGGTCCAGGCTACGCTCAAGGAGAAGCTTCTACACATGGACCCGATAGCGACGGTGCTTACAATGAGTGCGCTGGCCTGTTTGCTTCTAGCTCTTCAGTACGGTGGTGTAACCCATGCGTGGGATTCCAGTGTCGTTATCGGTTTACTCGTCGGCTTCGTTGCCATAGTTATTGCACTTATAATTGCAGAAATATGGCAAGGTGAACACGCCATGCTGACACCACGCATTATGCGCAAAAGGTCTGTCTGGGCCAGCAGCGTATGGGGCTTCTTCTTTGCTGGCGCGTATTTCGTCACGCTCTATTACCTGCCTATTTATTTCCAAAGCGTCGATAATGTCAGTCCGATTGCCTCGGGTGTGCGCAACATTCCTCTCATCATCATGTTCGGCATTGCCACATATGGCTCAGGCAGAGCCATCACGAAGACGGGTATTGCAACTCCTTATATGGCAGCTGGCTCTGTGATCGTGACCATCGCCGCTGGTCTACTGTATACTCTCGACATTGGGACCTCGACAGGCAAATGGGTTGGGTATCAGATTTTGGCGGGCTTCGGATACGGCCTCGCCCTCCAAGTCCCGGTCGTCGTTGCGCAGGCGTTTGCTGCGCCAAGCGACATGGCTCCTACGACCGCGATTATTATATGTAATTTTCCCTTCGTCCTGTCCTAGGATGTCGTCAATTTTCTTTGTCACATTGTATCCCCAAGCTAACTATATCCCTCGTGCACAGTCGCTCGATCTGTCGGCGGCACACTTTTACTCGCAGCCGCGCAATCCGGCTTCGTCAACCAGATCGTGCACAAGCTTGCCAACACGGCACCGAGCGTCAATCCCGCCCTAGTCACAAGTACTGGTGCCACTGATGTGCACCGGCTATTTTCCGGAGCCGAGCTGGACGGTGTTGTCCGTGCGTACGCGTGGGGTATCAAGGTTGTTTTCGCAATTACTATCGCGGCCTGCGGCCTCACTGTCCCCTTCAGCTTGTGCAACAAATGGGCCAATGTCAACGCGAAGAAACCCAATGGTGGCGGTGCTTGAAACGGCTTTTCGGATCACGCCAACGGAGTTATAGGCGTTTTCTCGTTATGGAAATTACCCATCTTGTACAATGATTCGTACAATATCCAGTGTCTGTATTCTCGAACAAAATCTGTTTATTCACAACAGGGAGATACCCAACATATCTTTGTTTTGTGCTAAATACTCCCAATAATATCACAAAAGACCCATGACATCTCCAAGCATAAGACAATCTTTCGAATTACAGTAAGATTGACTCAAAAAGCCCCAACCTTATCATCCTGACAAAACGGACACTCAGTAAAGTACTCTGCCAACCCGACCTGGATCTGCCATCTCGCAAAACAAGACAGACAACAGAATGACTGAACAATCCGAACTCTCGCAGACGCAGGCTGAGGTAGCCACCTGTGCGAAAGCAATACAACATCGGTAGCAAGCCCGGGAGTTTCTTCCAGAAGTTTCTCGAACCCATCCTTCTCGCGCAGGTCCTTCCTGTATTTCTGACAAACGGCGACAACCACATCCCTCAGACCTCGATCCGACTTTGGCGTCGTTTTGTATGCCTCAAAAGCAGCCGTCAAGAATTCATCCGAGTTGTAGTTTTCTTGGGCGAGAGTGACGAAGGTTAATTTTGCTTGGATTTTGAGATATTCCACCTCGAACTTGTCAGCAAGAGAATATACCTTCACATTGAATAGCATGGGGCACATTTGAGGGTCGGATTGGTTGATATTGTAATGTAGTCCGTAGAACGAGCGTATCATGGCTTCTACGACTCGTGGGTGTTCATCTTTTATTTCGAACTCATGGGCATGTTTGCTTTCCTGCAATCATCAAAGTCAGCTGAGACCGTGGATAATGAACAGCTTTGGTTTTTGGGAGACTTACATTGGGGACATTAGAGAAGAATCTGTAGAAGGCCTCAGATCGGCTGCAGACCACGAGGCTGTGCACTTTTAAGGCTTGGTCCGCGGTGTAAATTGTGAGGTCGGAGAACATGCCTGTGAGGTACAGTCTGTCTCTCATCAGTCATCATATATACAGTGCGTGGGCCCAAGAACTTACTCCCCTAGTCGGTGGACAAACCGATCAGTACCCTCGACGCTGTAATAAGGTAGTTCCATTGCAAGGGCGCATCAAACTAAAGGTTAACGCGAAGGGGGCGAGTCGGGGTCGGTAGAATATGTGAAGAAACAAAACAAGGATTCAAACCTGTTGGGGTAACAACGATGAGCAGTTTGGATGCCTTTTATGCTCAATGCTAAATGAGACTGAAATGCCCCAACAAAGGCAACTGACTACCTAGGACCTTGTCTCATCTCCAACTTAGTCTTGATGTGCAAAAGACAAATCTTGGATTTCTTGCGAGATTATAGTGACTCACTACTGGCGCTACTCTATCATGACGCGTTGTGTCCCATCTCCGTGTCCCAAACGGGTATTGTTGACCTCCGGGATCCTTCATATATGTCACCCTTCCTAATTTACGAGAGATCCAGGTCCCTTTCCAATTATAGCCCTCACACTGTCTCTCCCAGTATCCCCATGATTTTGTGGAGAAGGAGTCAAGGTCTTGCCTTTAGGGTCGGTGTCATGTACAACGGTACCATTGACTGCATGGACAAATCGGTGGTATGATTGCCCATTTATCTGACTGGCGAACATATTGTTGGTGTCGCCCCAAGAGCTTGACTTTCCACCAGTGATGGATTTATATTTCGCCTTGCCAGACTGAGTTGTATGTAGATTTGATGGCCCCGAGGTCAAAGTATAAGTGGAAATACCGAGCCCTCCTGTTGCATCAAAATCGAGACCTCTCTTCATCCAAGAGTCAATCGTCATCCCATTCGAGGTGATACCGTAAGTCGCATTAACAATCAAGGGGTATTGGAATGCAACGCTGTTTGAAATGGGTGTATCTCCAAGCTCGGTGATAGTGTTATTGCCTGTTGTGAGTTGTCTGTTGACTTGACTGTATCCTTGCTGATTGAGGAGACCGTGGTTGGAGAAGGATAATGTCTGAGACCACGAGTATAGAGAAGATGTTGCACTGAAAACTCGCTCGACAGCCACAGAGTACGACAAGGAATCATTTCCTCCGGTCTCGTTGTGAACAAGGTTCCGAGTCACAGAAATCACTGGCAAGGGAGCATCCACTGTGGGCGCCTTATCGCCACGGGTGCTAGTGGTTTTAGGGGTTGAGCTGTCGTCATCGATATATATAAAAATATTTCCTGTTACCACCCAGTATGAGCCCACAGTATTTGCAAATGTGGCACTCCCATTTGCGGAGACATCAAGACCAGTCACCCGGATCTCAAACGAATGTTGTTTCCCGTCTTGAATCATGGCGAGAAATGGGGAAATATCAATCTCCGGCTGTCGAAGATCAAATGCATCGATCCCAACGACAGGACGCCAGAATCCCGGAGCCACACCTCCGGTGAAAATAATGGGGAATGGCCAGAAAAGCCCGGCAAGGATCCCGTCGATATAGAGCTGGACTTCACGAAAGGGAGTGTACCCATATAGCCCACCTATAGTGCTTTCAAAATCTTGGGTATCCTCAGAGAAAACATTGGACCACCAGAACTCTTCTTCTGATTGTCCACATGCCGATATTGAGATAACAGCACGCGATGCCGCAGCAGGGATCTCATACATGACTGTCGTGTTGTCTGTGGGAAGTTGGAAAGCGCTTGAAGAGTTCGAAGCTGCTCTTTTGGCTGAGATTGGAAGAATCATATCCGCCGTCTTGACATTCTGCCCCGTAGAGAAGTGCGCTGTTAGTGTGGCATTGAACGAGCCGGTGTACACATCGTTAATGATATTTCCCAGGTCAAATATCAGCTTCTGGGGGCTTTTCCATAGCGAGTTGTACTGCGACATCTCTTTGATATAGGTCCAGACTATCCCATTGACTGTCGGCTCTGCCGTTGAGGTCCGGAAAACTTCATTGTCTCCAAGGTACATGAGTGCCAGGCGGTCATACTGTTTTCCCCGAGAAGTGACAGTGAGATTGATTCGTACAGTATCAAAATCGCAGTTTGGGGGCTCATAGTCGCCTAGATAAGTTGCAAGGTTAGACCACAAGTCGAACTAACGCTCGACACCTCTTACCAACAAATGGTACACCATAGCTGACTCCAAATACATGATCCATAAGCAACATCTCGATATTGCAGTTGCCGTTTCCACTGGAATCGAGCGATATTGGCTGATAGAGCTGGAAAAAGTCTTGCAACCCAGTTGAGCTAGGCGGTTGGGATGACAAGCCTGCAATAGACTGCAATTCGCTCTGGAACGAAAAAGCTGATGGGAGGTGCCCCCAAAGCAACAACCCACATACGGTAACCAGAGCCATGATCGCTAAAAGTCCGAAGCTTGGGTTGAGTCCTCTCAGTTTGCTGCGGTTGTCATTCACACACGATTTCAAATCGCAACGATCAGTAGACAACACAATGTTCACAGCTTTGTAAGTCTCTTGGGGCTTCAGGGGTTCTTGACTGAGTATCAACACCGAAGATCGATTCGACCTGCGCTGCAATTTATAAACATTGAAAAATGTAACCACAAGCCAGAGCAGAGGAATAGATAACAAGCATACAGCAAGGTAGGTAAAACAATACTCCATTGGAGATTGGGGATCCAGCCGTTGAGACAAGTGATTTGGAGGAACTAGCATGTTAGCTTCGCCCAGGTAACCAGTTAGGATGTGTTTTATCCACGACTTGGTTAAAAGCTATGTAACCTTGGAAGTAATTGCGATGCAACCTTGGAGTACATGAACGGAGCAGACTTATCCCTGAAGATAAAGGTGCATAAAGAGGGGAAGGTGCACAAAGGAAAACCCCCTAGGAGACTCCAAATGTCCGTACTCTGCCTTTCGGGCTCGTCACCTACAGTTCCCCTATGTAACCCCCCCCCCCGGCTACTAGTATGCGAGATACATCCAGGTCAAATTTTGAATTATCCAATGGCTTCCATTGATTTTTACCAAGAAATGCTCGGTATTGTCTAAACATACATATATAGCGACATAGAATGGCTAGGCGAGTAGAGAGAGTAGTGTACAAAAAGAAAGAGAAGTTGTAAGACACCAAGTGTCTAATGTAAAGCAAGCCAAAAACAATCACTCCATATCCAATGCAGACTTTTGTCCCAATCACATAAACAAGCGCCAGGCACCAAGAATAAGGGCGGCAGTACCTGTGCAGACACCCCTGAAGAGAAAAGAAAGTCAGCATAAGCTCGGGCGGCGAGATAATTCGGGGATCATACATAAGCCACTGCAATGTCGAGAACTTGACAGCCTCCACTCGTTCCCTTAATCCAGCAACCTCCTGCTCAATTCGCGTTTCAGTCTCCTTGATACGCATTTCTTGGCTATTTGCCTCCTCACGAATCCGACCCTTCTCGAGGTTCAGATCCAACCGGACCGAGGCTTGTGTTCGTCCGATCTCATCCCGGAGTCGTGAGTTGAGTTTGGCGAGGTCTGCTGCAATCTTCTCGTGCGATGAGCGGGTTAATTGTGCCTCGGTCGAGTCTGCGTTGAGTAATTCGGAGCGCAATTTCGCAAAGTCCACTTTTTGTGTATAAGTCGATCTCTCCGAGTCTAGTAAAGCGTTTATTGTTAGATCTCCGACAAGCATTATAAAGGCACGATGCGCGACAGTCGCATTCACATACCTTCCCGAAGGACCATTGTCCTGGTCAGATTCTGGATCGACTCTTGAATGATATCGTTTAATACCCGCATCATTGCTACGGATTGCTCCTCGCTGAAGCCCTCCGCCTGTAGACGCTTCACGAACTTCAGGGTATCGAAGTGATGATCGCGGGGCCGAACTGGTGTCGCATGGAAGGCGCGGCGAGCGGGATGGAAGGTAGCCACATAGACGCCATTGTGTCGGATCGGATTGCCGCGCTGCGGTGTGGACGTCGCCGGCGTGGTTATAGATGTTCCTCGGGAAACGAGATATCCGGAGATAGCATCCCGGGTAGATGTGGAGATGAGCCGGGACGACTGGGGAGGTGCGCTGAGGGAATGGAATCGGTGTTTTAAAGGACTCGAGCCTTGGGGAAGTGGTCGTCTTTGATTTGTTGCAAGTGCGGAATGGTGGGTGATGGTAACGGACGGACGAGAAGAGGAGCTGTTCCAACTCAGGCGGGGAAGGAGATTGCGCGGGACATCCGCGACATGTTTTTGAGGCGCCATGTCAAGGACACTGGGCAAATGGATAATTAATTCAAGTGCGCTTCAATCCGATCAAGAGTGACGCAGGAGACGAAAGCCTGGAAGCCCTTATTCCGGGGCCTGAAATGATCGGGATGACTAATGGCATCGGAAAGCGGGATCGACGCTTCCAGCCCTGGAGTTTCCCGGCCCCAGTGCCCGCATTACCCGCATTGATTATGTTATGGAATTATATTCTCATTTCATGCAATTAGAGGACTATTTTGATCGATCATTAACTAAGGCCTTTTCAGAGGATATCTAAATTAGACTTCACATGTAAACGCTATCACAAATCCATGCCCTTTCGGCTGCTTGACATCCTACCTCATACCTATAGGTCAAACAGCTTCTTCAGCTGGTTGATGGTGTCTTGAGGGCCATCAACGGAGTGTCCGATGGTGCGAGGGTCGGTGTAGATCTCATAATCGTTTCCTCCGACGGAAGTCTTATCACCGAAGAAGTGGATGGTCTTGTAGTCAATACCCGAGATGCCCTTTTCAGCTTCGATGTGCTGCAGGCAGTAGGTCTTGTCCCAGCCGGTGGGGAAAACATCGAAAGAGATCTGGCCACCGATAGAGTAGCTGTGTTGGTAGATTTATTAGCACCATATCAAAAGCAAACATCGCCAGGCAAAGACTTACGTGAGACCATAGTCAGGGAACTCCTTCTTCAAGAGCTCCACCAGGGTCTTTCTGATGTTGTGGATATTGTCATAACTATAGCCCAGGTTAGCCAGCCACCCCATGTTTGTATCCATGATCACCTCGATATAGTGAACGCAAGATCAGTACGTACGCTTGGAACTCATCACGCTCCTCGATGCTAGCATTACGTCCAACGGGGCTAATGTTGACCATTCCATTGCGGAACTCAATAAAAGTACCGCGCTTGCGGGGCAACTTGGTGTTGGCAATGAACTTGAGAACGAAATCCACCAGCGTTTGGTACTTGTCTTCTCCGAGCCACTGAATGAAGTTGTTGCTGGCGAGCGGCTTGCCGAGGCGGAATGCAGTGAGACCGTTTTCGGAGAAACAGAAATCAAACATAGTGGTAACATCAATGGTAGGTGACCCAAGCTGCTCTTGCTGCTTCACAAGGTTCGAACCGCCAACCTGAATGATGTTAGGAACGTGGTGGGGGTTGTATTGATTGGGAGGAGACGAACGAATCCAATAGCGCACTGGTGGCGCAGTCGAGAGAGCAACTCGAGCATCTCATGCGAGGCATGCTGTAGTAGAAATATATCAGTATAATTGGACAACAGTGAGTCTTATTGCAACCTACCCGTCTCGCGGGGGTCAGAGTCTCGTCAACATCGAACAGAACAACCGTGTTCTTGATGGGACGGTCCTCCAACGAGGGGTAAATACTGGCAGCTTCAGTCATTTTAAAGGATTTGTTCAATTGAGTCTTGGGGTTTGTCAAAGATTAAAATTGCGCAACTCGGGGGTAAATATAGAGAGAGGGGCCTATTTTGGCCGCAAGCGGTGAGAGCGAAAGCGGGAGCTTAGCGTGAGGCGATTGGATCCAGAAGCGGAGAGAAGGCCACCTGTTTTGTCTCACTTGTTTAGAAAAAAGGACTACTGGATTTAATGGCTCAATTGAATTACCTGGGCATTGATCTACATTGTATACGTCGCATACTGTCCTGAACTGTGCTATGCTGTGCAGCATCGACATTAAGACCAAGTCTAGACTCCCGATCTGCCAAGTGCCTAGCTGTTATCGATAAGAAACGGAGGGGTCGATCATCGAGTCAAACATGTGCACTTGAGAATTATCTTAACTACTTGCTATATGCTGGATATATGTATTCCCTCCTGTACTAAGTGGTCCATAGCCACGTAGATACGTACAGTTGGAATGACCAACCTAATCCCATTCCCCGAGGCCCGTAAGAGCCAGCTCCTAAATCCCCAACGCCCAAACCGCCCAGCAAACCAAAAGTAGACATACTCAGCGTCCCATAGTGGTCTGGAAAACCTTAGCGGCAAGCTCACTCAGGAGTCTCGTCCGATCCTGCGTTGGAAGGTCCAAGAAAACCTCATAGACACTTTTGCCCTTGGCATCACGGATTGCGCCGATACGGTTACCGGCAACAGCGCCAGCCAACGCACCAGGTAAATTGCCAACAATGAATCCCATAGCACCACCACTGACACCCCCAACGAGTGCCCAGAATCGTCCGGTTGGACGAGTGCGCCTCCCGCCTTCTCCTTCATTCTCCTCAGCGAGACCCTCTTCGCGCAGCATCTCTTCAAAGACGGATCCGAATTGGTCATTGTCGCGCTCTTCACGGTTCCCGCCGAATCCGAAGCTGGACCAGGGGAAACCACCGCCAGTTGGTGGGACTTCTGCTTCTGCCTCCTCCTCGGCTGCTTTGTATGCGCGGGTAGCGTCATACTCCCGCCGGCGCGCCGGGTCTGAGAGGGTGTAGTAGGCATCGTTGATTTCTTGGAATTTTCGTGTGCGTGAGGGTCGCTCTGGGGAGTCGACGGGGACTCGATCGGGGTGGGATTTCAGTGATTCCCTAGACTTAGTTAGATAGTCATTCGAAGGCTAGTTGTGGTGCACTTACCTCTTATATGCACTGCGGATCTGTTGTTGGGTAGCATCTTTGGCGATGCCTAGAACATTGTCTGGTGTGTGTTAGACGGAATGGTTTCAGTTGGACCTTTGGGTGAGATCTTACAGTAATCGGGGCCTGCTCAAGGGTTAGTATATATTTCGGCAAAGGAGCGGGAATCAAGGAAACATACTCATGGTCACACCTGGTTCTGGAGATCAACAAGGAAAAAATGTATTATGATAAACTAATGATAGACTGGAAGAAATCTGGAGAGAGTCTTCCATGGAAAGCCATCACATACAGTGACGTAGTTGCTGCCTGAGGCATGAATATCCATCAATTTCCATGGTTCAAATATTTAATTTTTTGGATTTTAAACAACCTCATCTATACAGGGACAATTCATATTCAAAGATAATTATGACGTTATTATGTCTACTCGAGAGTGGATTGACTATCGGCTCTTTGTCTACCGCAAAATGCAGTCAAAGACTAAGTTCAGCCGGCACAACCCAGCCACTTTTATTCCGCCAGGGGGTGACTGATCAATATATGAAGACCCCGTTTGATTCGCCTGAAATTAGCATCCAGGATTATTTACAAACCCCTTTAGAATCTCAATTGTGCCAGCTGTCAAAGAAATTTCCTGCATAGAATATCCGCAAAGCGGGTGCACACATCGGCCTAGGCCTCAAATTGCGCATCTCCGCAGCAGCTAGTGGCTGACTTGCACCTGTCTCTTTTCACTCTTTCAATTGCCACACAGAAGCTCAAAAAAAGTTTCAAAGAGATCATCAGGGGCATTGTTACGCAGCATCCCAAACCCACCTTTCTCTGAGTACCTGCCCACCACAATCCCTCTACTAGCACCCACCCGTCCCTCAGACCAAGCATCTCTGGCCCCCAAGTACCCAAAGTCGCACCCGTAAGCAGCTCCAGCATCCACACCACCACACCGCCACAATGGGTTGGTTCGATGGTAGATCCACCGGAGTTTCGTCGACAGGATATGTGCGGCGCCGGTCCTCACCCACACCTAGCGGTCACAGCACACGCAGCAGACGCAGCAAATCGGGCTACTCGTCCACACACCAGTCGCGACACTCAGCGCCATCCTTCTTCGGCGGACTAGGCGGACTAGGCGGAAGCCGAACAGGGGGCCGATCAAGCCCATCTGTGTTCTCGTCATTCTCGTCGTCGTCGCGACGGGCCCGTCCTCGCGAGGGATTCGTTCAGCGCATGCTCCGCGACATCAAGCGTCTGTTCCGCGATATCTATCGCTGGGCCCGTCGCAACCCTATGAAGGTCTTTATGATGGTCATCGTGCCTCTTCTGACTAGCGGTGTTCTACCGAAGCTACTGGCTATGATTGGCATTCGCTTGCCGCATGCTATTACCAGTGCCCTTGGTGGAGCGTCGAAGACTAGTGGTGGTATGGGTGGCGGCGGTGGTAGGGGTATGTCGGAGAACATTAGCAGTCTCATGAACATTGCCAAGATGTTTGCGTAGACGGCATCGGTACCCCTGGACAAGATGTGCTGTTCGAGCCTGGGATTCTTTTCCACGATTTGCAATGCTTTGCTGAAATTCGACACATGACGATCACGATGATACACCTACTGTCCTTTGCTCCTTTTTTGCTTTTATACTCCAAACTCTGTTTTTCTCGTTGGACTTTGCACTTTTCGATGTTGTCATGAACTAGGAGGCCCGTTTGAATTTGATAGAATTGATTACTTTGGAAAAGATTCAGTTTTGTATCGACAATGAAACATCTGAAAATTCGAAACAAGTCGAGAGACATATAAACATACCGAGCTCTCCTCTTTATAATAACTAGTCAAGTGTTGGTGCCCAAGCCGGTGGATATGATGATGTCGGACTGCTGTACACCGCACTAATTGTGTTTGCAGCTGCAAGTGCACTGTCCCTCCTGTACAGCAGACCAGCCCATAAACCCACCAAACATAGGTATGGAGTACAGAACTTACTGTGGCAGACCGATGTTTGCGGGGATACTATTTAGTACCACTGTGAGATGGATCTGCAAGGAGTACGGGGTACACAGACAGGATCGACAATGGCCTGTAACTATAGACCGTGCACGGCGTATCGATGGCCAGTAGCTAACCTATATCATATTGCCCTAAAAATTTGAATTCAAATAAAAAACTTATGTGTACATTTTGGTTTCTACTTGGGTATTGCCAACATCCGAGCAGGAATTCTATAGTAAAGCAACCTGGGGGAACTTTTTGTGATCATCCCACAGAGAGAAAGCAACGACTAACGCTCGAGGTACAGCGATATAGCTGTTCAAGTTTATGATCGCTGGGAGCGCTTGTTACGCTTCCGAGAGCGGGAGTTTGAGGTGGCAGTGGTCTCGGCCTCCTCAACCATAGGCTCCTCAGATTCATCAGAATCCACTTCCTCCTCGATGGAAGCTCCAATTCCCAACACCCGACCAACAGTCTTGTTGAAGCACCAGATAGGAAGCTTGAAAACCATTGTCTCGCGGATGGTAGGACGTTCAATCTGATCAATGTCGAGCAGGAACTCCTGGCGCTCGCCAGCCTCGTTCTGCTCTTCCAAGAAGACATTGCCAATAGAATCGACAATCAGCGTCTTTCCATTCTCAGCAACGACGCGCTTCCGCTCGCCAGTGCTAGTAACCTGCTCGGTGGGGGTAGAGGTACCGGAGGAGGGACGGGCGCTCACACGGGTACCGCCTCCCTTCTTATCCTTCTTGTTCTCCTTATCCATCATGCGCTTCTGGCGACGGTTGACAGCCACGGCACCGGCATCACCGGATTCAGGGGCAGGAGGGGGAGGCGCAGCTGCGACCGAATCGATTCCAGGGACACCACGAACAGCCATTTCATCGCCCCAGGCGGCTCTGCGGGCCTGGCGAATGTAGCGATCCACAAACTCGCGCTGGCGCTTCCAGCTAAGGATCAGTGCAGCGTAGTGAGCACCACCACCGAAAACAAGGAACAGACCCGCCAGCACGGAGCCCAGACCAGGACGGAAGCGAGAGTAGTAGTATCCGGTACCCTTCCACAAGGGGAAGCCATTCTTGAGGAAGTGGTCGTAACGTTCACGGTTAGGGCCTCGCAGAACGTTGGCGACGAGATTCAGACGGGCAGAGCGGGCATCGGCGTTCTTGACTGCGGCGTCAATCTCGCGCTTGGTAGGACCCTTGTTGACATTGACCCCCTGGTTTGACTTGGCCTTGCTCTTGTCCTTGGCGTAGTTTGCGATGAAGGCGCGCTTGACCTTGTCCGGGTGGATGGTTCTCGACTTCTTGCGGTAGGCCTTGGTGATTTGCTCCTGATTGGCATTGGGACGGATCTCGAGGAGGTCTGCAGTAGGGCGGGTATAGCAGTCAGATACATATCCCTGAAAATGAAAAAGGGAAGGAAAAGAAAGCCATTCGCGATGCTAGAGAGAAATCACGTACCGTAAAAGGTCACATTGGCACCCTCGTTTGTGGCCACATCATTTTGTAGACCAAAGATCTCATAGTCTGTTCCAGGTCAGTATGGGGTTCAGGTCCGTATGGGGTTCAGGTCCGGGTAAACAATACCCACCTTCTTTGGACCAAGCAGCGACAAGGCCGCAGAAGACGAAGACCGATAGAAAGGCAAACAGCTTCATGATTATAGAGCGGTCAATGCCGCAGAAGCCAACGAGAGAAGTATAGAGTTGAACTAGGCTGTGTGTTAGTGGAGGACATGTAGGAAAAAAGCGGTCGGGCGTTTATCCACTACGAAGTGCCAAACGTGGCCCCAATTGAATTGGTGTTTTTACTGATTTTACCTGTTTTTTTGTTTTTTTTCTACTTTTGAGGGGCAGTTGGGCTCTGCATGAATTATTGCATCCCTAGATGGTATATATAGTGAGAAATCTAGATTCTATAGTTGTACTCTTCTTCTTCTCTGACCTACGGGAGTTAGGGGAGCTAGGAACTGGGCCTCAGGTACCCGTTACTATTATTGGCATTTTTGTTGCTCAGTAACTAACTATTTCATCTTACTTGATAAGTCTTGGTGAAACGACCGTGCTCTGTGACTAAAATCGAAAAGGGAAAAGGCCGAAAAAGAAAGTGACTGCCTCTTGTTGCTTCCGGCTCTCTTCCCTCTCCACTCTATCACCTATCTTACCTGTCCCATTTTCAAGCTTTGCAACCCATTTTTCTCCCCCCTTCCAACTCCTTTCTATTCAAAATGGTCTCTATTCCAATTGATGCGATCACTTCACGTTTTGGCGATCGCTTCAACAACCTCCGCAGCACCTCGTTGAGTACACGCTTCGCCAACCTGCGCCCGATTTCCGAGTTCCTCGACATCAAGCGCATATCCAAGCCTGCCAACTTCGGTGAAGCTCAGAGCCGTGTCAATTACAACCTGTCCTACTTCTCCAGCAACTATGCTGTCGTGTTTGTGATGCTCAGCATCTACAGCTTGCTGACCAACATGATCCTGCTGTTCGACATGATCTTTGTAGGCTGTGGTCTCTGGGGAATCAACATGCTACAAGGTCGGGATCTGGATCTTGGCTTCTCTCGCTTCACCACTTCGCAGCTCTACACCGGACTACTCATCATTGGTGTCCCCGTCGGTATCTTTGCCTCTCCCTTCACTACTGCCCTGTGGTTGATCGGCGCAACCGGTGTGACCGTTTTCGGCCACGCTGCCTTTTTGGATAAACCGATCGAGAATGCTTTTTCCGAGGAGGCGGTCTAGGTGGTCGGCCGCGAGCTCCTTTTGACATGCCCCCATGGGGAAGACCACCAGGGGCACGAACGGGGAGAAATACTAGGGGACGTGCGTGGGAGGAGACACGGCTGGAGGAGGTGGATAGTGAGGAAGATGCATACGGGCGGGAGTTGGTGCGGAGCGGTCGATACAGGCAGGAGTATGGAGGGCGCGGCCCGCGGAGGCGACCTGTGGATTATGAGGACCTGACGGATGAAGCTGAATCGCTTGATGGGGGAGAATTCGATCTATACGACTATGAGGATAGCACGGTGGCCTACGCGATCCAGTTGGCCATGCGGGATAAGGAGGATCAATTGGTGGACACGGCGCTCGAACGAATTCGCCGCGCCCAAGTTCTGGGAAAGAAAAACGTCCGGCTGTCGAAACAGGAACTGGATGCCTTGGAGCGCAAGCGCCAACAGACGCATGGTTCAAGTGGAAGCCGGCGTTCATCAGTCAATTCTATCAAAGGGACGTCGCGCCCATCATCCCGACGGAGCGTTGTCGCGCCAGAGCCCGGCGCGTATTCGACCTTTGCGCCTGATGCACACAGCACCTGGGCTCGTGGGACGGCCGGCTCGCGGCCGTCCAGCTCATCTTCTGCTCGTCCTCGCACTCCAACGACACAATCTCTTCGTCCCCAGCAGTCCAATTCACCTCTTCGGCCTACCTACCCATATACTCCTGAGCGCTTTGCCCCCACTGCCCGACCACAGTCGATGCCACAACCGCCTGTGTTCCCACGGCCACTGCCAGATGATCCGCAGTGGGCCCCGTCCTACTACAATACAATGCAAATGAGCCCATACGGGGAACCTGCGCCATACCTACCGCAGGTGCCCACCGATCTCCGGGCTGGTCAGCAAAATCGAATCAGTTACCCTTCAGGGCCTCCATATCCAGTTAGTCAATCTTCGACCAAGCGCTCACCGTCAGATCCAGTCAAGTTAGAGACGGAGCAATCCACGGAAGATGAATCGGGGAGCGAGGATGAAGTGCAGATCGTCAAGGTGGCCAAGGTGGCGGAGCGCAAGGCTTCAGTTGCGCAGAGGCGGCCGGTTGCTGGAACCACCCGTAAACGGACCAGCCGATGAAGCCGAAGTGTCTCTCAGTGTCTGATATCCCTCTAACAATCACTTTCGGTCTTTGGGGGTTTTTTTGTGTTTTTTTTTTTTTTTCGATTCCACTATGGTCTTTGCGTCACGCGATGGCGTTTTAGGTAGATCGGTCTTGGGCTACAAACATCCACATATTATTTCCACTTTAATCTTTGTAGGGCTTGGACTATGAAGTCTAATAATTTACATGAGTGGAGAGATGAATACTCTAGACGGAGTACCGAGTGTGATGTGAAAGCGATTTTTAGATCCCTGGCAAGTTCCAAGGTTCTTAGTATGCCAAGTATTCAGCCACCCGCAGATCCCATATTCATATTTTCCATACGCTTCAACCTAATAGTAGGGTAATCTAAGAGTAAGCAAAGTCTATTAGAGTAAATATTGAGGCTGATCAAAATCTGTGGCGCACAATTTTTCTGCCTTGGCAGAGCCCCGGGGATGACGTCTTTATCTCCAGGGCAAAACATTTAATTAACTTTGCATCTGTTTTGCTCTCCTTTCTAGGCTTGTCAAAACTTGGGAATCCCCTGGCGCATCATCGTTGTCCCGGTTCCAAACATTTCAATATCCCTTTGTCATCTAAGCGCCACTGTCGCCCCTTTAGATTTGATGGAATGCTGTTTGAAACATAAATACGATATAAGTGAGTTACAGGGAAAATCCCCAGAATCCACTCCTTCCATTTTTCCATCCTTCATGGACATCGCGTGGAGAAGTTGCGACTGACAGGATCTTATAGACTCGTTTCGCATTGTGTTTGCAGTCTCGTGCCCACTTTCTTTGAATTAGATTTTTCTTTTTGTGCGGGTATACAACGATCTCTTTATAGCTCCTTTGCATCAAAGGTCTCGAAACACAAACAAAAGTCGCAAACATGTGGATTGTATCATTCTGGATGTTTCCGCTGGTGTCAGCCTGCATGTGGGTTGGTAAGGCATCCCTGCACCGGATATCACGTTCTGGGCTACAGCTAACATGCTCTTAGCAATGCTGATCGCCATGTTGGTCACCTGGGTTAGAGAGGGGAGACCGCACTACGCCAGTATGGATGCAGGACAGACCGTTGCGTATGTTTGCTCTCCACCATTGGGCCCATCCATGTGCTAATAAGACTGTTTATAGGTACATTTCGGATATCGGAGCACAAGGCCTGAAGCCGCTGTTCGTCGCAGGCAGCGTGGTCACCGTCGTCTTTCTTGACTTAGCATTCCTCTCCGAGCGGTGGCTTCGACACTCCAACCAGTTGGCCAAAAACAAGGGCCGATTGGACAAGACATGCGCTATTCTGTCAATCTTTTTTGCGATTGCCGGTGCAGCCGGTCTGATTCTCCTCTCCGTCTTTGATACACTCCGTCACCCGAAAATGCACGACGGTTTCATCGCTCTGTTCATGTGAGTCATGTCTACACACCAAACTATGCGCGAATAACAACTGACCAATCAATTTTTCTCCAGTGCTGGATACGTGATCAGTGCCATCTTGGTTTGCATCGAGTACCTCCGTATCGGAATCTTCTACCGTCGTGAGCACCGTATCTTGCTCGTCAGTTTCTTCATCAAGCTTGTCTTCGTCATCATCGAGCTCGCACTCGCTATCGGCTTCGGTGTTTGCATCGGTAGCAACAAGTCGTCTAAGCAAAACCCCGGCGCAGTTCTCGAGTGGTGTATTGCGTTCGTCTTCACCGGCTACGTTCTCTCCTTCGTCGTTGATCTATTGCCTTCCGTGCGCACCCGCAACCACGTGCCTCAGGGTGAGAAGTATATGATGAGCGAGAGTGGATTCCGCGGAGCCCAGGAAGAGGGTGTCTCCATTGAAGAGCCGCTGACCCATGACTCGATGGGCCCGAACCCCGGCTATTACCGTGGCCAACGGGTCTAATTCTTTTTTATTTTGTTTTATTCCTGTATTTAATTATACGATGTGCAAAGATGTCATCCGATACTCTGCTTTTGTTAATGTTTTTTGATACGTTGATACCTGTCTTGGGTATTTTTACATATGGTGTTTTGGGAAAGATGGGCATACACTATTAGAGCCAACACGTTGGCCTTGGAATCTTCAGTCCCTTTACATAGCAATTCAATAACTCTGCATTTCTCAATCTATACGTTTCCTTTAGTTTTCAACACCAAACAAAAAAAAAATCCGATCCTCCACCATTTATTATCTCATTGCCGAATCCAAATGCATAAGAAACGCTAGACCCATCCCAAGTATGCCAAGGTCATTATCGTATCTACATATCCCATACCAAATACAATCAAGCCACCCATATATCCAATCCCAATTCCAAATTCAATCCCAAAAAAAGAAACCCCCCTAAACCAAAAACTTCCTCCTAATCCTCTCCTGCATCTCAAACCCAACCCCAACCCGCTCCAAATACCCCCTCACACCCCCATACCTGCTCTCCAGGTATTGAGTCGTCTCGGCCACAAAACCAGGCGGGCAACGCGTATAATCCTCCCCCAGTCCAATAGCCCTAATCTCCTCCATCCTCTCCTCAAACTCAGAAACAAGTTCCAGCTCAGACCGACTGTAATCATCCACAATCGCGTCGACCGGAATCCCCCCGACGAGAAGTAACATAAGTAACACGACCAGACCTGTTCGGTCCTTGCCCTGCGTGCAATGCACTAATGTGGGATATGACTCCTCGCATGCTAGGATCTCGAAGACGGAGCGCATCTCGTTCATGCTTGAATCCAAGGTGTCTTGGGCTAGACCTGTTAGACCGCGGGGTTGCATTACAGTTCCGCATACTAGGCGCACGGCGTCGCTGCGGTAGCCTGTTGTTACGAGGCCGATGATTTTGCTATTTTTGGATTAGGTATAGGTGATGGGTATTGTCATGTGTAGGGACATACAGATATGTAAACCAGTCCAGTTTCGATAATAAGGCGCGTTCGAAGCCTTTGCCCGTTAGGCTTATTAGAGCTCTTTCTGAGCTGGGGATTTGGAGGAGGTGTTCGTGTGGGTTTGTCGGGATTTGGTCTGATGGATCTGATTTGGCGTTTTGAGCTCGACGTTTACGCGTGCCCATTTGGTGTTCCGTTCTGTTTTTTGGGGTATTAATTTCTGGGTTTGCTGAGGATTTCGTTTTGACATACTGGGAACGGAGATCGATGACCGTATGGATATGTAGTTCTTCCTCTAAACGGCGTTTATCTCGTTCTGAGGCATCATCGAGCTATCTCAAATTAGTTTCAGGTTTCTTTCTGACAACGCATCTAATGTGAGCGGGGTTAGGAATTACCCTCGCACTGCGAAAGAACACGCCTTCTTTCAATATCCTATCTTTGTTAGTCTTACGTGATTTGAATATACCAACGCGTCACTCACTCTTTGCGACAAAATTGATTAACCGACCGGCCGACATCACGGAAATTGATGATGTTATCAAAAGGCCGATCGGGCGAGTCTAGATCCACACTGTTATGGCGCGACATTAGGTATTAGAATATAAACAAAACAGAGAATATGTTTAGAAATGAGAAGGAGGAACGTGTTTAAACGTGTTTAAACGTGTGGAGAAGTACAAATGGCGGTGGACACGGACGTTGGGCAGACATCGCCGATAGTCGCCTGGACAATGAACTTGCATTTTGGATTATTCATTTTATTCAATTCTCATTTATGGCTTTGTTAGAAAGGATTACATAGAGCATGTTGAGTGTGATTTATAAATTCTAGAACTGGGGGGTTGCCTCTGTAGATTTAAAGTAGTAACAGGAAACAGGGATATATATAGTGAAACAGGTACCCGAGACCAAGAAAGACTGGATCTAGACCCCGGCAGAATACTATTATGATGCTTTCCATTTGCGTTATCTTTTCCACTCACATATAAAGAATCCAAGAAAATATATCGAATGTTCACTATGAACCTGAATTTTTTTCAAATATTCTATATCTTGTGGTTCTTTTTTTCGATTCTCTATATCATAAATGAGCTTCATTTGTTTTGGTCCCGTGGGAGTTATCCGGTAGAGCACTCTATATGGATGGCCTGTGGTACTCTGTGATTCATAGACTCTTGCTCATACCTTGTCATCCTCATGTGCAACATAGATGCTTCCTGGGTCTGGAATTACCGGAAGGGGATTGGGTTACTTGACGAGGACTGGCCTCGAAGGCGGGTTACAAAATCAGTACCAGCTCGAATCGTAGTGTGTTTTGGAACCTCATATTACATGATTGTTCCATCTCCAATGTGTTATAAGACATGCATCACTACACATATGGTCCCCGGTTGTTCTTCCACTGTGGCTGCAGGTAGGACCAATCGTGATTGAAGTTGAAACCAGTGCGATAGGCCCCATATGCAACCAGCTCCACCTGACTCAATTTCGCTCCCTGCTCCGTCAGTGCCCACAGACTGATCGCCAACGTATTCTTCCCGCGGTTATTGATCACCCCCGGGGGAAACGGAAACCTAGTCTGGGGTCCGATGTGTGGCAGGTAATGACCGAACTGGTACCCATTCATGAAGATCTGCACTACTGCGGGGGAATCAGATGCAAGCTGCAAGCCAATCGGAACGTCCAGGTCGGAGTCTAGATCCAGCTTGAACGTTGTTGTGTAGAATCGGCCTGCGGCGCCAGATACACCTTCCAGAGGACTGTCTGAAGTTGCGGTCTTGGATGGTTTATATCCTGGAAGATGCCAGCCAAGACGTTCTCCATACAGACCTCCTTCGTTCATGGGTCCTCGGACGGGGTCGATGTTGGTTTCGCCGCCAGCATTGCCTTGGATGCGCCAGGACGTGAAATCCCCGCCAAGAAGCGTAGCGCCCAGTATACCGCGCGGGTTTTGGGCGCCGTTCGGTTTCACATTTTCCTCGTCGTGGCCTGTGTAATCCATGACAACGGTCAGGACATTGTCTTTGTTGCGGAGCGTAGATCTGTTGAATAGTAGCTCGGCCGAGGTCGCTGCTAGGGCGGGATCGCCAATAGCTCCGCCAACGTAGACTCCGTTTAGCCACGCGGCCCAGCCAGCGGCTACGCCGTTCTGGACAGTGAGATTTGCCCCCGTCGCGGTCGTGCCGTCGAACCGTCCACGATATATTTTCGTCCCGACATGGTAGCCGTAGTCGCCAGAGTAAAGCACGGGAAGTGTGAGTGGTGCTACGGGGTTGACTGATTTCGTTTTGTTGCAGACAGTCCAGCGAGAATCGTCGTAGTCGGGCTTGATTTCTGGAAGTGTATCTTGCGCTTTCCATGATTTCAGAGTTGGCAGCGATACCTTTGCGTGTTCGGCTCCTGGGACAGATCCGATCAAACTGCCGTAGGCTGTCTTCTTGGTTGAAATCTCTTTGCCATTCCACTTAATTTTGGTGACCATGGAGTTGCCAGTGTAGACCCTACCATCACATATTAGCTAACCGTTGATTTCAGAGATAGTGAGGTACTTACTCAATAGATGTTGTGTTTGCGTTATCACCAACAAGACTGACGGTATGTCCACTGACAGTTGCTGTGCGAACGAGGTATGGTCCGAGGGCGACGATCTGCTCACTGGGAGCCACAAGCGGATTGGAAGTAGTTGGCACTGCAAAGAAGTTCCACGCCGTCTCTTTATCCAGTAGATATACCAGTACGCCGTGTGAAAATTTCAGCACTGTTGTGCCATCCCCTTGAGTGTATGTGTATTTGGTGCCATGATCCGATGCGGCGGAGCTCACTTTCGAATTACCATACGTCTTGAAAGTCAGATGGGTCGGTGCGTCTTTGAAAACAAACTCTCCCTTCTGTCCGATATTCAGATAGAAGACAATGACATCTACATCGAGGGTAGCATAGGTCAAAACCTCGGCGGACGAATAAAGCAAGCTCGAGCCATCGCCGATTTGGTAGTCAGTGACTATAATTTTGCTCTGGCGGCCGGCCAACTCAATATCGGGGATTGTGAGGGCCCCTATTGTGTAGACATTAAGTCAGTGCAATCCGTCCTCTCAGACACTGGAGTACATACCAGCAGAGGTGTTGACATTGAGCGAAGTAGTAGTCACAGCACGAGACGAGCTAGTAGAGTGCGCGAGAACATAGAAACCAGCATGGGTTTCTGTGTTTCGCAGGGCCCAGGTATATATACTAGCATCACTAGTGTACCCAGTTCCATTACCTTCCATTTGCGTATGCAGAAGTCCGGATGACACACGAGTAAACAGACCAATCAACTTGGTCTGCTTGAGCTTGTCCCGAATCTCACGGGTCTCTCTCATGGGCGCAGAGTAGTCATAAGAAGTGTAGACAACCGGAGCAGGACTCTGTCCCCAAGAGGTGGCCCCCATCACCATATAGAGATTCTGCAGCGTGACTCGTTGACCGATGTTATTCTTATAGTAAACGTCAGGGAACTCAGGCGAAAGCTCGGTAGAACATTGGTCGTAGAAAGTCCCTCCCCAGGCGGAGAACCAACCGCCCTCAAACTCTGGCAGGTACTCAGGCTGAGAACTCGAATAATTCTGGAACCACTGGTAATAAGTGCGAACAAGATTGAACCCAGTGTTTGGGTTGGTGCAGGACAGACCACCAGGATACGAGTCCAGACCATAGATGTTGACGGCACCGCCCACGTCCTGGTAGTCCGTTGACCAGCTCATAGAGCGCATTCCCTTCTCGTTGTGGGTACTCGGGACAACGATACCAGCCTCAGCAAAGGCGGCTTTGATTTGTTCCATGTACTTGACAACGGTGTTATCGGCACTATGAGTCATCTCCTGCAACTCATTCTCATGCTGATTGAGAATGACTGGGCCGCCATTTGTGATCTGGTTTGCGGCGATAATCCTTCCGATCTTCTGGATCCACGGATACCATCGGTCATAGTAAGAGCTTGCGCTGGTGCGCGTGCTGCCCATTTGACCGTTCGATGCCCACAATGCAAACCCACCAGCAGAGGTCTCGGCATTACAGTAAGGCCCCGCGCGCGCGATCACATACAGACCTGCCTGCTTGGCATAGTCAAAAACGCGTTGGACGTCATGGGCGCCGTTCTCGAAGTCGAAAGTATCCTCGGAAGCGGAGTGGAAACTCCAGAAGAAGTAGACTGATTGAAATTAGTACCAATGCAAATGAAGGGTTGTTGTCAAGTCACTCACTAGAAATTGCATTAAACCCGTTTGCGCGTAGCTTCTGAAACACGTCGAGCCATAGCTCCGGCACAGGGAGTCGCTGGTAATGGAATTCACCGGAGAAAACATACACCCTCTCTCCCTTGACTGAGAGGCTGTGGTTATCCCATGTTACATCAGTAGTCTTGCCATTATCTGCTGCAGAGACAAAATGGCTGGATATGAGTCCAAGTAGGACGGGGAGAAGCGCCAGAAGACGCATTGTTGAGTGCTGTGCAGATACCCTCGATCTTGGAATATGACATGTTATAATGTGTGTATGCTTCGGTCCTCGCTATAGAGATACCCCGTACTCTGCTCGGATTGGTGGATGTTTTGGAGACCCATGAAACATCGGATTAGGCAATTTTCCAGGAAGATGCGGGGAGATGGCGGGCGTTTGACCGGGAAAGCTGCGCTTTTATATTTACACTTGATATTGAGAGAAATTTGCTAGTGGTAGAACTCAAGAAATCGACCTACCATTTGGTTTAATTATAGTAATAATGCCACACGAAGATATATGCCACCCCTGCCAACAGACATTTAGGAACTTTTGATATCTAAAAGTCATTAAATTCCCCTTTTTGTTTCTGTTGAACGAGAATTGCTCCCGATGACTCCGGCGATGCGCCAGAAGATCCACTGGTGTCTCCCCGTCCTGACTGCGGCTATTTCGATCCGCTCCGTGATCAAGAAGCAACATGACCACTTCCCATGCCGATATTAGGACTGCCAGGTGGAGAGGCGTGTTGTCGTCGGCATTTTTTGCAGCAACAGCGGCCCCATGTTTCAGTAATAATTTGATTGTTCCAACCATCGTTTTTGAACGTCCGTTACCCGATACAGTAATCCAGATGTGACGACACTTTAATACCGCCATTTGAGCTTGACCTTATACAAGATATACACAGCAAAAAATCACATGTTGAGGCTAATGGCGAAGTACGTATGCCAAGAGCACTAGGGGATTCATGCGGGTATCAGCACCAATGGGCCCCGGTCGATGGAGCCAAAACAAGCCACGAAGATTCTCACATTTATGGGCACATTGGTACGAAACTCAGCCCCATTTGCTCAAGCAGTGGGAGGGCGGAGAATTATTCTACCTGCATTGCCTGATCATCTCTACACACTTCTCTCTACCCCAAGCCTGGAGTAAATATCTGTCTACACCGAGGTGTACATTCCCACCCCAAGTATGGGCAGCGAGAGTATATGGCGTCGTGGCAAATCTGTGTTCTCTAGCCAACGTTACCATGGTGTTCCCAGCGACCAAACCGAGAAAGCAAGGCCCAAGTCGTCAAATTGGATAGAAGGACAGGACAACGTCGAGGGGAATACAGAAGCAGAGGCTATTGAACACAACTCATTCGATCCCCAGAAGCCACACTGGATTAACGGCGTCTTTCTGTGTGCCAAGACTTCTGCCGTTTTGCTTCTGCTAAATCTCATCTTCATTGCCGTCGCTGCTGGACTAGCCAATCGAAATCCGGAGAATAATGGATTTTCCAGTATCCAAGTAATGTACCAGGGCAGCTGTACCTTGTCCAAACGATGGAACATCGCCTTGCACTTTATAATCAACGTTCTAAGTACTGGAATCCTGGGTGCTAGCAACTACTGCATGCAGTCACTGGTTGCGCCGAGTCGGGAAGAGGTCGATAAATACCATGCACAAGGCCGGTGGCTTGACATCGGCTGCTCGAGTGTGAGAAATCTCTTTGTCATTGGACAATCTCGGCTCGCTCTGTGGCTGGTGCTGCTTGTCACGGGGACGCCTTTTCATTTACTGTATGTTGTCGGAAGAGGTCTATAAGACGCGAGACATGGAATTGATACAAGTTGGCAGGTACAACTCGATGGTTTTTGAATCCGTGGCTGTAAACGAGTTACATGCTGTTGTTGGACCTAGGGACTTGAATTCTTCCAGCATCGCGAGTTTGAAGACTCCTGCACTTGATCAGTGTTTTAGCATAACTCCGAAGTTTCGTGGCGGGGATGCTGCCGTATATCAGGGTGATGATATAGGCACAGCTGCTATCAGAACCCCGGATTGGCCGGATACTGGGAGTGATGGGTATCCTGAGGGTGAGTTGAACTGGCATGACTTTGCCTCTGACATTGCGCGGGGGAACTACGAGCGCCTGGACCTTCAGCAATGTCGCAGTCTTGAAAGCTTTGGAGATACCAGGGGGGCAAAGGTGCTCGTCATACTCGCGAATGAGTTATCTGTGAGCCAAGGTGGAGCTACTACGATGCTCTCGATAAACCAATCGAGTCTCCCGGAACAGCGCATTGCGATCTCCAATGACGAAGTGGATGGGTCCGAATTCGCTCGCAAGACCTTGATGATCAATATCCTTGACTCTGGTCGAGTCCATTACTACACAAATGACAATTTTACGTATGAAGCCTGTCGTGACACTCTGGATGAAGATTCCTGCTCAAATGCCCATCTTCTGTTTGACTGGGCGAACCATGATGTGGACCAGCCGACCCTCGAGAGGGTGAATCAATACATCCAGGCTAACACCACATCTGACATCACAGCTAGTGGCTATGTAATTATTTGCGACGATACTTCAATGAATGAAGATAAGCTTTATACCGTTGATGGATGTCTTGTGATCAGATCTGAAGAGCAATGCCAGCTGCTCTATAGTCCACTGATTTGCATTATAATTGTTCTTGCGACTTTCCTCAAAGTCGTAGCAATGTTCCTGGCAGCGAGAGTAGACCGTCATCGATCGGCACCTCTACTCACCGTGGGCGATGCGGTGGCGTCATTTATGGAGAAGCCAGATTCCACCACAGAGGGAATGTGTTGGCTATCCATCGCCGAGGTCCGTCGGGGAGCATGGAAAGTGCCCCAAAGGACAGATGACCCTGCTGGGGAACCTTTGGCAAGGATCTCTCAGCGAGAGTTGATGGTACACAAGCGGTTATCGCGACGGAAGCACTGGATGAAAGGCTCAAGCCTCCCATGCTGGATAACGACCCTCGTCTTGTAAGAGCTCACATTCCAATATTACTTTAGACCCTATGTTAACTACGGAGTGTCTAGATGTTTGGCATGTATTGCCGTCGGAGCATTCCTCTTCGAGCAAGCTCTCCCACCGCTAGACAGTCCTGGGTTGACTCCCGGCGTCCTCCATAACCTGTGGACAGCAGGATTCTCCGGCATCCCCGGGTATAACCCATTGATCGACCTAAATATAACACTGTCCGCTTTGAGCTCTGTGGTGATAGCCAATATACCACAACTGGTCATCACAGTCAGCTATTTTTTCTACAACAGCGTGTTGACTAGCATGCTCGCGACTGCCGAATACAGCTCCTACGGGGCAAGTCCAAAGCCCCTTCGCGTGACATGGCCTGTAAGAGGCAGTACACAACAGTCAACGTACTGGCTGTCCATGCCATACCGGTACGGGGTCCCCCTGCTGGTGATCTTCACGGTGCTTCACTGGTTGGTTTCTCAGAGTATCTATTATTTTCGGGTCATGGCGTATGACTGGACTGGCCGACCGATTTACCGTTTCTCGATTAGCTCTCTGGGTTATAATCCTCTGGCTATCTTCATTTCTACCCTTGTGGGTAGTTTGATGGTCTTTGTGTTGCTTGGACTATCGTTCAGAAAGTTAAAATCTGAGATGCCGTTGGCGGGAGCTTGTAGTGCTGCGATAAGTGCTGCATGTCATGTGCCCAGGGGCGAGGACTTGGATCATGCCGCTAGGGGGTCGGTGACGTGGGGAGAAACAGTGGCGTCGCCATCCTTGGTTGGGGATTCTGGTGGAATTGAGGATGACAAGGGACATTGTAGTTTTACATCTTTGCAGACAGTGAGACCTTCGTTGAGCAAGATGTATGCCTAGAAGGAAGTCCATAATCCGACAATATACTGGAACCAACATGCCATGCCAGACGGAACAGTCTATCAAATGGACAGCAACCTAGTCCAGACCCTGATTCCTTCCGAGAATATATCACCGTAGGATTTGTCCAGCAGGAGTGTCCAGGTGGGAATGACCGAGGCGGTGAAACTGCTGCAGAGTTTCCGGGGCCAGGAGGGATCGCAGACAAGTCAGAGCGAAGAGTCTGACAACCCATTTCGGGACGGAACGCCGTCACCGAGTCTGGCCCATTAAGCTTCTTTTTTTGGAGAGAAGGGGGAGGGAAGGGGATTTGAATTTGGATTTGGATGTAGATTTGGTCGTGCCGACATGGCGAGATTCAGGCAGCGAAATAACACTTCGCTAGATTGGGCGAATATATATTGTTTGCAAAGCAAAGTTTCAATCTCCGGTGAGAGGATCAAACAAGTAAAAGACTGGCATGGAAAGAGGACCTATGTCGATCTCCCTCGTGAGACAAGGAGATTGGGTTTCTACAGGCAAGGTAGTGGAGATCAACTTACAGCAATCATAAGTCTAAGCCTATCATCGCCACCATCTAGCCATTGGAGGACGCCTAAATACCAGACTTCTACACAAGATAAGCTCGTTAAGAAAACCTGACATCATAGTGGCTGGCTTTACTCAGAACATTGACTAGCATTCTCAGATCGCCCTCTTTCAACTGGGCAAAGACACCGTTCTAGGTCAAGTCAGCCTGACTTCTCCCGTCCATCTTAGAGCAGGGTCTGCCCTCCGGTTCGAAAATCCCGAAGACAAACATCAACTCGATACAGAATCCTCTACCACAAGGGTCAACGGTAATATCGTCTCGCCTGAGCCAGAAGATATGAGGGCCAGCAAGACGCGAGCCCCATCATACGCGAAGCGGGCCTCGGTTTGAAAGAGACCCAGAAATCCTCTCTCAAACGTAACTTGGGCTCTTCTAAGTGGGAACCCCCTGCAGGTATTAGACGATCGGCACGTGTCGCCAAGAGAGTGAAAATTTGACCATCTTGAGACAGAAAGTGTATTTAGTGCTTTGTAGTAGATGGATTCACTGTTCTGAGCTGTTTGATATGGCGACTTCGAAAGAAAATCCATGGATTGGCTTATAGAAAAGGACAATAGAAACTCAATCTGATAAGTATAACCATCGCAATCAACGGCTGTGGAGTACAACCCGGCCGGAGATTGAATCGCTCAACATCAATTCTCCTTTGAATCGGACGAGCAAGAAGTGGGGAAATGGAGATCTCTTTTTTGATTTTTGAAAAGCTTGTATAGTAACTGTGCCAAGCGCCCAATTCCGACCCTGGAATTTGGAATTGGGCGCTTGTATAGTATTCATGCATTTCCTTATCTATCCCCCTGATTGTGGATCAGTTTTCAGGGGCCTTCCCATGCGAGGCAATGTCCGGGAATAAAGGAGTATCTCGAGCTTTTGTATTAGTTGTAGACATTCCTCGTGCGCTGGACCGTTCTATACAACCCCCGACGACTTCAAGTGAAGAAAATTTCAAATTCTGGATACATAAAATAAATAAAAATACGTGTACAGTCTAGTCACCCTGAGAATAAAAAACTATTAACAAATTTTACCACCCCAATTGCTTCCCTTTCCTCCTCTATGTTGAATTCAAGCAAATCTTCCACTTCACTCGGTCATGGCCCAAGCCTTGACTGTTGGGCCTTGCCAGATATGGCGTCCGCGAACAAACCAATCCCCACAGGCAAATAGCATAACAAATCCAAGCACAGGGCCGGCATAGTTCATGTTCTCCGCGGTAACCGGGAGTGTCGAGGGGAAGGGAAGGAAGATGGCGAAATAGGTGGCGAAAAGAATGGCAAGGAGATTCATGGGGAGGCCGAGCTTTCCCAGAGTGAATGATCCCTGTGGGATATCATGGGGAGCCATGAAGCGCTTCAGGACAAGGAGGATGAGAGGGATAATGTAGGAAATGTAGAGACCGAGTGTGCTGATCGAGAGAATAGCGCTGAATGCAGCGGTAGAGCCAATCTGAATGAACGAGAGTGCGAAGATGCATGATGCAACAAGGAATAAAGCACGAATGGGGATCTTGTAGGTTGGGTCGACGTAGGTAAAGAAGACGGAGAAGGGGAGTCCGTTGTCTCGAGCGAAGGCCCAGGTGAGACGCGTGACGGAGGCGAGGCCGTTGAAGAAGCCGATCCAGCCGGGCAGGATGCCCATCGTCATGAGGACGTATGTGGCCGCCTTGGACTTAGTAGCTTGGTAGGTGATTTGAATGATGGGGTAGCCTGTTGGGGTGGTGACCGCTTCGACGTAGTCGCCCATGCAGTAGAGAATAGCGATCAGGTAGCCCAATGTGAGGATTCCGTTGATCAAGGTGCCGTAGATCATGGAGCGGGGGACGACGAATTTGGCATTCTTGACTTCTTCAGCCATGTGAATAATACCGTCGACACCTGTTGGTACGAATTAGCTTGTTCCAATGGTCTGATCGTGGAGGAACGTACCACTCAGGGGAGTCAGGACACCAAGAAGACCGATGGAGAATACAACTCCAGGATCCTTCCAGCCACTCAAGCCGCTGACAAAGGTCCCCCAGACGAACTCGTCGGGGTTTCGAGGGGCGAGGATAACGCAGACTGCGATAACAACTGGTAGGAAGACAACATGCATGATACCTGCGGCAACCTCGACACCTCCCAGAATGCGACGCGCAAACACATTCAGGAGAATGGGAATGATTGCAACTGCCCACATGAGCAGGGTGCCGCGCCACCTTTGCATCTCATAGTCGGGGTACTGCAGCATAACCATGCCCTGGATTTGGTTGCCGATGAAGAAGGGTGCGATACACACCAGACTACTCCAGCTGAAGACAGTAACCCATCCTAATCTGTTCAGCATACGGCTAGAAAAGGAAAATGACCAGGCATGCACTCACCCTGGAAGAAACTGAGGAATCGACGACCGCGAGGCGCGAGGAAATAGGACCAGTGATATTGAGCACCTGCAGTTGGGTGACTATCTCGAGGTTAGCGGGGTGCGTCAAGGGGCGCGAGTCTGATGCCGCTGGTTGCAGCATCGCGATGAGATGCGAGGGAGTCCATTGGGTATGCGGAAAGAAGGGTGGCGCGGTGGACAAGTCATTCACATACATAGAGGCAAGCTCAGCCAAGGAGCATGCAATGGACAGATTGCCCAGGGTGGTTAGGATAATGCCATAAATAATCGCAGCGGGGCCGCCGTTGTATAGTCCTGAGAGCAAACTACCACCGGCCGTTTCCCATGAGGCAAGCAGACAAGCAGAAAATGCGACCGATGAGAAGAAGTTGAGATATCTCTGTTGCACGATTAGAGTCTGCGCAGGTCAATTGAACGTCGGGTATTTACCTCCAGGTGTTGTTTTTGGCGCGCTGTAGCGCTCTCATAGCCACCATTCCCACTATCTACTGGCATTGAGCGCATAGCGCTGCCGCTCTTCATTTCCATATCTTCTTCCATCTTGAAATGCGATTGAGGAGAGGAAAGTTGTAGAGGAAAAAATGTCCAGAGAAAACCGACCACTCGGCCAAAAGACGGCAAGATGTACTGGCCATTTTTGCCTACTCATCTCCGTGACTAGAGACTAGACAGGGATCTAGATTGCGGAATGCGAAACAAGCCACCTCAGAAGCGAGGTGCTCCGCGTTGAAACAATGTCTTGTTCGCTTAGGCGCGAACCCTTGTCGTTTGCAATTTAATAAGACGTGCTATCTAATCCTGGATCGGGACTTCCGGGAGATCATTGGACTGTTGTAAATTTAGTGGCACAGTCCACGCTCAAAGCTTTGTCGTTGGTGACTAGCGTTTTTTTAGTCGCAAGGCCGGTCTTTTCTAGTGTGTAGTCCGAGCGGCCAGGTGAATCCTTTGTAACTTCCGCCCCCTCGATTTCGGGTTTGTTGATCATAGTTCATTAATATGGACAATTGCGATTGACGGAAACATGTCGGACCCCACTTAAGTGGTCTCAAACTAGTATTGGTATATTCTATTTAACACATTGTAATAGGATTCACATCCCTGCATAGATGCAAGCAATAGTACCGCCATCCAGTGCTGAGAGAGTTTGGGGTCGGACTCAAACAAGGATTGTAAATTATCAACGGAAACTTTAGTATTAGAGATGTGGCAGTTTATTATGTGGCATCCATCTCAAGTTTTGAACAAGTGCGATGGCCGACCAAAATAAGGCCTTCCAGCCTCTGTCAAGCGACAATCGCGGCACCATCCTCACGCTGATCTCGGTGCCCCTTCTCCTTGTGACCATAGTCTTTGTGATCGCTAAGCTTAGCTCGGTGATCTATTTCAAGCAGCGACGGACAACGGCCAATACTCCCATTTGGGTCGCTATACTTCTTGCAATTGCTCAAGTCGTTCTCTTACAAAAGGCTGTTGACCATGGACTGGGAAAACACCAGGACCAACTGAGCAAAGGCGATATTCAAGCATGGAGCAAATTCGCCTTCGCTGCTCACATTCTGCTCATCATTATCTTGTCGCTTTCGAAAATCTCGACTACTATGCTGGTTTGGAAGTTGACGCCAAATAAGACCCTCCGTCGCAGCTGTATTGTCACCGCGGGCATTGTGGTCGCGTGGTCGATATTTGCAGTGTTGAGTATAGCTTTCCAGTGTGAATTGCCCCATGTGTGGCTCTACTCCCCTGAGCGATGTGTTGGAGAGGTCAGTATACACCAGGAAAATGCCTCATGCTTCACTCAACACATCTAACCCCAAACAGGGAGTCCTCTTCTACCCGATCGGTGTCATCAATATCCTCACAGAGATTATCATTGTTGTCCTACCGTTTATTATGATGCAACATGTCCAGATGGTCAAGAACAAGCGGGTCAAGATCCTGTGCTCCTTCACTGTGCGCCTAAGGTATGTTAGCAACTCGAGGAACTTTCCCCTTTCGAATTCAATAGCTCACTAAGCCGTCACAGTATCGTCGGCCTCGGAATCGCCCACCTAGCTCTCCTACCTTCATTCGTCCACTCAACCGACGTCTCCTGTCCGTGACTTCCCCTTCCAACTTTGGCCAAATTAGACTGATCTGACAAGGATATAGGGGAAATCGCCATTTGGGAAATAGTTGGCCAGGCAATGATGCTCACAGCAATCATCGTCGCCTGCGTCCCAACCCTCTACCACATCTTTGCTGGCCTGCACTCTGGCCTGACGACAACCCAGATCCCCGACGCGCTCGAGCTCCCCCAGACCAAGGGCAGCGGGTATGTCAACCAATCCTCCTCGGCAGCAAGCCGGTCACATTCGCGGTCGCAGTCGCGTGGACGCCAGAGGAAGCACGGACGATTGATGTTTGATGGATGGGGAGGTCAGACCGGGGTTATCACTGAGGTTTCGTCGGGTCTGGATGCGAATCAGAATAATGAGGGTAGGCAGTCTAGTTCGAGTGAGGGGGCTGAAAGTACGCGACATTTGACGCATGATCTCCAAGGGAAGGGAGGCGTTCTAAGGACAGTGGATGTCACGGTGCAGGTTGAGAAGCACTATAATGGGAACCAGATTTAAGGGGTACAACATGGCTTGTTTGATAGATGGGGAAGGTTAATGCTATGGAATTGATCGCCGAAAGGCGCTCTAGAATTAACAAATTAAATTTCGTTGTTGATCTGATACCAAGATGGCACGCTAATCCCACCAATGACCTATATATATCTGCGTACATGATGCAATGGCTTCATAGTTTCATGACCAAGGTGATCTTGAACATAGTCATACCACTTACTCCCCCGGACAGAAAGGGCAATAGCCAAGTTTGGCTAGGAAATTCCGGACAAATGAGTCGCAAAGCAATTTGTAAGTACAGGCAATGGTCTCGAGGTCCCGTATAGGCATACATAAAGCCTGTGGACAATGCCCAACCGCCCGTCCATGGGCAATGTCGTAGTCTAGGCGCCCAGTCCTCACTTCATTAGGGTTTTAACTTAATTACCCCTTAAACTATCATATGCCATAACTAGTAAACCGTCGATTTATTAACAAAGGAGGGAGTAGCGATGCATACGAAGCTTTGACATATAGATATTAATCGGTGCTAAATGAAATAGGAAGTCAGCGAAGGTAGAGTCAATGTGGACTAAGTTCTAACTACAGCTATGTCAGTAGATAACATCAGTGTCTCTCCCCAGAGCTATAATACTATCGTCTTTATTAGGTACACGATCTGGTCAGAAGCAAGGATCTGACTTTTGTCTCCTATGATGCTTTGTATTCCTCGAGGATCATCCCTACACTGGGTGGAGCTGATGGGAATCTGGCTCTTGTGTCTGAAATTGTGGTCTAAAACACAACTATGTGTGATATCACCGTAGAACCACTAATTTCCGCTCGGGTTCCAAATCCTCCCATGTAGAAAGTGCGACATCGCTTAAAGCTCGACGATAACCGACCCCGTCAACCCAATGAACTGGCATGACAATGGCAAGCTCTGCCTCTGTTTTTGCTGTAATAAGAACGAGTGAAAACTTGTTCGTGAATACTAAAGATCCATTGCCCATGTGATTCTCGAAACTGGCTTTGATATCATCAAAATCCATAGATTCCCTGCACTTATCCATCGATATCGCAGCTGTCCAAAACACCAAGTACTGACTTTCTTCACCAATAGTTATACAGGAACGAGGAAAGCCATCAAGTTCTCTCTGGGTAGGTCTCTCAATCTGGAGATCCTCGGTGTTGGAAACACGGCCAAGGGAGTGGCCAAGTGGAAGGCTGGCTCCGAACTCCTGCAGAATCCCATCTTTAATCCGGTAACAATACACTGACTGCCACTCCTTGGTAGGGATGTATGTGCAAGCTAAGATCTGGGAGTTGGGTTTACTCCATTTCCACCCCACCCATGACCAGCTTGGGAAGCCCTCGCGTCGGGTTAAGGTATTGTCGTACAAGGCTATCCATGTCAGCCAAAGGGTGAAGCCACACCGATGAAGCCCGTTCCAGTGTTCGCCCAGGTATGGTTCAAAGCGTGCTAGTGTTCCAGAGAACGCACTCAGTGCATCCGTATCGTATGTCAACGAGCGAGCAATATAGCAGGGTAATATATGGTCGTATAGGGCTTCGGGAGAGTGTAATCCTCCACTGCTAGCTGAAAGTAGCAGTTCGTATACAGGCTCGCCGTCCTGCCATGGATCAGACTCTTCTTTTAAAATCCTCCCAGTGAGGTAATCCTGGCAGAATGTACTCTCCGGGCAAAGAAAAATCAGGTCATGTTTTGTAAAGCAAAGGAGTCTTTGAGAGAGAAAATGTTCTTGAAACGTCCAGCCCCTTGAAAACCAGTAACTTTGCAATAATGTCTCCAAACATGACTTGTGCCGCTGATAGGCAAACAAGGAGTTTGAGGATGTGGCACATATGGGGTGGATAGGCCCGTATTTCACAGGTATTTCAACACCGGGCAGCCTCGCGTTTGCATCATTGCCAGTTGCAGCGGCAATGGTAAAGGTGGCATTCATGTAAACCAGGTGCATGTTCGATATCAGCTGTGATTTGTGTGTACTATCCTGGACAATACATAGCGAATCGACCCAAAGGAATGGCATGTTGATCTTTTTGCACAAGACAATCGCGTCACGAACTGTGTGCGGGATGTTGGACCATCTCTGATCTAAACTGCCCGGTAATTTCATCTCCTGGAGATTGAACACTTCAAGCTTCAGCATGCTGAAAGAAATCTTGCCCCAGACATAACTTAACGCTGCATATTTATGGCCCAAGGATCCCTCTATGATCGATAGTGTCCGAATATCAATCAGGTAAAATGGGACCTCACTAGGGAGGGATTCGTTAAGTGTTTCGACTTCTGAATCATGGCTTGTTGAGTGAGAGTGACTTTGGCATTCTTGGAGCCAGTCTTGGATGTACTTGAAGTTGATATAATCATCATTGCTCCCGAGATAAACATCATCGCTGCTGGTATGTATGGAATAACGAAGCCCAAACGCTGAACATGATTGCGGCTTGTCGAGTACACTTAAATATGCCTGATAACCATCCCATGGTTCAATCATAATACCGGTTTGTTCGCCCCTCGTAACGGTGGCGAGAAAGCGGCAGAGAGGACAAACTCGTGACATATCTTGTCTACTGAAGTTTCCGCGCACCGTTTGACAATTCATCATGCTGTTATATAAGGTATTGCAACTTTGGCACATATGCTCGATTGCACGATTAATTTCCTGGTAGCCCTGGGCTAGTTGGGCGATCTGAGATCTGCTCAGCTCCATGACGCACGGAGTAATGGTAAGATCAAAACGCCTTCTATGGGTATCGGGCTTTATTATCACAGAAAGGCTTGGTTGTAGATGTTCTAATGAGGCGCCGAGGGGGAGGAGACACATTTTAAAAGAATTGGGTGAGGCTGATCCTAGGATTCATGCTTGTTAAGGATCCGAGCCAAAGCGCCTGAGGCAACAGCATCAGCGACTCATGCCAAAACACGTGGTGCTCACAGCTTCGAAAGGAATTAGGAATCATTTGAAATTAGCTAACTGTTTATTATCCATGCCTACAATCATAAGAATGACTCAACTCAACTTCATTATAGAGACCAATCTTAGATACTCCCGCTATAAAGGTTGTATATCTATGGAGTAGGTCCCGTCCCGGGAGTCGATCTACCCGTAACCAAGAGGTCCACTGTATCCAACTCGCTTAGCCAATTTCATTCTAAAGTCCTTAATTTTAAAGCCTTCGAGATATGTGAGGAAAATTAGGGTAAACCGGGCCGAAGCGCTTATCTTTTACCCCTTAAACCATCTATTTTGTAAACGGCGGACCTTCTGGTCAGCAGTTGATCAAGGTCATCAATTAAATCTGCGGCTTTGTGGCTTTGCGGCTACACTTTCTATTTCTGTACTTGTACTCTTGATCTGTCTTCTGGATCATGTTAACGTTGGTAATCTTCTTCGCTTTCTATTTTGCGGCCGTTTGTAACGCTTTCTATGACTGTCCTCGTGATTCGTGTGACACATGCCTCCCTATCGAGATTCACGACGCTCCGGGTGTTGGGTTTAATTTGACCCCTTCATACGGGTGAGTGTATGACTATGGCTATGAGTTTACAAATTTTATCTGATCGCCCATTGAAAACAGAACGTCCGCAGTACATTTCTTTAACGGAACCGTCGTCCAGGTTGCCCAAATTCAGGGTGAGCCAGAGTATCTCCAGCTTATGGCACGTTTTGCGAAGGAGGCCGATCCCACATCACATGAAGCCACAGGGTTATTACAAGGAACTTATTCTCGACTATACTCTCTGCTGGAATCGCCCTTACCATCCTTGGCTGGATGGCTAAAGAGGAAGCTCGCTCGGCCCCTGGAGGTGGATGACGTCTATATTATCCGCGAGATGCTGCAAAATCTCAAGTACTCCACGGAGAGAAAATTGCGTCAGTCTCTTGATAGGGTCGCCGTTACAACTCCCGACATAGAAGCTCTCAGTCCAGAGATTATCAACTCTGCTCTTCGGGGTCTCAATTTACGGACATGGCTAGGCGATAGCAAATTTTACCCTGATCGACTGGTTGAAGCAGATGCTGTTTATGCTGCCAATGGCTATAGACTATGCAAAAATTATCACGACCTGTTTGAATGTACAGATGAGTTTGATTTAGCTGATTCATCAACAATCCTTTACATCTCATTCAGTCGTGCAGTATTATACGCTAGTGTTATCAGACCTATTAACGGCGAAGCCTTGTCTCGCTTTACACGAGACGAAGCCCAAGTGCTTGACTTCGAAGTTGGGCTAGATCGGCTTCTACAAACAAATTACCCGGATCTATTATGGTCCCGGCTCCGTTCGCAACTAATAACGCTCTCTCGGTCGTCAAAATTTCCGATAACTCACCTCGTCCTAGCCGGAGAGAGCGCCAGAAACCCTCGTTTCCTGGACAATTTAAAGGATTCTCTAACTGCAATATCGCAACCAATTATCACTTCTCGAATAGAATCTCAATTTGATTTTATGGCACCTGTCCAAGAACAGAAAACTACAGATCCGACTTTTACTGCTGCTCGGGGTGCGGCATTATATGCACGAAGGAGACAGGAGGTTCAAGAAGATTGCTCGGAACCCGCGGAATGCGAGTTATTACGGCAAGAAGAGCGATCAAATAGCTTGAAGAGAGAAAACCTTCACTAGTCCCCTGGTTATCAACATATTCTTCTGTTTAGTAATATGCATCTATAAGTATTCGGTTACGGATAGAGAGTATCGGATCCCAGGCCGTTATTAACTGGTTGTTAGCTAATTAAATGATCTGGCGTAAGGGGCTCATTAGTAACACCGACGCTAAAGATAGGTGGAGGATGAATTTAGGATAACGCAATCTGAGACGAAGGGCCAGCATCAGTATATAGGTCATACTGAGACATACTAGAAAAACAGTTTACTAGTAAGGAAGAGGTATGAAAGGAAGATCTCTAACACCTACCTTTATAAGGACGAGAGTCGCGTTCAGCACTAGTAGATTAAAATTAACGGCAGTGCGATTATACATCATATATTTATTTCCTATTGTACAGACTAGCATTTTATTCACTCCATCCACGATGTATACAATCTACATAAGATGATCTGCCATAAGCTAATTGGGCTTAGCGTGGATGGACTGTTCCGTTTTACTCCAACTCCCCACACTATATGTAGTGCGGATACATCCCGCCGGCCTCCCCGGGGTTATCGGTGGGATATCTCCGATGCTTATGCGAACAGTCACCAATAGATAAATACATCAATGAGCACGGCATCCTCTATTCGAATAAGATAGAAAATCCCACACGCCATCATGTCAGTCACACATGTCTTCAAAGTCGTAGACGGCCTCTCACTCGAGATCGACGCCCTCTCCCCACCAACCAAAGATGAAAACGCTCCCGTCGTCCTGCACTTCCATGGAGGCTTCCTAGTAAGTCAAAAACAGCATCCAAACGCAAATAGAACCCCAGCTCACATCCAATCTCGCAGTTCCTAGGCGAAAAAACAACCTTCCCACCCCACTGGTTGATAAACGCCTGCCAAAAACGAGGTTGGACATACGCAACAGCCTCCTACCGCTTGCTACCCGAAGCCCCAGGCCTCGAAATCCTGCAAGACGCAATAGACGCCGTAAACTGGGTACATACGAACATCAGCAAGCGCGTAATCATCGCCGGCTCCAGCGCAGGCGGATATCTGGCGCTCGCTGCTACTGCGCACCCCGCTACACCGCGGCCTCTTGCTCTGCTCTCCATTTACGGAATGATGGATTCCTCCAGTGAGCGGTATATCAATCCTGGTCAGCCGCTTGTTGCTCCTGTCGAGGATGAAGCAGGCGCTTTGAAGGAAGTTGAGGATGCTATGCGGGATGATGCTATTGATGGGTATGCGTTTCCGACAAATCCGCCTGCTGATCGTCGGTTTGGGTGGATTAAGGCTTTGCATCAGGCGGCGCAGTATCCAGATGTGATTACGAGGAAGGCTGGGTTGGCAGCGAGGATTGCTGATGAGGGGATTGGGGCGATTTCGGTGGAGGATCGGGCGCTTTTCCCTGTTAGGTTTGGGTTGAATAAGAATTTCCCGCCTACGGTTCTTGTGCATGGAGATACGGATGAGTTGGTTGGGATTGAGCAGAGTGTTGCTGTGGCTGAAGCTTTGGAGGAGCTTGGGGTTGATGTTTCGTTTGAGCGTGCGGAGGGACAGGGACATGGGTTTGAGGCGAAGGAGGTTATTGATTTAGATGCGGATGAGCTAGTGGGAGATAAGGCTGTGATTGATCCGCTCAGAAGGGTTATTGCTCACCTTGAAAGACATGTTCAATGATGCTAGGGCTTCATGAAGACATTGTGAATTAAATTGATTATATACGAAGACCGAAATTACTATCTTGGTAAACAATTCCACCCCATCTCCTCCCAGACGATTTTCCAGAAAGCGCCAGTAAATCATCCGTAAGATCCAAAAAATAATACAAATCGTACATCAAGCCAACGTTTCAAATACAAATACACATCAAAATTCAGCATACGCATCACAGAATCTCGGAGAATCGAGATTCTCTTCTTCCGCTCTCCGTCTCGCCGATAGTAGGTGGTACAGCAAGACCCTGGTCATTAGCACTATCCCGCAGACTCTGAGCATCAGTTCCCTCGACATCCTGAGACGAAGATTGGATCCCCGAGTCACGACGCGAGTCATCATCGTTCGACTCATCATGGTTATCGGGAACGGTCTTGAAGAACGTCCTGCTCAGACGGTTCCTCTTCTTGCCATTGCCATTTTGCCTGATAGACCCCGAGGCAGAGTCAGCACTGTTAATCTTGCTCACATCAAAGCTGTTGCTGTAGTAGCTGGAAGACCTGTTGTGGGTCGGGATAGTTTCGCTTATAGGGTGTGAGGCAAGTGCTGCCCCGCGAGGCTCGTCGCGGCCGGTGAGAGAGGCGCCACCTTGGAAGGCGGGCTCGCTGTCTGTGTTAAACTCCGGAGCTGGCTGATGGGGGTAAATGGGAACTGGGGTACTGGAGCGGCGAACGAGACGGTCGCGGAACCAGTTCTTGAGCTTAGTGTCGGCGCGCGGGCTTGAGACTGGTGGCGTGAAGTAGTGCACAACCGCTGGTCCGGACGCAGTTGCCTCTCGCTGGTCGAGCTCCAGGGGCTCGGTTTGGCTTTGTGTCGGCCGCCGTGGGATTGCCGCGGGCACATCATTTTCGTCGGCCCTTGAAGGTTCAGCCTCCGGGACCGAAAGGGCGACAACGCTTGCGGGAGTGACTGTCTCTGTTTCCACAGAGGCTTCATCGGGGACGGTGTCCGTCGGCTCTGGCTGAACAGAAGCTTGCTCGGGGATGGTGTCCGTCGAGGCAGTGTTGTCTGCGGCTGTAGTCGGGGGCTGCTCTAATACACCTCCCTGGGCGGCAGGCGAGACAGCTCGAGCCTCTTCGGTCTCGGATTCCTCAACACGAGCTCGCTTGCCCTTCTTCCTCCACAAGAAGAATTTGGGAATCTTCCTCTCGGGTTTTTGGCGCTTGCTTGTATCTAATGTACTAGTCAGAGGATATATTGAAAGAGGGAAAGACAGGGTAGCTAACCTCTCAGTTGTTTCTCTACTTCTCTCGTATCAGCCTCGCGTTCACGCTCCACGGCAGCATGTCTCTGCTCTTCCTCAGCATCCAGGCGGGCTTCGATCTCATTGGCCCTCCGTTGTTCGGCATTATCGGCAATCTCATCAAGAGCCGGCTGGAGGCGAGACCGAGCGACAGCGTCGACGTCGGCCATGTCCATATACGTTTGGCCGCCGATGTTCACTCGATCCTCTTGGGTGCCAACCCCTTCAAAGTCTTGTGCCTCCTGTCGCACGAGCTCCTGGGCAACTTCATCCCACCCCCTCTGTACGGAAGCCGGAGCGCGACCGGTGTCCGCGCAAACTCGCGCCTCCATGTCTTGGAGGGTTCGTTCCACATTGCGGCGGGCAGCCTGCATAAGCAATTCACGATCCTGTGTCTGACGGTCCTCTACTTGGCCCATCTTGGTCCGCAGGCTGGTCATCTGGTTCCGGATTTGCCGCGACTTCTCTGCGTCAGTCTGAGCGGAATCCGTATCGCTTGAAGTTCTCTTGCGGCGGGTGGTTAAGAGCGACCGTTGTGGTTGAGGTGCGGTGCCATAATACAGCTGGTAGTCTGCGTGCTCATCCTGCATAAGCGCCAGCTTCTCGGCAGCTCGCTTTTGTGCTGCCTCTTGTAGGGCAATCGCACGCCGGAGAGCAGTCCCATCTGCGGTGGATACCGTCTTGCGGTAGCCCAGTTGACTATGGCCCTTTTGGGCTGCTCGGACGGCGGGAGATTCGCCAGTTTGTTGCTTGGCTGCGGTGATTTTGTACATGTCCTTTGCCATTGAGATAGCAGCAGCGCGCTGGGAGTTCATGTTTTGTTCTTCCTTTCCGAGTCGAACAGGTGGCGATGAAGTGTACAATTTCGGGTCAGTGTTAGACATATGTCGGACCCGGCTTGCTTCCATAGCAGGGTCTAAGTGGTCAAGGGGGTCTTCCTCTTCCACGCGGGAATATCGTGTTGCGCCGGTCGAAAGGTCATATGGAAGTTCGGAGGTAACCCCCGCGTCACTGGGTGCCGAGTCGGCTCTCTTTCGTGAGGTGTAGGCGCCCGATGCAGCCTTCAGCGCCTTGTCTTTCGGGTTACCGCCAACGGCTGTATGGTGGTAACGGTCGATTGAGCTGCCACGTCTGGCAGCGGATGCAGAGGCCTGGCTCACCGAGGCTCTCTGCTCACGCACAGCTAGCGCCGCAGCTCCCATCCCCTCCGCGCTGTGCTGGGTGGTGGGTTTAGGTTGCTGGGGCAGAGCGTAGTCCTTCACGCATAGTGCAGCCTTCTCGGCGGCAGGTTGTCTCGCCGGGGGCTGCCATACTTCGACAGGTTTACGATTTGCGTGTGCGATAACGGATGCAGCGGAGGCGTGGCTGAGCTTTCGAGTACCACCGACCGTGTGTGTGTCTGTCGCAAGGCGCATTGTCAGATTGGTTGTATTCGCTTATATCCAGGAATGATACTTACTTAAGTTTTGGCTTTTGATGGCGGTCGGGGCGCGGAGAGATGCCTTGCGTTCAGGGTGTGTCACATATAGAGCAGCAGTCGCGGCTATTTCACGTGAGATTAGCTATCAGCTGGAGATCAGGAATGCAGATCTTACCATCATCTGCTAGCCGGGACGGGCGAGTCACTTGTACAGTCGCCATAGTCGAACAAATTTTGATAAAGCAAAAGTCAAAAGGAAGAAGAGGACAGGAGAGACAAAACTATATGTGGAATGGAAGTCCGGAAAGCTTCTTTCATCCCCGTGACGTCGATCTGAAAGCCATTGCATCATCGTTGGGGAAAATCGATCTGCCCCGGAGCTACAGGGATCTCCCACGGGCGCTAGTGAACGATCTAAGTGGAGTGAAGATTCCGCATTTGAACGAGCCGAGTCCCATTCTCAGGTGGTGACGTGAGGACTTGAAAATGATCTTGAACTCTGATCTACATGGATCTACGTTGATACACGCTATAAATGCCGATCCTCCACGTTCCATCCGAATGACGATAACACTTGAGGGCTACAGTGATCGTTCAGTGGCTCGATGAGCCCAAGGCCTTAAGAATGAGGCACCAATTGCCAAGCATCCCCATTCTATAGTAATATTGTGTTGGAATGCTCTAGATGAGTGCAAATTTTACTGTTATGTAGTATTTTTTTGTACATATTCCACGTGTACATGTAAATTTGAGGCATAGACATGGAGTTCAACGTATCATGACCCTACGCAAAGTGTCACTTCAGTCCATCCCAATGTTGCTCCGAATCACTGCCCTCACCCTTACTGGGCCAACTTATACCAACCCCGTGATGTTCTTTCTGCCAGTCGCGAGGGATAAAGAAGTGTCTCATCACCGCAGTTTCCAACCCACGAGGAGATGGAAATTATAACTGCGCCGTACACTCCTAGATCCCGGCTCATCTTCATATGACACCGACGTATCTAATAGTAAAAAGCGAAAAACCTAGTATCCTACACATATAATCTCCCCTGACAGAACTGGGCGTATCAGCGAACAGGGGTATTCTAGCATTTCAACGAATCATTTTGAATTCCATCGGAGCCCCACTGTGAATTTCACGGGTGATGCACTAGAAAGCAGAGTAGCGACTCTAGAATCCCAACTCCGTAATATCACTGACAATTTCTGCGGTATCATCAGAGGTAACACGCTTCCGGTCAATGTAGTTGCCTTTTTACTTGACAAGCAATTGGTGGCTTCTTGCTCAAACGATATGACGGTCAGACTCTGCGACACAAACTAAATTAGCACGAGGATTATATAAAGCCAGTCTTGTGATTCTCAAAGTATCTCTTTCCCGTTCTGGACAATTCTGATAGAGGTGTTTCGGAAATGGGATCTGTTACTTCTTCTCCTTCGACTATAGCTTGTCCGTTTATGCTATTGGTGACGCGGAATTGGCTGACGGAGACGACAGATTTAATTTGGCTTCCTGAAGAGTATACCGTGACTAATGTGACTACACTGGGCAGGATGGTTGTAATTGGATATGCATCCGGGATGATCTTATTTATTAATGTATAGTATGATCCTCATCAGTTCAGTGAATACGCTAGACTATCTAACGTCAAAAATTAACAATGAACAGCAAATACTTATGAGTCATCCCAAAGCATGGGGAAGTCTAAAGAGGAAAACTGGGGGTTTGGAAAAGAGTCTTGTTGCGCCATTGAGAAAAGATTATCGGGCATTGAGTAAGGATCCCCTGCCTCCAAAGACGGCCACTTTTCCTGTTCACCATACATCCCTATCGGAGTCGGTGACCGGGCTGGCCCTAAAGAGCCGGAAACAGATGAACTGAGAGCGAGTGGACTAGATGGCTGCTTGGCCTGCAGAGTTCTGACAAAAAGCTGAATAGCCACGCGGGCTCCAGATGCAGACATGTCACTGAGCTCGGCTAGCATTTGAAGGCGACGAATAGCCTGCTCTACTGCCTGCATTGCTATTTGATATGTCATTCTAACTTTGATTCCCATAAGGTTCGGGCTATTATCGTCCTGATCAAATGGGAAATCTGCATGGGAACAGAGATTAAGCAGAAGAATGGCAGGCTCAGAGTTGAAAATAATTGCAGAAAAGCGCGTATGGGAGCCCCCAACCATTGTATGAAGGGCTGTAACAGCTTCGAGCACTTTCAGTGCAGCCATACCAAGTCTCTGCTTCTGCGACCGGAGCAGAACTTTCTTGTATGGGGCTAAGCTTGCAACTTGGTTTGGTTTGAGTAGCAGGAGAGGTCGGAAGTTCCAACAAATTGAGTCGAAAATCTCGAGATATAGAAGTTGTCTTTGCATGGGTAGTTTTGGGAGAGCCTGATCCAAAGTCGTGTCTGGGTAGGCTACAGCGAAGGCCGGGTGTAAGTTGCTGAGATACTCGGGGTTGAACTTGTCATATCTCCGCTCACTCTCGGTCGGGTCAAACTCAGCGGTACGCTGCAACCCAAGGCCTCGCCAAAACAAGCCAAGCTGAACTTGCATGAGACGTTCGGTGAATATGTCGGGCGCTCTGGCAGCAGTTTCTGCCGGTATATGGCCAATGTCTGGGATCAAATGTAGCTGGGGCAATGTTTGCTCGACCAAGTGATTGGGTAAGAACGGGATCCGATCTAGTTGTCTGGACAAATGACTGTCATCCAGATGCGTCAGTAAGATCCCAGTATCACACTGATACCAAGCGTACCTGTCCAAAACATAGAGGCTGCAAAATGTTCTCCGCTGAACATCTCTTTCTAACTCCTGGGCACTATCTTTACCAAGCTGGGATTCCATCAAACTGGTAAGATGAGTGTGGATGCCAGCCTTTTGAGCAGCTCTGCATGCAGAAGCTATGCCCTCCCAGAATTGGGCAGTCCTCCCTTCACATGAAACTTTCAATGCAGCAAAAATGATGTGTTGAACACGGACCAAAGTGCCTTTCCAGTCGAGAATCTCGCATGTTGTAGCAAGATTGTTCCCGATATTAGTACATGTGTCACGAATATCGGCTAGAGACCGACCGCGAATTTGATCAACAGCATGAGATGGCGAGGGGAGAAATTGTGTCGCATAAGAGCAAATGCGAGTAATTAGAGCTGCAAATTCGACGTCGGCAACCTCCGATATTTTATCCTTTGCACACCACATCTGGTAATTTGCCAAGAAGCTGGGGGCATGGATGACTTGCTTCATCTTGAGTCCACGTTAGAGGTTAGAACAAGAGTTGAACTGCATCAACAAATATGTCATAATTATGTAGTCATCTAATCCAGCAGTGGTACTGCTTCTCCGTAATCTAATTAGGATATGGTAACCACTCATATAATCACGTCAAGACAGCCAGTTAGTAGCCATGGAAAACGCACGTCTCCCCAAGAGGAAACGGAGCTGGTCCCTGGTCCAGTTATATACACCAGTGTTCCCCTGGCTGTACCACCGCCGCTACCCGAGACCCAACCCGCTGTCTCGCCCGACCAAAACACACCATCTTTGACTGATGACTCTACTGCTACGAGCAGCTCTCCCCCAACCCCAACTAGAAGTCAAGAAATTCTTTTGGGGATGGATAGCCACAGAAATATCCTTGATCTTTACTTCACGGAGTACGAGCCAGTCTGGGCTGCAGGTGTAGAATTCCCGGGGGTCATCCCCGAAGAAATTGCAGAATTTCTCTACGAAGGAATAGAGCAGGTGACCTTGTTCATTGGTCCAGTTTCAAGCCTCCTTTGTCTTGCGGGGGTAGAGGAGCTCATAGAGCTCATTGAAGACCCCGCATATACTCTCACAGATGAGTACCGCTCCATCCCGCAGGGAGCTCCGCGTCGCTGGATTGTCCAGATGCTGTACGAAGAAGGAATGATCCCGACAACCATCATGGCAAAGGTCTGTGGAGAGAATGTCGAAAAACAGACTTCAACGGTTACTCGGGCCAGCCTCATACCCCCCAATGTCACATCTACTTCTGCTCGAAAGAGTGTTCCAGATGTCTTTCCTTTTGCGCTCCAACAATCCTTTCTGCCAACCGTTTCTTGTGTCGAGGCGGGACTAAAAAAAAAGAACACAAACAGAAATTGTGTTGATTTGATGAATAATTTCATCAATTCGCTTGGCGGCAATCTTCTTTTCAAGGGTTTATCCCGCCGGGCAGTGGCTAACCTAGTCGCATTCTTTACACCCCTCGTCTCTTCAAACACCTTTGACCACGAGTTTGGACCTGCTACACTACCCTCTTACTCAAATATGACAAAGGTCCTCTGGGTGCTGATTCTGACGCAATCCTGGTCTCTCTCGGGTCGTTGGGGGTTCACCAGGGAGGAGCTATCGCCGCCCTCCGCCGCGACGGCGGCCAGGTCTTGGTTGCTGTCGCCGGAGGGTTGGTCTCAATTTGTGTCCGCAGCGCCTTCACCTCATCGTGTAGCTTCTCGTTCTGCTCCTGGAGGACATTCTGGTTGTGCTTGACCTCCTGGAGTTCCTGTTGGGTTGCTGCGATGGTCGCGGTTTGGTGGTGCATGACGTCCTTCAGTGTGCCGATCATTTTCCACACCTCCTTGGTGGTGATTCGACCGGCTGGATCCGAAGGACCGAAGGCATCTCCACTCCGGGTTCGCTTCCGGTTCTCGACGGTGGTTCTGGTTGCCAGGTCTTCCCCAGTGAAGCAGTCGGTGGGTCCTTGAGTGGTTGTGGGAGGAGTCTCGGGCCCTCCCACGTGTGGGTCCGTCATCGGTTAGGGGTTAGTTCCCGCTCGGTACCCAACATCGCAGTTTTATATCAAGATATATCTTAATCACAACGTCGCTTCGTAGTCCTGGACCGAATTGGATCCCAGATCACGGTAGCTGCCTAACAGGCAGCTACGGGATGCAGGCAGCAACCTTGACTACAGATAGCGGTGGCTGCCCTCAGAAAGTTCTAATTTATCATCACACTTGTACCTCAATTCACAGTTTCAACTGACCGAGAGGTAGACTGGTTACAGTAGTATTCGAAATCAGCTATACCTCCAAGCTCAAAAACATATGACGGATCTGGCAAGATTCGAACTTGCGATCTTATCGATTTTCCGTAAACAGAAACAACATGCGTTAACCACTGCGCCACAGATCCGCTAGTTACAGATGGTCAGGAAGTACAGTCCTATACTACAGACGGGCTCGAAATCAGTTTCACCACTTCACTTTCTTTTCTTCTTTGTTGAACTCTGTTTTGCATGGCGCCCTGCCTTTTACGGTTAGTATACTCCTGACCCGCACGTTGACAGTATCTTATTACGGTAATAAACAATGGGATTGAATTACCTATCGTATCATGGTTGTATCTCATTTGCAAACAAGCCAAACAGACTAGTTGCCAGGAAATTCGGTCTGGTAACCAAATTCACTCTCCCAACACTACCGAGTAGATATGATCTGCTCCCTTGGGGAATATCTCCAAGAGAAAGCGCGATGGGTTCTAGTTTGATGTGCTCATAAGCCCTTGGGGACCGGAGGAGTAGATAAATCGTCATAATCGTCTTTGCAATAGCCAGTTGAGACAAAAAGTGCGGTGTTAAGCGTTCTTATCAGCAGACTCAACAAATCTAATCTCGCGCGTAGGAACTAGTTCCTAGGAGTGACAAACGGCATAAGCGGGTATGCAGCCATTCTAATGACAAAAGTTTATTGGCCACTTCCAGGCATCCTATAGCTCCTAGGAATCCAGTGGGTGTATAGTGTATACTTAAGGATATGTGATTATGAACTAATCCTTAGCTTCTAGGAGCTAGGTTGGATCTCTGCGGGATTTTGTGTTTATTGACCGCTGCAGGAATCATGAAAATAGCACGTCTCTAGTCTGTAAGCGCACGGTCCTACACCTCTTCTCGAGTTATTTAAGCCGCCCACTCAATTTATGGAAAGGCAATATCTTTCGCACTGGAAAAGTTTTTGACGCAATTCTGCATTCGTCCCCTGATTTTCAGAGACTCCACCATATCGTCGCTTTGGACATTACACACAACACCTAAATGGTGCAAACGCGCCAACAAGCCCACCGAAAGGCACAGCCTGACAAACGAAAGGACACCGCCGTCAAGTCTGGCGTACAGAAGCCGTTTCGAACTACAAAAGTCCGAAAAGGCAAGCATGTCAATGGTTCTCGAAGAGAAGTTAGCCTGTCTTCACAGGTCTATAGGCTTTTGGATAAAGATGCATCTGAAGAGGATTTCAAAACCCTCCTAAAGGAGAGCAAAGACCAGTTGGACTTCATTCCGCCTCTCGCGTTTGACAATATATACGCCAAAGATGTCTATTACCGTGCTATTCACAAGCAACGGCTTGATGCTTTACCATGGATGCTTGAAAGACAAAACTTGGACAATTGGAACACTCTCCATTAACCTGGAGCTGGTGAAGAAACTTGGAATTGAGATTCCTAAACTCGGTTGTGTTGTTGATAGAAGTGGGCGGACTCCCCTTTATCTCGCATTTACTAAATCCAACGCTCAAGTCGCTCGCTTTCTGTTGGAATCAAACTGTTGGAATAATTACCATGGTGTCGATCGAAACTGCCTTGGTCATTTAACGGTAGAAGCCCTTGCGTTCGATTACAGAAAGTCAGGAATGTGTGAATGGGCCAGCTTGGTTGGATGGCTTTATAATGAGGGAGGGATGGTGACTGATACCAGAGATTCGAACGGCGAGACCGCCATTGACCTCACCATAAAATGGGATGTTTTCGATGTTAGAGTGAAATACGCGTTGATGGGGAGGAAATGAATTGCCATTACTGTATCTTCGTCTTATCACTTCAGTCTTCCCGCCATTATTTCAAATGTTGCTTAGTCCTATTTAATATTCAAAGTCACAGCGAGATACGCCCCACGCTCCTTTCGAGTCGTCATGGCTGAGATGTGGTTCAGTCCTCTTAGATAGATACCAGTTCCTCCGGCACCGGCAATCACACGTCCGACAATCAGGGCACCCATATTCGGACCGCCACCACAGAGAGCAGACCCGCCCTGAAACAAGACAATCCCGGCAATGTAGAGCCATTTCATGTTGAATGTGGTGAAAAGAAATCCGTAGGGCAGAATGACAGCGACTGACCCAAGAGGGAACCCGGCCCCAATCCAGGCGAGTTGGTCGACTTGGCCAAACCTCTGAATTACCGCCCCTTGTACGTCTGCAGCGATCGTTGTATCCAGTCCGTACATCAATGCTGACAGGTAAAGAGCAGCGCAAATTAGAAACCATCGATAGCCCGTAATTTTGTGTACATCGTCGTCGCTGGCCCCCGGATCACTCCACTGATCCTTTTCGTTGGGTTGATGGAGGTAGTGTTCACTTCCTTGGCTCACATTTCGGTTTTCGGTCGGTGAATATGCTGTGTTCTGTTCAATATCTCCGGCATTATCTATGGCAGGAGTAGACGATATGGTTGTCATTGTAGAAAACTGATAGCGTGCTGAGCTATTAGGTAGTGTTGGGTTGTAGTTATATGTGAGCACACACAATGAAGGATGCCACAGCACCAACCGGATGAGGAAGAGGAGAAAGGATATGACATTTCATGGGAATAGGAGTTAAAGAATTGCATGATATTAACTCCGATGGATTTGAGATGTTGATATTTGTTAGTATAAACAAACCCGATGATTGTCGGCCGAAGTTATCAGGACCCTCTTAGAACCCGAAAGGCTTCAACTCAATCGGTACACCCGAGTTGCTGATAAACTTCAATTTAAAGATTTTAATTTTGATTCATGCTAACTCCAGGGGTTCGCGGATATAATCGGTCATACGGAGTGTAGTTGTATGATTAGATGTGGGAAACGATACAGCATATTTTACCACCAGACCACTACAAAAACCATGATCCTTGTATGAGGCCTAGAGGCGCCATACCTACTGTTTGACATTAGAGCATATTTGGTATTCCCGCATATCCAGGAGATAGAGATATCTGCGCCTTGATGAGGTCTCCCAATAAAAACTTGTGACCAAGGACATGGAAACTTGTAGTCGCCCTGTACTGTGAGTTTAAGGGAGTCAGCCCGACTAATAGATATCTTTTTATGTCTCCTATAGGTATCGCCATGTTCATCAAAAGTATGACTTCGAGAAGTGGCAGAAAGAGCACCGACTTTCCCCATTACTATGTGGCAATTAGAGATGTTTTCTCCCAAGACTATGCTGATAGATACAAGCATATGACCGTATCTCTTGTTCTTCTTTTTTTTATTGGCCTCTGCTAGATGTCCATCTTTTGAAACTTGGTCCAGGATGATGATTTATTCTCTTTGCAGTCCTCGCTCTTCTTACCATATGGCCGATATATCTTCTAGAAATGAGAGGTATGCTCTGGCGACACAAAATCTCCAGATCAGCAACGAATGATCTAGAGGAAGAGGGGCAGCAGAAAATAGAGAATAGCCAATTAGAGACAAGAGCCTACTCTCCCAAACAACCATAGACTTGACCATAGAAAGCGACCTTCAGCTACGGCAGCCTATTACCGCGAGTGCGCCAGTTCAGGTTTTACCTGTAGTATACTTTATGATAGTATTTTATACATTTGAATGCATCCGGTGTAGTTTAGTGCTTTCGATGTAATAAAAATATATTAAAAAAACACCCATATCTCAAGGGTAAAAAGACTCTAAAAAAAGAACATTTGAAACCAACACAGCGCTAACAACCCTGGAGTACTGTACATCGGCCTAAATCGCCAACCCCCGCACTGTAGTATCGTTTCGCACATCAAAAAGACCTTCTGTTCACACTACTTCTTTGTCTTGACAGCAAGATGAAAATATCTACCTATCTTGTGCTGTTGGCTGGGGTTTACGGGGTAGATGCGAAAGCTAGTTTCCTACAGTCTCCGTCTATCGTTGGCACCAACATCAATACCGCCGAATCGATCCATACCACCACCGTGAAGTATGATGAGGAGGACAGTATCTTGTTGCCCCAAAGCAACCACAATGGATGGGTCAATCCTGAAGATTTGGCTCCTATGCCACAGTGCATCGCTCAGCAAGACCAGTCCACCTGGCTCCGTGCGATGACAAAATGCACCACCAAGCGATGCACCTCCCACTTTGGATTTATCTGCACCCATCACCAATGGCTGACTCAACTCGGCTGTCTCCGCATCGCATTCCCCCCCGACGTTATCAAAAGTTATCTCCCATACTGTGGTCGATCAGTTCTCGCCAAAGCGCAGTTGTATCTATGGATTCATAATATCAGCGGTCGAACATGGCTTGCTGATGTTGGCGACGCGAATGGACTGCAGAATCTCACCCCAGACTCCCTAGCTAAAGGATACGCAGCCGTTGGCGTGCTTCACAATGCACCGACATGTCTGACGCACTCGGTTTCTGCTTTGTCGATGGAACCATTTCAACATGTAATGGCCTCCTGTGGTTTCACAAGTACCACCCAACACACCGGAAACGCTGCTCGTCCTTGGGAATATAGTGAAAGGCTACGGTCTATGGTCGCTCTGGATTTTGAAACTGTTGGTTATGATCTGGTCCAGCGTCGCATCTACGATCTAGTCCTGCATCGCATCACCGATGGCGACTATTTTGATAAAGATTGCTTCTGCAACGCCTTCAATATAGATCACAAAAAGGAACCTTGTTCAGGGTCGGAACAACTGGACTTCACGAAGGAGCGTCTTTGGATTAATGCCACCTGTGGGTCGACATCCTTACCCGAGAACTGGACGGATACACTCAAAACCACACAATTCGCGTATATTCCCGTCGAAGATTGGCACTGGCCCAAATGCGTTGCGGATATTCCGGAGCAGGTGATCGAGCTTACTGATCAGTGTGCAACTGATGTTTGTGAGGTCGGTGGCTACTGCAAAATCAAGCGCGCAGTTGACAGGGCTTGCTTTTGTCGCAACATCAGCTACGATTCCTGCGGAGGGTCGTGCCAGATATTTGAGACCCGAATTGACTATGTCAAATGGCTCCATGATCTTTGTGGCAATGTGCAGGACTGGCACGGTCTGCCAGATAATTGGCGTCAATTAGCCGTCCCTACCACCCTCGACATGATCCCATGGCGTTGGACATTGAAGCCATCCAACGATTCAGATATTACCCATACCCCCAGTTTAGGAGACACCGGAGAAACAGAAATATGTGCCTCGAATGAGTCGAAACTCACAAGCTTTGCTCTTGTCAATATAGCTACTTTCCTTGCAGTATCTCTCAGCCAGAGAACAGACATAGTACATCGAATCGCACGACTCTTTCCATGCAACTCGCAGCCGTGGCCTTGGCTTGTCAAAGGAACATTAATCGCCGCTCTGCAACTCCTTGCAAACTTATTCAGTCTCCTTTTTATTCAACAAACCCCTGGGTATGAGAAGGTTCCAATCATTCAATTAATGCTTCTCTGGAGCTCAATGCCTCGGCCTACTTGGCTGACAATCTTGTTGATTGGTGTACCAACCTTTGGAGAGTTGAGGCTCTTCGTGACCGCGTCTTCGCTACTTGCTGAAGTAATCCTCCAGTTTCTATCCGCATATTACATGCTTATAACTGTTCATTACGGTCGAAAACACTATTTCTACTTTGGAGGCATGGATGGAGCGGAGAAAGGGGGATCTGCAAAAGTTATGTATGCCGGAGCACTGGTGTGGCTTATTATCGTTAGCGTGGTGATCACTCAGTTAATACGGGCTATGGGTAGGATGACCAGGTTGACTGGATCTGGTTTCGATACACTAGAGTGGCAGGGAGGCAAGCAAGCAACATGGAAGGTTGAGGAGCTGATGGCCTACTTGGATGAACGTTGCACAAGGTTAATGGAGATTCAGAGCTCAGAAGAAACACTGTTGATAAGGAGCGAGGGTAGGAGCCCAGAAGAAACACCGTTGATAGAGAGCAAGGGGGGAGATCACACGGGTTATGGCACTTGCTCTGTTGAAGACAAACATGGCCGGGTTTCCCGGAAAGCCTTCATGGGATTGTATGCGGCTACGGTCATCATCATGCTCCTTCTTTGGATTGCGCAGTGGCTCTTTTGGGGTGGATTTATTGGTCTTAGTTCGGAAGAGTACGTATCCATTCCCGTTACCTACATACTTGGTACATAATAACTAACCGGATATAGATTCTGTCCCCCTCATATTGGGGTACTGACGGCTATCTGGACTGCGTTCTCATTAGTAGGCACTATCATTCTTATTTAGTCAAGTTTATTGTCCATTTCGAGAATTAGATCTATGACCGTGTTTCATGAACTATTCGAAAAGAAATTTGGCCTTCATGACAACATCATTGTAAAGTGTTCATTTTCGTCGGCTAATTAATCGTCACCCGGCTAATATAGGTGGGAAAGGTAAAATTTGTGATTCAGCCATTTGTAGTATCGAATTGTGTAAAGATATGCGAAGTCTCGTAGCATATCCTTACTTTGCTCTATTGTTCATATCGTGTAGTATTATAGTTACCCGCTCTCTGCACTGCTGAAGACTTCCAGTATTGCCATCATATTACCGGAGATGAAGCATCTCGAGGATGTCATGACGCGCAAAGAAAGACCGGTTCCGCTTCCCAAAGACATCTATACCGGGGAAATATTAGTCAGGCAGATATTGAAGATTGGTTCCGCACTTAGTAAACTTACACATGGGAATACTTAACAAGCAGATGCCCACTTGGATGCTACCGATGATAATCATGGTATGCTTGATGCCCCCGTGTGCAAACCATTTGTAGGCGAAAAAGGTCAGTACAAAGCTGAACATGTTTTTGAAAACCAGCATGCAGGTAAATGCCTCGATGGCCATCTCGCCTAGTAATATCAGCAATCATTTCTACACAAGGCCTGAGGGTTCACATACGATGGGCGTCGACGATATATAGTGAAGCAGCAACAGCCCCCATTACCATACCGACGATCAGGAATGCAAAGAATACGTCTGGCAGTAGCCAGCCATAGTGCATCACATTATTTGCAGTCCATCCGAACCCGTATAGTCCGATGCCACAGAAAATGAGCTGAGGAATCACCAAAAGGATCCGGAACTCAGGCTCGTATTTGCCGTGGTTGAGCCGGATCATCAACTTGTTGATGGAATCAGAAAGCAAACCAGACAGAATGAGACCCACAACGGAACCGATGAAGGCACCCGTGTAAAGATATCCAGTCTTGTCTTCTTCGAACCACATCGGAGGTCCAAGGAACACAATTGCTAGAACCACACCAACGAAAACCGCCCATCCGATGACAACGCCTTGGATAAGACAAGCCTAGACTTTCGTCAGTGTGTGAAATCAAATGTGAAACGGGTTGCTTACCCAGAAGATGCCCGGATGGAAGAACAACGGGAATGGACGAAGTAGCAGCTTGAAAAAGCTCTCATCTGTCTTTCGTCCATTGAAAAGCCTAAGCGATTTAGCGAAGGAATCTTTCTCGGGGACTGTTGTCGCGGCTTCAGTTCTCGGGATTTCGTTTAGACCAGCTTCCACCGGTCTAAGCTCCTTGGTATCATCATTGGACACTTCACTGAGCGAAGCATGAGACTCCATGGACTCTCCCTGTCCGCCAGTTCGCTTGAAGTCGGTGTTCAAGTAATCAGAGCGCCGGAAAGCAGTTTCAGGCACGAAAAGGAACATCAGTGGCAACGAAGCGCCGAGGAAAATTGCGACAAAGTAGAAAGACCACTGCCATCCCATGGACTTGGTGATCTTCCCGACCACAACGGGCGTTAGAAAGGCTGCGCCAAAGAGTGCGACATTGGATACTGCCATGCGCTTTCCTCTTTCCTGTGGTATTTCTATTAGTCTCCTTGTATCTTAAACCTTTGGGGAAATAAGGCCCAACTTACATGAACGAAATAAAGATCTCCAACACAGGCATTGACCAACGCCTCAAACGGCGCCAATGCAACACCTTGGAATACCCGTGCCCATATGAGACTATTCTGGTTCTTTCCACTAACCCCAGCCCAGATACAACTAATAACCATCAACACATGGCCGATTAGGAACAGATGACGTTTCCCCCAGACTCGAGCCGTTGGTACAATGAGAATCCCCGCCACACCGACACCGCACAGGTGATATCCAGTCAACAGAGCGGCTGCTGTGAACGTTATTTCCTCGTAATCTGCGATGGTGACGGTATTGGCGGCGAGGATGGAGCTTAGGGTTGTGCAGAGGATGGTTACGAAGGACAGAATGGCAAGGATCATATCGCGTCGCCATAACGGCCAGTTCTAATGCGATCGGTTGGGTCAGGTCTTGTGTGCTTATGGGACCAAGTCATGGGGCGCATTTCTCTCTGGCACATACCAACGGGTCGTTTGGGTCATCGCTCGGTTGTGGGACGAGGATAATCGGCTGGTTGCCCGACCAGTCACATTTAAGGCCTGAGGCGCCCAGGGTCTGGTCGCTCGCCTCGCTGTTTTGCTCGTAGATATCGGAGGTACCTGGCGTTTTGAAGTTGTGATGAGCCACGCTGGGTTTAATTGCAGGGTAGGGGAATATTACCTGGGACATGCGCGAGCTTTGTATCTTCCAGTACTCCGAGACCCATTATTGCAGGAAGCTAACGGCGCACTTGTAGGTGATGCACTTGTAGGTAATGCAGCGGTTTAAATAGAAAAGTAAAACAAAGTCAGGAGGGGTACGGAGTATAGCAACTCAGGCTAAGTTTCGACCATCCAAAGGAAGCTACGTGCAAAGCTGGCCAATAGGAATAAATAGTTGTTATAAATAAGGATGACATATTCAATTTTTAGGACTATAATATAGTCCTAAAATATAACTAACCTGAAAGATAAGCAGCTCGGTCGATATGTTAAGGCCCCGAGTGTGGGCGTAACCTGCATTGTGATTGTTTTGAATGTGATAAGAGGCGAATTCCAAATCCTTGTACAATACAAGTCTCCACTGGAGATTCTATTACCTTTAAGCCAACCGTGCAGTATATACGATACGCCCAAAACGCGGGGAAACCTGAGCCACTGACGAAGTTGGTTCCTTGGGGGGAAAGCTTGGATCGGCGCGCTTGGACCGAGGCATCACATTCGTTAAGCGTTGGATCTTCGACCGAGGTGCAGGTAGATCTCTGCAAGAATGAAATAGCTCGAAACTGTCTTTAGCACACAGCCCCAAACCCACAAGTTAGGTGTTGAGATCAGGGGGTCCACTGTAGAGGGAACAGAATAATGCTGACCGGAGGCTTGCAGATTTCCCATTTTAACCCTACGATTGGTATAGAGTGTAAAGCCGTACAACCCGAATGATCGTCATAAAAACAAAACAGACGGCATGGAAGTGAAATATTGTTGGAAGTAAGGTGATGGGAGGTCTGTACTTGGAATATAGTTGGCAAATAAATTGCCACAGTACCAAACAACAATATCCACATCTACGCCCAGACCTTGCAGGTAATTCTAGGAAATACCAATACACGATGGTGGAGTCTTAAACAATTTGAGGCCTGTTTATCAATCGGGTCTATAGCAACGGCCCTTGGTTTATATCCTAATACCGTAGACTCGCTTTTAAAAGCGGACATCGCCGTTCACAATATTATCGATACAAAAAAAATATACAGAGAAGGGACTGAGACATACTCCGTGCCCATCTATACATACACGTGACCATCTATAGTCAGGTGACATGTCAGGTGACCACTGGTGTCACATCACTATCAATGGCCTCCAGAGCTAGACTCGAAGGTATCAGGCGCGTTGTTTCCACAGCAGCTACGACGCGAGCGCATTCCATATTGAAGTCAAACCCTCATCCCCGAGGAGCTCTAGCCTGCATCATTACCAAATCCCAACCCCCGAGCTGACGCTCTCCTCACCTGAGACTACTGTGGAGCGCGCACGCGAAGCACAAGCATTGACGCAAAACCAAAATCCACTACACATATCCAGTCCAATTTACATCATGTCCTCGACTTCCCCTCCAAAGGAACCCGATCTTGACCCGGAGGCGCAATCGGGAGAAGAGCAAGACCACATAGACAAGGATCATCACGACGCGCATGGACACCAAGGCGAGTTTGAGGTGAAGGAACAGGATCGGTGGCTTCCGATTGCCAATGTGGCTCGTATCATGAAGCTTGCCCTTCCCGACAATGCGAAGATCGCAAAAGAAGCCAAGGAATGCATGCAGGAATGTGTGAGCGAGTACATCTCATTTATCACGAGTGAAGCCTCGGAGAAATGCCAACAAGAGAAGCGCAAAACCGTCAACGGCGAAGACATCCTATTCGCCATGACTTCGCTGGGCTTTGAGAATTACGCCGAAGCACTCAAGATCTACCTATCCAAGTACCGTGAAACTCAGTCAGCCCGTGGCGACAACCAGAGACCCCCAAGCGCTGGCGCTGGATATGGAGCTGGAGGTCCGGTTGGTGGTCCGGGTGCAGGTGGACCTGCACTAGCTCGTCCAACAGGGTTCCCCAATACCGAAGGCGCAAACTCTATGTCGAACCTCAGTCTTGATCCGTCTGAGCAAGACGCCTCTGCCTACGGTTATCCGCCCATAGTTGGCCAGCCTCACAACGGCGCAGGCGGCGAGTCATACTAGTGGATGACGTGAAGGGGTCGGCGAGGGACGCTGCAGCCAGTTTCAATATCGGCTGCATGTTCTGGAGATCACCGACGCTATCGATTTCAACTGAAGTTTGAGAAGTGGGGACATCTTTGCTTTCTATAATGTTCATCTGCACTGGTAGGTATCTCGACTACTTGACATAGAAAGAGGGAGAGATAGACGTGGGGTGGAGCAGTTAAATACCCCCCTATGTAAAATACCCAGGAGTTCTGATATTTCATATCCAATCATTTCAAAAATACCTCTATACCGAATTTTGTGGAGAAACCCAAGCCCAAAGCTGGAGGGTTATGCGGGGAAATACATGTACCGATGGTTGATCTGCGTATTAGTGTATTTTTGACCTATCTATTGGTGTATTACCACGACCTGGGGACCTGAGTTGGAGAACAAAACCTCTCACCTTTCCTCCCCTACCAATAACTTACTTTATACAACATCCCCATATCTGTAAAGATGAAGTTCGCCATTACTTTCGCCCTGGCAGGTCTGCTGACCACTGCCGCTGCTCAAGGCTTGGGTGATCTACCCGACTGCTCGGTATGTGCTTACAGTCAACATACAACTGTGCCAAATGTGCCAAATGTGCCAAATGTGCCGTCTGCTAAACAATCCATTCTATAGAAATCCTGTGCTACAGGTTCAATCCCCGAGAGCTGCGGCATTGATTTCAAATGCATTTGCGAGTCCAAGTCCTTCCTGGGAGATGTCGCCTGCTGCGTCGCTGATAAATGCTCCAAGGCGGACCAGGAGAGTAAGTTCCACACCCTTCCCCTCTTCCCCAACTGAACACGCAAGTGCAAGATTATTCCAAACGACTACGCATGATGCATAGCAGAACACGTACAGCTGGCTAATATGTTATTTTCCACCACAGCAACCATCAAGGTCGCCAAGTCAATCTGTGCCCGGGGTGGTGTGACCGATTTACCCACCGAGGTTGTCTGCTCGAGCAGCAAGTCGAGCTCCAGCTCTGGCACCAGTACCAGCACCAGCACCAGCACTAGCTCCAACTCCACCGAGACTGGAACCAAGTCTAGCACTGAGACCTCGGAGTCGACTGGTCTGACGAGCACCAACACTTCTACCAGGACCTCGGACAGTGCCTCCACTGCTTCGTCCGCCTCTGCTGCGGCGACTAGCACTGGCGTTGCTGCGATTAGCCACAGAGATTCTTCGCTCGTGGCTGCTGCTGGTGCTGCGGCTGCCTTCGCCATTCTGATCTAGGATGAAGCGTGCTGCGTGATTTCAGGGAGGAGATATAGTATGTTTAGCAACGTTGAGATGCCTTCATGATGATGGAATGAATGGAAACACGAAAACTGGCTGAGGATGCACCTGTGTCTTATTTTATCCACGATGTAGTCTGAATTGATCTGGTACACGGTGTATAAGTGCCATCGCTTTCAATGGCGATGGTATATCTCAAAGTAATAATACACTCATAGAAAGAAATACTAAGGAACCAGTGGAAACGTTCACATTTCACGGGTATCCTCCAGCAGCTTGGTCAGGCGTTCCTGGCGTTCTTCACGGAGGGTAGCAAAGTTCTATATAGTAGCACATTAGCATGAAAAATAACCGACAGGGTCAAACCTGACCGATCAAGACACAATACACTTACCCAAAACCAAAACATCATTTCGAAGAAAGCAAAGCTGAAGACCACGCGGTTCTTCAGGCGGTCCAGGCCTCCCATACCCGCAGCGCTTGTATAAGACGAGGCCAGGTGGTCACCTCTGCCCTGGTAGATAAAAAACACAATTCCAGCATACACAGCAAAGCGAGACGCAGCAACTGCGATCCAGACGCTCCAGTAAATCGTCAAGGACTTGGTGATGTATTCGGGCAATGATTGTAGAACCTGCAGATCTTCGGCGGGGAGGTTGCCATTTCGGAGAGGCCGAATATAGGGGAGAGCCTCATCGAGGGCTTCATGGAAGGGGATGTTGGACAGCAGGACGAGGTCGATCATGGCCTCGACGAAGATGAGTACCGCACAAAACGTGAAGGGGGATTGTTGCGGGCTTGACAGGGATGGAAAGTCCTGTATCATGGGCGTTAGCAATCAATTCGATCTAGGTAGATTCCATCCCAATAGAGTAGGAATGGACTTGTGAATCGGAGGTGTTGGTGTCGTACAATCTTCAAGGCCTCTCCCATCATAAACACCAGATCGCAGTCGGTGATCACCTCCGGACTCTTGATCAGGTAGCCGGCGATGACAACCATAAACACGGCATGTGCCTGGATAAGGGTCTTGGATGAAATAAGAACCATGATGAGCGAGTCAAAATGGTACAAGTTTGTGGACAAGAGGAAGTTCTAAACAGGCACGGAAATACCTTGGAGAGTTGGTCCGAGTGTTTTTTTGGCCGCGACACATGTGGGGAAAAGCAGCTCCGGTCGAGATTCCCCCACCAACACAACATTGCGCTGATTGATTGGATCTGATTTACGACTTGATGCACGCTCTAAATTGGATGAAATAGGTTGCACTGGAATATTGCCCAGTTCTTGTGCTACTACATAGTGGTCCAACCCCCCATCCTCTACAATGACCGACCCAAACCCAACCTTCAACACAGAGCGTCATGTTAAATACTACCTCCGATGCCTGAAGACCTTCCTCCCGTCCGCCTACACTTCCAATGACTCTAATCGCATGCTTCTCGCCTACCTGACCCTCTCGGGGTTGGACGTACTCGGCGTTCTCCAGAGCAAAACCACACCGGAGGAAAGACAAGGGTACATCGACTGGCTCTACCACTGCCAGGTCCCCTCGGGCGGATTCCGTGGCTTCCCAGGCACAGACTTTGGACCGGAGAAGCGCAATAAAGACAATGAAGCTTGGGATCCAGCTAATGTCCCCGCGACATTCTTTGCACTAGTCAACTTGCTCATCCTCGGAGATGACCTGTCGCGTGTCAAGCGACGGGAGTGTCTTGAGTGGCTTCCCAAAGTCCAACGCGCCGATGGAAGCTTCGGCGAACTTGTCGGTCCTGGGGGGCATGTAGGGGGCGCTCGCGATTTGCGATACTGCTGCTGTGCTGCCGGCATCCGGTACATCCTGCGCGGGCGGAATGAGACAGGGCTTGAGGGTATACCGGATATTGATGTACTGGGTTTTGTTTCATTTATTCAGGCGTGCCAGGTATGTGGAGACTTTGAGGGTTGGTCCGCGATTGGAATGCTGACAGTCTGACGAAACAGACGTACGACGGTGGCATGGCTGAGTCTCCTTTCTGTGAATCGCATAGTTTGTGTCTCCCTCTCTCCCAGCTGAATTCATCTGACAATTGATAGGTGGACACACGTATTGCGCGGTTGGCTCCCTAGACTTCTTGCGCCGGACCTCTAACGATCTAAATCTGCCCCTACTATCTACAGGCTCCAATAAATTCGAGGCCTTGATTACATGGCTGGCTTCAAGGCAAACAGCCCAGCTAGAGGAATCCTACGCGTACGACGATGATGAACAGCCCGAGGTGGCAGAGACGGGATCTCTCGACGATAGAGTCCGCGGGTTACCCAATGTTCAACCCATCGCGGCTGACACAATATCATGCGCCGGGTTCAACGGCCGATGTAATAAATACGCCGACACATGCTATTCATTCTGGAACGGAGCGACACTGATGGTAGGTGACTCCCTGGTTAGTATTGACTGTCTAATAACACGAATATCAGATGCTTGATCAGTATTCCGTGGTCGATGAAGTTCGCAATCGTCGATACTTGCTCGAAAAGACCCAACATCTTGTCGGTGGGTTTGGGAAGGGGCCGGGGGATCCTCCTGGTAAGTTGATAGCATGCTGATAACGTGACTACATTGCTAATCAAACCTTTAGACCTTCTTCACTCATACTTTGGCATGGTGTCCCTGGCTTTCCAGGGTGAGGCGGGACTCAGTCCCGTCGATCCCACGATGGGTTCCAGTGAACGCACAGTGCGACATCTTGAATCGCTGCCTTGGCGAAGCATATGATACCAATGCATATAATATGACGATTGTTCAGCCATTTCTCCAATTGGCTGATGTCAGCACGCATCAGCCAATAGGTGCAGTCGACTAAATTAATCGGGCGTCGGTGTCGTACGTTGTACCTGTACCATACACAAGTAAGGGATGAGGTTGAATTTAGGCAGTAAGGCAGTAAGTCCATATTCTTGTATGTTGTAGGATTATGACGATTGTGAATAGTTTATCTGTTTCAGGGCTACAGTCGAAGCCTGCCATTCTAGCCAATTGAGTTACAAGGGCCGACTGTGAACAGCGTCATGCCCAGATGCCTAAACAGGAACGAAGTCCGACCATAATTTGCCTGAAATAGCGGGATATTGTATATTGTAACAAGATAATAGCGGAATCCCCCTAAAAAAGGAGAGTCCAAGTCCCGAGTTCTCCACACGGTCCACGTTCCCGTTGACGTCTTGGAATCTTCGAAGGCCTTTGTGTATGCAATTTCCCTCCGTTCATCTTTTGCAGTCTAATTATCCGGCCATCTTTCCGAGCCCTACCCCTTTCTCAAATTTCTCGATCGCTCCGGGTACCGCTTATCCGCGTATCTCGGCCCCGTTGAATGGCACCCCGGCACAACCCTTTCCACCCCTTGACGCGCAGAGACTCTGTCGACAAAACTTGGCAATCATAACATATGCCGCCCCGAACAAGAGCGGGGGTTCAAAGCCAAAAGCAAAAGGAGAAGGTGCGTCATGGAACATAGGAGCCCCGGATTCCTTTATTCGAGCCTTGCGCAGAGTCCGTGGAATTATGGCTAACTCAAATTTCTCGATAGCTTGCCAACTCCTACAATGAACTTCTTGAGTAAGCGATCGATTCGATTCCAGTCTGGATAGCCAGTTGCGCTAACATGGTGCTTCTCTGCAGGGAGTTCTCCTCCAAGGATCTTCGGACAGTAGGGAATTACACACTGGGGAGGCTGATTGGGAAAGGGTCCTTTGGCAAGGTCTATCTCGCATCGCACAAGCTCACCAATGGCTCCAAGGTAGGTCATGTCAGGCGAACAGAGTTGTGGAGGCAATGCTGATCAGTCGGCAGGTGGTGCTCAAATCGTCCAGCAAGGAGGACACCAATCTCGTGCGCGAGATCCATCACCATCGCCAATTCCTACATCCTCATATCGCGCGGTTATACGAAGTGGTGGTGACGGAGAGCCTCGTTTGGCTTGTGTTGGAGTATTGTCCCGGTACGTTGGCTTGCGCATGGCAGAAGACCCTCAGAGAAACATACTGACAAAAGTCTGTTCCAGGCGATGAACTCTACAACTACCTCCTTCGACACGGCCCATTACCGGTAGAGAAGGTGAAGCGGATATTTACCCAATTGGTGGGAGCGGTCGCCTATGTCCATAGTAGATCCTGTGTGCATCGCGACTTGAAACTGGAAAACATCTTGCTGGATAAACAAGAAAACGTCAAGCTATGCGATTTTGGGTTTACGCGTGAATATGAAGGAAAAGCTAGCTACCTGCAGACATTCTGTGGGACGATATGCTACAGCGCACCCGAGATGCTGAAAGGAGAGAAATACGCGGGTGAAAAAGTGGATGTATGGAGCTTGGGGATCATTCTCTATGCGCTTTTGGCAGGCGAGCTGCCATACGACGACGATGACGACCAAATCACCAAGAAGCGCATATTGTCAGACGAGCCGACCTTCAACGAAAAGTTCACGGACGATGCCAAAGCTTTGATCAATCTTTTGTTGTCCAAGCGCCCTTTGATTCGACCCAGCCTGGACGAGATCCTGGCTCATCCTTTCCTTGCGGAACATGCTCCTGAACAGCTTGCAATCCTGAAAATCCCAAGACCATCGCCATTTACTACGCCACTAGAGAAGACTACCTTGCAGCGGATGAAAAGCGCTGGAGTCAACATCGACGAGGTTATTGAAAATGTCATGGCTCAGCGGTGCGACCCACTGGCTGGCTGGTGGGCCCTGCTGATTGAAAAAGAGCAACGGAAGGAAAGAAAGAGAGAGCGCAAACGTCGCGAGCGGGACGTTGAAGCAAAAACGCTCCGTCGTCTAAGTGCTGCGAGCAGTCGTCTAGAGAAACGATCATCGGCTCTAATGGAAGTGGAGGAAGAAGGCTCAGGGCTGCGAGATCGTGAGAGACGAGATAGAAGAAGCTTGCCATCCCAGTTGGCAGTGCCGGATCTTCCTGCGCTTCCTGAACCACTTCCAGTATTCCCAATTGAAGTTACCACGCCACCATTGCCCCTCGACAAAGATTCTATCCGGTCCCATAACTCGACACGCCGCCGCCCAGTTCCCCCGCCAAAAGACAGACGGCGATCACGGCCCAGCGTGCTACATGTTAGCGCATCACAGCCGGAGTTGACACAGCATCAAGGTATCTTCCGGCGTCGCACTACTCGTCGTCATCAGTATCCGATACTCAGCCAACTAGCGTCTCTCAAGCACTGGTTTGTAGAGTCGGCGAAGAGAGCGCGGTCTCCTCATGCCAAATCGACAGGCTCGCGCAAGTTTCTTTCCGATAAGTTAAGCCCGGCGAAGAGTCAAGATACTGGAAAGAAACCTGCCACCTTGTCGTCCTCGGCAAGCCAGGTTACAGGGGAAGATGTGGTGACACCCACACAGATCAAACGAATCTCCAATGCTAGCAGCCTCGCTCCTAGCAGTGCCTCATACCGCCAAAACCGCCACTCTTACCCTCGCCAGCCGCGGCCATTGAACACCGGTCATAACAGTCATCGAAACTCACTCTCGCCCTCACCTATCACACCACGCGGATCCTATCGGCGTTCATCGGCCGGACTACGAGGACGCAAATCCACATCTTCCTCTGTATCATCGATCCGCAGCATTCATCACGCCCGTGCTCACTCTAAGGCCTCTTCAATTTCCTCCAACAGTGTAGATACTATTTCGACGCCCACTGCCAGAGCCTCTAAATCCCCTCACTCATCCATCAAAGTCCTGCCCACCACTCCAGGTGCCTCATCCCGCTTTCCGAGCAATATTCGGTTGGTGAGAGGGACTGGCGGAGCACTTCGAGAGATTACGGACCACCCAGGTCAGATGTCGTCATCATTCAATGAGGCGGTACCGGCGCCATTACTCTACTCGCCTTCTTCAAGCCTGGTGTTTGCTAGGCGAAAGAGATCTCTCTTTAAGGGTCCTATGATCCATACCACTAACTTGGTAATGTCTAGTGGGGCAGTCAACTCCCCCGTTCCCGGTCAGCCACTGACTGCCAACGGTCTTGACGTTGTGGCAGAGCGACCTGCTGCACGCAAGAGCCAAATTATCGAGGAAGAGGAAGATGTCGAAGGGATCGAGGAAGAAACTGAAGAAGTCGATGAGTTCGACGAACCTGGTACACCGGGTGATATTGTCATTGCCGATGATCGTCCAGGAGACGCACCCGGATCTCCCACGAGCGGCAGAACGCCATTCACTCCTATTCAAAATATCGAAACCAGCCCCCTTCGCCCTCCTCGCTCCTCCTCTTTGCGCTCGCCATCTGATGCCACAGACAAAACCGGCGTCGCTGAATGATACCCTTGTCAACCCGACAGCTTCCTTGCAATTTCCTTTATGTGCATTATATTCGGGTATTCCCTTGCCCACCCCACGATCCCTTATTCCTATATTTAGTTAGACGATAGATCTTTTATACCCCCACTTACACAGCGCGTTCTCGTTTTTCACTTCCTTTGGACTGTCTCTTTCGGCATATTGGATCCATCCTATGCCTTTCTCTTTCCCTCTCTTCCACCCTTTTCCTTTACATTTTCCTACCTCCCTGAAGCGCTTTTCCCGCCTACATTTCCTTTACTCCTCATGACGATTCGACCGTCGCTTGATTTTGGTGGCTTTTGCCTAGAATTCCCCTATCTCATATAGAACTCTGTCCCATATCATCTCGCTGGATTTTTGCAGCAACAGAATATTTGCATAATGAAATTGCATAGACCAATACCAACTTTGATATCCCCAATCCCAAACTATAACCTCGCCATTTCCACATCATTTTCCCGTTTAAAACATCCACAACCCGCTTGATGAATAAACAAAACCCTTTCACGCCTTATTCTAGAGAACCAAAACCTAGATATAGTAGGGGATGAACAACCCTCTTGGATTTACAGGACGTGGATACAATCAAGTCCGCTTCCTCCTTGCTCGGGAGTTTGGATTCAAATATTTACTTGCCATAAGAGGCACAATTTCAGCTCACTTATTTCTCACCTCTTTCTCGTTTCTCAGCAATTGCTAAACTAATAGCTGCAGGTGAATCGGCGTGGATTGAATCAGAGTCCGACCTCAATCGGAGGAAACCAAAGGGAGTATGAGCAAGAATCGCATGCCTAAAGACCAAGTCATAGTAGAACGTAGAAGTGAAGAGGCTCAGGGCAGTGACTATAACCTTCACAGGTCTCTTTCTTTCTTTGTTTGTTTGTTTGTTTCTTCCTTCACTTTCTCTCCTTCCTTTCTACCTCAACCTCAAATTCAAATACTACCACTTCCCACTATTCATCCTCAAGCTCCTTGCCCACCGTCCCCCCCCTCACCGTCCATCCACCGACTAGTCTCGCACCTCCCATCTCCAGGCTTCATGAAGGTTGGATCCTCCCCTTACCTTATAACAAGTTTGTCATGCCATAAAGGCTCCTCCCAAGAGACCATTGACACCATTTTCACCGTGCGATGGGATCTCGGGATCCTCAACTCGCTCAGTATACCCGCGTATGCTCCTGCAAATCTTTAATCAGGGCGAGACGGCATTTGTCACTCCAGGCAGAGATTTGCAATGCAAAACTTCCGCGACATAGGAGTTCAAGAAAGCATCAGCCATCAGCTTTCTCTGTTGCAGAATGAGTTACCCACACCACAAATCGACGAGTGCCTTCGCCCATGAGAGCTCAGTCAGCATCAATCTAGGAAGAATAGTTTCAAATTTTGGTGATTTGAAACCGTATCTGGTATGTTTGAATGTGCACCACCAATATTCCATGTCGATCAGCTAATATGAGATGGTTGGATTGTTGCCAAAGCTCACAATCCAACGTGATCAATCCGGAGAAGCAAACCACCATCTGACTCTCGAGGATTATAGATCATTCGCTCGTGCTTCTGGAAACCCACTGGTCCCTCAGACAACCTAACGGACGACAAGGAAATACACCCTACAACAGAATCCCTGTGGCAGCCGATGAACAGCTGCCTACGCGACGCAGGCGCTAAAATATTCAACGCAACTCGACCATTCACCCAGGCATTCGATGAGTTGGTAGTTCGCTTGATGTATCCCAAGTTGAGGATTCCAGTCGCAATGGCAGAGACTGACGAGTGGAACACACCCCATACAAGCTCTCCAACTATCGGGTAGAGCCGAGTCGATATAATTTCTGATGATGCCAAGAGATGGCCTTTGCTGAGACGTCGTCTTTGGAAAGAAGCGATCTATTCGATAAAACTACTTGCGTTTCCCATGGAGCTTCCAATATCTCAAAATTGTTAGTCCTCTATCATCATCTGACAGGTTTGACTCTTTGACTCCTTGATCCCTTGTTTGTCAGATTTCCATGGGCTATTTAACTTCAGTTTGTTTGTAAAAAATCACAGGTCTCTTTTTCTTCCTCTCTCTCCTCACTTATTATGCTGCAGCCAAAAGCTCATATATGGCATCTAGCTTCTATATAAAATGCACCAAGTATTATTTATCAGGTATGATAGATGGATGTGTTGCTTTATACGATGACACATGCTAAGAGTATACTCCTCAGATATATGGAACCGCTCCATACACAGTCATCTTCGATGGGTGGATACAAGACCTATACACTGGACAGGAGAAACCATCTCACTTCATACTCATTTCATTCTCGATTCAGAGGTACCCGCCAAGATGATATGCTGCTGAACTATGAAATCAGTGTATCCGGCCTCCCTAGGCTGATGAAATATCCTCACGCCGTGAAAAGGTTCATGGAGCTGCATCTTCATATGCCATGGGGGGAAAGGGTCAAACTCGCCTCATTCTCACCTCTGAGAGTCCGCACTTTGACTGCCCTTTGGCTGTAACTCGGCAAGATAATGATTATCTTGAACGCAGATCGACCCCGATAAGGGATTTACCACGAAGCCTTGAACACACGAGCGCACAAACGGCTCTTCGTGGAGTGCGATCAAATACAAGTACAAGAGATTGAGACATTCCAAGGGATGGAATCCCACGTTGCGATATTTGATATGGTCCGCTCGAAATGTCTCGGCTTTACGCAGCACTCCCAGAGGGATAATGGGACACCAAAATAGTGATCCAAGATGCGAGTGCCCTCCCTTCCAGGATTCCACACGGAAAACACAAAGCATTTCGATACAGCCACTATGTGAGCTTATCAGAAACTCTTGGTTTGTCGACCTCCCTATACGTTCTCTGTTCTCAGAATGTCATGAGTGATCGAACAAAAACATTGCCAGAAAAGCTGAGACCCTTGGCAACCAGCTCATACATCTCTTTTTGGCGGATTCGGTGTCTTAGAGGATCCTCGACGAATATCCTCATTACTTTCAATACCAGACTGATAAGAGATGAGGCTATGGGTTGAAGTTGGTTTGGCTGTTTCACACCTTGTGTGGGATAGCTATGCGTTGTGGCCAATTGGAATGTCTCGGATTGTGACATTATCACATTGTGACGGGGTAGAAAGGATAAGAAGCATGAAGAGCATACAAATTGCTTGCTCCAGATCAACACTCATGAGATTCATGTGGTAATGCAACGGTGAGTAAACCCGGGACTGTCCCGACGTGAAGCCGGTATGGGCTTTATGTCTTCTGCTCAGATCTACTACATTCATCTCTTCACACCCAACTGTGCATACAAGAGAATCTAGGCGTGCTGCCCAAGAAGTCAATTCAGAGAGGTGTAGGAGTGTCATGATCTTAAATACGGCCTTCTTTCTTGCTGCATGGACCCGTTGTCGAGGTCCCAAACTTCTTCCTTTCACCACCCTGCCAAGCTTCTTCTCTCAGTTTATCTGCTTTCAGCATAACTCTTTCAGCTTCTTCTCCTAGCTTAACAGCGGCCTCAAGCTTCAGAAGACTGCTGCTCCTTTCACCTCTTTCACCCCAAGGTAAGTTCCTTCCTACTGATCCAAACGACCCCTATATCCAATACCTTTCCCTTTCCTTTCAGACCTCAAAACCTTACTCTTACTCCTAAGGCTTTCTCACTCCTGTCACCCAAAGACTAACTTACTCTTTTCTTCCAGACTGATAAGATGCCTCCCCCGATCATCCACACTCGCCGCCAGCTTTCCGTTTCGGTTAACCAAGCTCTCTTTTGCCTTCCATGCGTGCTAGTAAGCGCCGAGAGCTGGATGACTAGAGGTCTTAAAGCTAGGTTCTACGTTCGGTTCCGATTTACCTATGTCCAGGACGCTGGAAATTCTAATGATTGGTAAGGCTATTACGACGCCGAGGCTTAGGGGTTATCGGTATAAGTTATTAGCTCTTATTACTTAGGCTGGCCTATTTTAGGGGTCTTATAATCCTCTCCCCCACTACCATATATAGACTGAGATATAACTCAAAATTTTTATTGTGGTGAGTAAATTACATTACTTGAATCGCAACATTGCGGATTAAGCTTCCCAATTTGGACTTCACTACAAGCCAATTCCAGCGAGAGAAGCTATATATGGTGATCCACAATTGCATTGAATGAGAATGTCAAGTTACAACTAAAAAGCACACTCATTCTGGCAATCAAGCATCATTGTATCATCTGGTAATCCATCCATAAAGTGAATAATCCTGAGCAAAGCATAATAAAAAATACCAACACCCATTAAACCATTGACCATTACCCCGAAGAGATACTAAAAGCAGATCAAACGACACCCATCTACCGCTCCACATGAACAGTCTGGTGCTTCTCATCAATACTCTCACCAAGATGATAATCCATAACAGCCTCCTCATCTTTCGTCGAACCCTGAAGACCAATTTCGCTCTCACCGATTTTATCCACGGTGTTGGTATACGACGGAACAAAGTTCACTGCAATAGCGTACGTCCAAGCGACGACCATGAACTACAATCATTAGCAACCCAATACAACTCGATTCCAGAGCAGACACAACATACCATAGTCGGAACAATAAACGCGAATCCAGTATTATCCCGCATATCAGCAACATGACCGAGAATCGGCGGGACAACAGCACCACCACAAACACCGCCAACGATAAACCCAGAGCCGCGCTTATAATGACGTCCGAGACCACGGATACCCAGCGCCATAATCGTCGGGAAGCAAACGGACTCGAAGAAAAGCGTCATGAATAACATGGCAAGACCTATCTGCTTCGTCTGCGTCACTGATGCAGCAAGGAAAGCAACCGTGCACGACAAATAAACCAGGAATACCCAGCGCGCACGCACGAACTTCATAATTCCCGAGCCGAGGAATCGACCGACCGCGAACGCGCCTTGTGCGCCGGCGAGATATTTCGCTGCTGTGGCGCTGGATGTACCCGGCCATGTATCTTTAACGTAGTTGATGAAGTAGCCGGCGATGGCGACTGGAATAGTCAGTTTGGGATAACGGGTTTATAAGATAGAGCGGGGTGGAATACACGTACCTTGTGCACCTGTGTATGTGAACTGTGCTAGAGTTGCATGGAACAGTTTGTACTGTTTCCAGAAAGATTTATCCTGCTCATCGACATGCGTCTGCGCAACCTGGAATGCCATATCCTCATCCGTGACTTCAGGGATATTGGAACAGAAGAAGACACCCGCGAGGAGGAAGACGAAGACACCGATGGCGAGGTAGACCCATTGCACGCGCTGCAGGGCCGACACATCGTCTTCTGTTTCTGTAAAGAACACATACGAGCCCAGGACCGGGCCGACGACTGTGCCGATTGCATTGAAGGCCTGGGCGAAGTTGATTCTGATTTCTGAGTAGCGGGGTGGACCACAGACTAGACACATGCAAGAGGCGGAGATCAGTTTCTACTGTATGTATGATTCTGTGTGGAATGTTAATTGTCTTACCGGTAAGGTAGGGATTAGCTGCAGTCTCAAGAGAGCCGAGACCTGATCCGATGACGAATGTCGCACCGCAGAAACCGCCGAAGGATTGGTTTAGTCCTGCAGGCCACATGCATAGTGCTCCGACGCCGTATAGACAGAGACCGAAGATGAAGACGGTTTTGTAGCCATAGTTGCGGAGGATCCAGTTTGCGTAGCCGAGGGAGGCTAGGGGGTATGCGCTGGTTTTTGTTAGAGGGGTTCTATGGATGTAGCTTATGGGGAGAGGTCATACCCGAAATAGGCAGCTTGAAGACCCGCTGAGCGGGTCCGGTCGATATGTAGTGTTTTCTGGAAATGCGAGTTGAGGGTATCAAGCAAACCATACGCAAAGCCCTAATTGACGTCTAAGTAGGAGGATTGTGTTCGAACGAAGTGTAACATACCCATAAGAAGAACAAGATTGTCACTAGAGTCAATGGCCACAGACTCTGTCGCAGAGTGAGAGTAGCGGCCGAAGTAGTCGCGCGATTGTTAACGCGCAAGGACGAACGGTTTTTGAGGAATTCCTTGACGCCCATCTTGAAATATAACAAAGACAGACAGCATAGAGAAAATAGAAGGAATCAGAGGGATCCCGGGGGATTTGAGTAAACAACGGTCACACCCTTTTCTCCGCAAACTCCACACTTTTCCCCCAGTCCGGGGAAATGTCCTAGATGATCCCTGGAGAAACGATGATCATCACCCAATCAAAGCTCACAGCACGGAGTTGCCCCGAGGCTCGAAGGTAACTTTGATTGACACCCCCCGCTTTAGACCCTTGACAAGGTGGCGACAGCGTTACATGGATGGGGACGCTATATACAAGGGCGGGATGACATTCCGGCCATTTTATGGGGCTCTCCCGTGTCTGGTGGAATGTTACTCCGAGCATGCTACCCTAAACAGCTAAGGACTTTCTAGTTATGCCCATACAAACATACTTAGTAACAACCGTGCTCATTCCAGGATCACAGCTGCATCACATCATATACTATCTGGGGGGATCACCCTCATGTGGGGCCCGCCAAGATCGACACGTCAAAGCTGTTTTTCTACGAAGGGTACGGAATACACTGTCATACAAGTGCAAAGATTTTCCTTACGGATCGGTAGGCCATGATGGCATGGGTAATCGATGCAATCTCGTATTCAAAGCGCGACAAAATATGCAGCCAATCAGGTACATCTATCTCTATTACACACCGGCTATCGCCTACTCGGGCAGATAACCGGGCAGGTAGGGTCGTATCGAGGCTCTCGCCAAAATAGTTCCATTTAAGCCCGCTTGGGCTTACCGGCACCCTTCTGGGCCGGGTTGACGGCTTTCGTGTTGTAGAGAAGACGCTCAACAAACTTAAGGACCTCGTCGATCAAACTGGGAGTATGGATTAGTAGGATATTCCTTGAAGCAGAAACAAGGCACTTACATCACAGGCGCACTGATCACCAACACGGCTTGCCATTCATTCCAGTCCATAGGCAGAATAGAGAACAAGTTCTGGAGGAAGGGAACGTAGAGAATGGCAAAGTGAAGGAGCATGGACAGGGTGATGGCGTAGATGAGCATGGGGTTGTTGCCCAGGAAGAAAGTCAGGAGGGACTCGCTGGAGGACAGCGCGTTCATAGCGTTGAACATCTCAATCACCACGAGGATGGAAAGAGACACGGTGGAGGCCGACTTGCTCATATCGTTGCTGAACATTTCGCAGCCAATCTCGGGGAACTGAGAGGCACACTTGTGGTAGTGGGACTGGATTGGCCGTGTTAGCAACACAGAATTAATACTTAAAAACATTATCAACTTACCAATTGCCAGAAAGAAATGCCGGGTCCATCGGAGTTGTAGACAAACCACCAGACGTAACCAAAGACAGTGGCAACACCAACATAGATACCGACAACCATGTAGCGGAAGAACAACCAGCCGCCGACAAGGGCTTCGTCGCGACGGCGGGGAGGACGCTTCATCACATCGTGGTCCGGGGGTTGAAGGACAGAGCAGTGGCAGGCAGGCCATCAGTGACAAGGTTAACCCACAACAACTGAACGGGGACCAAAGCCTCAGGCATGCCAAGGGCAGCAGTCAGGAAGATAGAGACGACCTCTCCAATGTTGGAAGAGATCAGGTAGCGGATGAACTGTTGGGTGTTGCTGTAGATGGAACGACCTTCCTCGACGGCGACGGCGATGGTAGCGAAGTTGTCATCAGCCAAGACCATATCAGCGGCCATCTTGGCCACGTCGGTTCCGGTACCCATGGCGACACCAATGTCAGACTTCTTGAGAGCGGGAGCGTCATTGACACCGTCGCCGGTCATGGCGACGACGTGGTTCAAAGACTGAAGGAGATCAACAAGCTTGGACTTGTGGGTAGGCTCAGTGCGCGAGAAAAGGGAAGCGGTCTTAACGGCCTGCACTTGTTCACTTTCACTAAGAGCGTCGAATTCACGGCCCGTGTAACTCTTGCCGGTAAGATCCTCGTCGGCACCAAACACACCAATCGAGCGACAGATAGACTCGGCGGTATTGCGGTTATCACCAGTGATGACAATAACACGGATTCCGGCGGCGTGGCACTTCTTGATAGCATCAGAAACCTCAGGGCGAGGGGGATCCAACATTGCGACAAGACCAATGAGAGTCATGTTCTGTTCCAGCTTGGCGTAGTCCTCGGTCGTGGTGGCATTCTTCAACAGAGGGTTTCCAGAGACACCGTCAACACTTGCGATGGCCATGACACGGAGACCACGGTTACCATACTCAACAACTTCTTCGGAGAGAAGCTTCAAGTGGTCCTTGGTCACAGGAACGCGAGATCCATTGGCGCCTTGAATAACGTACGAGCAACGGTCCAGGATGCTTTCAGGGGCACCCTTGACCAGCAACTTCTGTTCCTTGCCCTCGCCAACGAGAACAGACATACTCTTGCGGTCACGGGAGAACTCGTAAGTGGCCTTGAGGGGAAGACGGGACTCATAGTGAGCGCTGGCAGTGTGCAGTCTTTCGGATGCAGAGAGACGGTAAAGCTTCTGGTTGAAGGCGATGTCGGTGGTTCCAATTTTCTCGACCAGAGTACGCAGAGCTCCCTCGGTGGGCTCACCGATGCTGGAGAAGACTCCACTCTTGGGGTCGTGGGAAAGAGTAGCGGCGTTGCAAAGGGCAGTGACCTCAGCCAGCTGTGCGATAGTTGATGAAGAAACAGCCAAGTTCTCGACAGCCTTGCCATTCAAGGTGAGTTTGCCCTCGGGAGTGAAAGTAGTGCCTTCGACGTCGATTTCCTCGAAGCCAGTGCCGGAGCTGGTCAGGTAAACAATCTTCTCGACGCTCATCTGGTTAGTGGTCAGGGTTCCGGTCTTGTCAGAGCAAATCACACTGCAGCTGCCCAGGGTTTCGACAGAAGGAAGAGACCGAACAACTGCGTTCTTCTGGGCCATCTTGCGAGTACCCAGAGCCAGGCAGGACGTAATGACCACTGCCAGACCCTCCGGAATAGCCGCCACACCAAGAGAGACAGCAATCTTCAGATAGTAGATAGCACCCTTGGTCCAGCCACCGAACGCGGGATCGTTGAAGTTCTCATAGTTGATAACCCAAACCAGGACACAGATGACGGTAATAACCTTGGCGAGAGTGTCACCGAAGTCGTTCAGCTTCTGCTTCAAAGGGGTAGGCTGGGAGATCTGGGAAGTGATGCTCTCGTGAATATCTCCAATGGCAGTCGAGCCACCGGTCAATACAACGAGAGCGGTAGCGTGACCGTTGACAACGGTGGTACCAGAGAAGATCATGTTAAGCTGGTCCTGCTTGACAGCCTGTATATCCTTGATAGCCTGGGCATCCTTTGCAACACTTTCACTCTCGCCAGTCAGAATGGCCTGGTCGACACGGAAGCTGTTGCTGTGAATGGCGATCAGTCGGCAGTCGGCGGGAACACGGTCACCGACAGCAATCTGGATCACGTCCCCGGGAACCAAATCTTCGGCCTTGACCTTTCGCGTCAGTCCATCACGGACAACCTTGGCCTCGTTGGCCGAATATTCCTGGAGAGCTGAAATTGCCTTTTCTGCGCTGCTTTCTTGGGTCACTCCGACCACGGCATTGAGGATGAGGATAGTAAGGATCTGTGAACAAAGCACGCCTCGGTCAGCAAGACAGAACACATGAAATGAAGAATATATAGGCACTTACAACAGCGGGGTCAACAAATGCAGTCCAATCGTCACTCTCTTCAAACAGAGCTAGCACAAAGGACACGGCGGCCGATCCAAGAAGGATAAGAACTAATTGGTCCTTGAATTGTTCCAAAATCAGCTCCCACATGGGAGTCGGAGGTTCTTCCGCAAGAGCTAAGTAAACAGCAAATGTCAGTCCTGAGGTCATCAATCTGCGGAATGTGAACTAACCGTTCGGTCCATATTGTTGTCTGGATTTCAAAACCGCGTTTTGCGACAAACCGGTCTGCTCGGTCACCTTGAAGTGCTCCAGCGACTCGGCTGGAGTACGGAGAAAGGCGTTCTCCATGATCGCGGACACCCTCAACGGCAATAAGCAGGATCAATTGCAATAGCCGAGAGGTGATGGATAATAGTTGGGGTAAACAAGGAAGAAAACGATGTTGTTGTTAAGCAAGATACATGCCCTGTGCAACACAGAGAAAGAAAACCAAAGCCCAAAGCGAGGGACCGGGTTATATTAAAAAAAAGTAGCAGAGCAATGAAGATCAAAGCTCAAATTGGGGAACCTCCAGTGGGGGAAGTCAACGTGTTCTCATCCATTTGATTCCAGGGGCTGAGTAAGCACGGGCCTATCCCGGAGTGGAGGGGTCTACAGGGCTGAACGGGCGGGTCTGCGATTCTCCGCTATAATTTCTTTTTTTCTTCTTTATTCTGTCTTCTATTGAGTATAAACGCGCTCTGAGTACTTATAATTGTCCACCTTTTACATCTTCAGTCTCTTAATTCATCATTGTACCTTCTTGGAGTGAAGAGGAGACCTTTAAAGAACCTCTCGTAGGGCTGCAACGTCATGAACGCCAATCTATTCCTTCAAATCACTTATGGGGCATCTCTAGGCTGCATCGTTTTCTTGCCTAGCATCAGATAATCTTGGCAACTTGGTCCTCTGCATACACTAGCCTAAAGTGGGTGTCCAACCTTCCAAATCGACCTAATGAACACCTTTGCTACGAGTATCTTTGGGCCTTTATGCCATGGTATAACTCTTGACGTGCTCATATATGAGCTATGCTCTAGGTTATATCCAGGTCAAGCTATGTGATCCTACTCGGCCCACTTGTAGTTGGCTTCCAAGGCTAAAGCACAGTCCCTGTCAGATGCATGAAGTATGGCATCTCCACAAGCACGCTAACATACCCTTGTCCGTAGGGCTGACGCTAGAAACAAAAGTTCATTTGCATTGCTTACCTATTGATTATCTATTTCGCCCTTAAGTAATGCGCCCTTTAATCAAATGCCAACACCCAATCGCTTGATACCTCTGTCACTTGAATTCCTCGCCTTAGGTTTAAGTTAGCCAAATGCTCATTCCAAGCCACTTTGGGCCACTATTAGAGGAAAATAAGTCTCTTAAACTTTGCCGCTCACTGATCAAACCTAAAGTTCAGGTGCTGGGCGGTATGATTCATCTAGCAGAAAGCAATGCCTCTAACTGTAGAGTGGGACTTTGCATATTTGACTCTTGGTTCATGTTCCAACTTCAGCGAGACATAGCTTGACCGCAAGTTACCATTTGCCCAGGGAAAGACACTTAGATCGGAAGAAGCACTATATTGTAACACTTGTTATAGTCAGGTGTCCATTCGAGAGAAAACCAGGAAATATGCTAAATCTCACGCACCCCTAGGCTTCGCCCACGCCTAGGCCATCCCCGATTAACGTAACATCCCCATGATCTACACCGTCTCACTTTCTTCAAATTTGCCTTTTTCGGTATGACACAAAGGATGCTGCGCCCAGTGGGAGGCGCACATAAGTCGAGGAATTCCCTCGGCTTCTTGTCTGCTTCCAAAGACATACAACAATTTGGCTAGCTATTCTGACCGATCTTCTGGTAGATCCAAAAGCTCCTCGTTTACGTGCTTCATCTGGCGCCAGTTCTGGCGAGGGCTCTCCGCATACGGAGTATGTTAATTGGAGCTTCCAGCAGGCTCGGTTGACGTGACAAGAAACAGAACCAAAATATACATCTATGCTAGATCGTTCAGCATATAAAGCACCCGCGGATGAGATTATAAATACCACAAGGAAATTATACTCTTGCAACATGAATATGGTATCTTAAAATATACATATAAACGTCAAATTAGTGATATTACATGAAATCCCAGGGACTGTTCAAAAGCAAGGAATCCCAGAGCTTCAAACAATGAGCTTTGAGTTGTGTATTAGGAAATAGGTGTCAGAATTGCGCCCTCGGTTTCTGGGCTCGGGCCACACCACCCATAAAGATCGCAGCGACACTGGTTAATAGAACCGCGGCTAGATGTACAAATGTAAATTAACCTTCAAAACTCCATTGCCTTTTTGATGAGAGTGGAGATAAGAGAAACATACTCGACAGGAGGCATCCCAAAAATAACATGCCATAGCTTCTCCATGAGCCAGCCTACCCCATAGCTGTCTGACCACCGAGCCCTAGCTATCCACTGAATCATTCGGTCGTAGTCGCTCCATCGTCTTTGTCGGATTCTCTGTTTGGTAACTGCAAATTGCTCACAGCAATGATGTCCGAGCTGAAGCGGTGCAGTGCCCAGATCAAGTCCGAAGATCTCGGGCCATATTTGTGGGAAATTGTCGGTCAGGTACTTATTATCAATATCAGTTTGTTGGATAATCGACGGGTGCAGACCATCTAGACAACCAGGTATAGCCAAGCAGCGTAGGTTCACAAAGCCCTTGCGATTCACGGCTTCGAACCGTAGACTAGGAAGTTGATTCAAGGTCTTTAGCCCATCTACATCATTATACCAGTTCTCTTCCTTGTCGTAGATGAAGATGGTATATGGGTGGAGGTCATAGTAGTGGTCGATGATGTGGGTGAGGTAGGCACTTGCTTCATGGCCTACATTCGTCCGAGGAATAAGAAAGCCCGGTTCGTCCATCGTATAGATGTATGGCGCGCATTTACTGGCCGATATATCAGGTCAGTTGCTACATTGAGGAAAAGAGGAGAGGATGCTTACAAGTCTCTGCAGAAGTTTGTGACCCATCCAACATCCTCCTCTCTTGTCTTTGAGATGACGAGACCGATATCATTGCTGCTTCTGTGCAGTGCAATATGTGAAGCGGGTCATGCTGGATCTGTTCAATGAATTTTGTGATTAGCTTTTATCTCTTGCAGTATGAGGCACAGGGTCATCTCCTGTCCTACTAAAATAACCAGTCAGCCAAATTCAAATTGTTACCAATGAGAAAGTTTGCCGTTTGATCTCAACTGCCCTGGTCCATGATAGGACCGCAGATCGTACAACAAAGCCAGAGCTATTAGAATAAAGACCAGGAACAAGAATTTTCGTAAATTTGTGGCATTAGGAGGAAATGCCCCAGAGCTTCTTCTAGGCCGTTCAAGCATGAAGAAATGGCCAGGTGAATATTTGGGGGAGTTTAAGGTTGAGATTTCACGAGGAAGCTGCATAAAGATAGATTGCCCTCTAAGCACATCCGTCCACGGGTTATAGAGCCTATGTCAAACTTCATACTCCCAGCCAGCTCTTAGCTTTTATAATTCTTCACACCTCATATTCACCATGCAACCTCTCTTGACAGGTTATGAGCCTGCTGCTCTGCATGATCTTCCTCTTTACGTTCATCCTCCGCTTATATCTCTTTAAGAGCCATCATCAACCAGCCAGGCCACCATCTACCTACGCATTTCCTACAGCGGCAAACATGTCTTTTCTAACACTAGCAGTAGCTTTGCAGAGCCAAAGCTCTCAGACCTCATGCCGATCCCCACCGGCGAAAACAATGTCTCACAGCCTTGTGTTTCCTGATGCATCCGATGTAATTGCCGAGGTAGTATCTTTGAGCAAAGGCAAGTCAAAGACATTGGCTGCATTCCCCCACCTCCCAGCCTAGGAAGGGGACCTGGACTCTTGTCCGTCTTCCGCCCCTAGAGGTGATGGCCTTGATCCCAATTTTCTACACGTCCCATGTAAGAAATTTGATCGGGCAGTGGCAGATTCGAGAGCCGGTCTGGTCATACTCTTCGGCAACATGAAGTCCACCATCTATATATCACTCGCTCGTACCCCTCGATCGCGAAGCGGCAAAGCTGGCCGCGGCCAGCTGCGACGGACGACCAGCACATGGTTATATAAGCAGTTGACGAGGAATTCCCGAACAACGACCATCCGACAAAATCCAATGGACAGAATGGGATTTGTGTTATGCGGTTTGATTTCTCAGAGGAGGAAATCAGCGCAGAAGGAAATTTCTTTCGCCGTTGTGGGGACTCAGTGGCAGTTATAGTTATGGTGTTGGCCGGGATCGCACGAAAGCATGATTATCACATCACCGTCGTGTACCTCTTCAGGCACCCTCTCTTGGGTATTTATGCAGATAAAATACATGTGCTCTTCCTTCGATTGCTTTCGAGGTGTCTTGACCGTTCTCCCTCCGCAGATGTTCGGCAGGCCATGGAGCTGTTTCGCAGCAGAAGAGGGTGTCAGAGACATATATTACTGCTTCCCAATCCGGCCTGTTATATTCCACTTTAGTGCCCGCAAGAAGAAACTTACGTCCTAGTTTGAATATGACCTGTGAGAGACAGTATACCTGGGTCTGCTGCGCAAGGCCTGGAACAAGACCGCCCAGGAACACGAACCAACCATGTTGATAGCAGGACTGATCTTTACCAGGTAGTGCTCTGTCGCATAAATTAGATTGAATGCTATGATCCACCGGACGAGCATATGTCAGACTATGTCCCTGACCCGCCGATCGACATTGCGCCAGGGAAACTCATTGTTACAGATCGCTCCAATGCGCCGTTCATCCGCCGGGCAACATCAGCTTCTGATAAGCTTGCAGCACTCCTTCTACGACAGATGGTTTTTAGGGATGTTAATTCAAGAGCTCGAGCGAGTCTATTCCGGTCTACCCTTACAGTCTTTGTGTATCCTCATTCGTCGCGCATTTAAAACAGACCAAGGATGCAGCCAGACAGTTCTACATTCAAGAACTGATATTTCTGCGTGCTTTCATCTTCCCACAGGTCCCTTCGGCGACCTACAGGCCCCATCCTAGCGCCCTCCTGAGTCGAAAGGTCGCCACCCCGAATGTTGTCTCTAACCAAATCACGTTATCCAACAAGGTCCCGCGGGCCTGGGCCCAAGTCACATCCCTTTACACCAACTGCCTGGAGATTGCAATGGGTCTGGGGTGGCTAGATGGGGCCACTAGTCACGTAATCTAGAAGATGATCGCCTCAACAATGGCGATCTTCCCCTATATCCTTGAGGAAACACGAAATTGAGGAAGACTTTTTGTTAAAAGAGACGTGTAACAACAATTTTGAATAATATGACCGATGTTTTTATTTTAAGTAGACAGTCTTGTTATATAGAAGACATGACAGGAGTTGAACTGCCCAATATGGGCTCAATTGACAGAAGTTAACTAACTAGTTGTGTTAGTTAGTTAACTTCAAACTACTACATAACGACTTGTGAATATGAAATCAACCGTGCATTAACTATAAGATTATCCCTCTATCAATACTTTAAAAATGCTCAATGATACAGTCGTAAAGTAACTCATATATCATTTATAATTCCTAAGATGACTTGGACCAAGCTTAGATTGAATGTAACTATATACCGCCCATAGTCCAGTACAGAATATCATGCCTGCCTTTACCAAGCCCGATGATGGATCTTGCCCTTGCGCCCTTTAGATCTTTTGTTGTAGCTCGACCCTATTATATAGTATGGGAAAGTCTCAGCGAAGTAGAGTGGCCTATTATGTGGAAGTAGTTACTTAAATACTTTAAGCCTGAACTGTACTTCAAACTTTAGGATTATTTGACCTGGAATACTTGTGATACTTGGAGACTTAATTTTGATTGTGTGGCTGATCAACTACATCATAAGTAGCCTAGTTGTCTAGAAGGTTCCAAAGGCATTTGTATCATCCCCCGCCTCCCAGACTTTTATATCGTTTTACGGTGCTTTCTCTAGAAAAGGGGGATAGTAAAGAAGCTTATCTACCTCGGCGGTGTCACCGGAGCTACTTTAGAAATTGCAGCTGTTTTCAGCTGTTTTCAGATGATTATCGGAGGTGACGGTACTGGTCGGTGTCTCGAAGTCAAAGTACTCTGACCCCATAGATACACAGCGAAGTATATGTACCATTTATAGGATCAAGCCAATTTCTCTATAGATGCTAAGTATTTGATCGTGTGTCTTCTAAAAAGGAGACGAGAGGCCTTAGTAGCAAATTGGTAACGGATACTGTCAGATATACCCCACCCCGCTCAAATTAATTACTTACTAGGGGGGATCGACGGTAAAATGAATACTGGGCTGCGGCCCAAGTACCGGAGTACTTACAGAGAGCGGTGCCACAATAGGGGGATCTAAGTACTGGGTACATGACAACAGTGTATTATTGTTATGATTCAAATCCCCCCAACTCACCTCACTCCATCTCCCTCCCCCACTTGGTCGTCTCTACCCATCTTCCTCTTCTGCATCTTGCGCTTCCTATCCCTTTAATTTTAAGTCTCAAGTTTCAACCACCCATCTCGACTAAATTTCACAATGGGTTCTGAGGTACGTTGTCCGCCTCCATCGGGCGCTCTCTTGAGCTGTCACCGCCATCGCAATCCCACATTCCCATCCTCATCTGAGCTCACCCCCATCTGGAATTTTTGTCGATAAGAACTGGGCTAACAAATATCGTAACTATGCAGCGTGAGAAGTATGTCCATTGTCGCCCCTATCCCTGAAACCCCATGGCCCGGCCATGACTGACCCCCCTCACCAGCAAGACGTTCCTCGCGCGGCTCTGCGAGCAGGCCGAGCGCTACGATGGTATGTTGACTTGCGATCATTTGGTTGGACGTGGATGTTGACATGTTGTTCTCTGCTTTCTAGAAATGGTCACCTTCATGAAGGTTAGTCGCAACCCCCTCATGTTGTTTACTGGGTATCCATGCTAATCGCCGAACAGGAAGTCGCCAACGTATGACACCATCATCTCCCCATCAACTTCAGGATTAATTTATGGGTATTCGCGATTGACACATATCTAGATTGGTGGTGAGCTCACTGTCGATGAGCGTAACCTGCTTTCCGTCGCCTACAAGAACGTGGTTGGTACCCGCCGTGCCTCCTGGCGCATCATTTCCTCCATCGAGCAGAAGGAGGAGAACAAGGGCTCCGAGGAGCACGTCGGCATCATCCGCGACTACCGCCAGAAGATCGAGACCGAGCTGGAGCAGGTTTGCCAGGATGTGCTTGATGTTCTTGATGAGGCTCTCATCCCCAAGGCCGAGACTGGAGAGTCCAAGGTCTTCTACTACAAGATGTGGGTTACACTCCAGCCAGTTTCACATTGGAGACTCCTCGATTTGTGACGTTGTGCTAACTTTGTAAACAGGAAGGGTGATTACCACCGCTACCTCGCCGAGTTCGCTTCCGGCCCCAAGCGCAAGGGTGCTGCCACAGCTGCCCACGAGGCCTACAAGGTAAATATCCCTTCTTTCGGCTTATTATCATAGGCCTTCTCTCTCTTTGCAATGAACAGCTGTTGATCGTGTCACAGAACGCCACCGACGTTGCCCAGACCGAACTCACCCCCACTCACCCTATCCGCCTCGGTCTTGCCCTGAACTTCTCCGTCTTCTACTACGAGATCCTCAACTCTCCCGATCGTGCTTGCCACCTTGCCAAGCAGGCATTCGATGATGCTATTGCAGAGCTCGACTCGCTCTCCGAGGAGAGCTACCGTGACAGCACCTTGATCATGCAGCTGCTGCGCGATAACCTGACCCTCTGGACCTCATCTGAGGGCAACGAGGGCGAGAGTGTCGCCAAGGAGGAGAAGTCCGAAGAAGAGACCGCTGCTCCTGCCGCCGCTGCCACCGAGGCCGCTGCTCCCGCCGAGGAGAAGCCCGAGGAGGCTAAGCCCGCCGAGACTGCAGCCTAAACGAGCAACATTAGGGGTCGCGACGAGCCGTATGCCGTTTGGTAGGGTGGGCGTTCGCATTTATTCCTGAACGTGGTTATGCAAATCGCTTCTTTTTTCACTGCAGCGCTG